TGTAAGATTTGAATTTATTTTCATTTACAAAAGACCTATTATGTATAAATTTTTTGTAAAGTTTATTTTTCTTTTGAATACACCGTATCAAACTTTTATTTATCCAAGGCTTTCTGATTTTCAATCGTTTAGACTTATTTGGTACCAAAGGTAAACATTTGTTGTATGCAGTGGTTATCACCGATATAAATGTATCGTACATCTGTTCTATATCCTGAAGGTTGTTTAAAAAAGTCCAATCTATTCTATACAATTCACCTAATAATGCTGCAATATTTTCGTTTGAGATTTTCCGAGTACAAGTTTGAATCGTTTTCCTATGTCTTTCATAATTATCTATATTGAAAAGGGAGAATACAGGTAAATGATCTGTTACATCAGTACAAATTGTTCCGCTCGTACATTTGGATTCAGTAAGGTTGGTAATTATATTGTCGATTAATGTTGCAGAGTTAACTGTAATACGAGTGGGAGTTGTAATCAACTTTAATAAACCAAATGAGCAGTTTAAATTTACAAATGTATTTGCACTTTTATTGTTCGTTAAGTTTGAAAGATCTATGTTAAAATCGCCTGTAATTATTAAACTGCGACGGGATACACGAAGTAGTAGTTCATTATAAAATTTGAAAAAAACATCAAGATCTGAATTTGGCTTTCTATAAATGACTCCAACTGTGTATTTTAAAGTAGGTCCTAGTGTAATGTCAACAAATAAATATTCACAAGTTGAATTATCATAGGTGTTAAAGATATCATCCCGAACGGTGCATGTTATATCATCTTTTACAAACAGTGCAACACCTCCTCCTCTACTAACACAACCAGCCCTATCCGAATGTATGAAAGTATAACCGTGTAAGTGAAATGGAGTAACTGGTTTACCACAAATCCATGTTTCGGAAAGGGCAATTATTGAGAATTTATTTGACAATGTATCAAGAAGATTTGTAATGCTATCAAAATTTATATTAAGACTACGGGCATTCATATGAATTAAACTGAAATTATATTCATTTTTTACAAAAGAAGAGTTAAATTCACTGGGTGTATAACATGAACAAGTATTACCGTGTTCAAATATGCATATATCTGGATCCAAATCGTTTAACGGATTACCCATGTATTGTAAAGGCAACCAATGAAACACATCTTATATATATAATTGAAAAAGAAATCCCAGGATGCTTACAGCAAGCACATGAGAATATATACACCATATTTGGTTCAAAAAGTCTCAATCTAGAAAAATAATCATTGTTAAAACCTTCAAACTTTTTTCTTTCCACCTCCTTTGAAATAGTACTAGGAAAATTAATATACTGAGAATACATTTTGAATTCAGACAGAACAAATAACATAAAACAATATCAGTATTACATAAATATATAGATATACAAATAGTAGAAATCAAAATCTAAAACAAACATGAATATATATACACAAAGTACAAGTTTTATGTAGTGTAATACGAAATAAGTTGGATGTCCAACAGGAGTATATTTTGCTTTACACAATGAATTACAACAATTTCAAATCATCCACGCTGCGTATGAGTTTGGTAGATTTCGTACTTACTCCATTTTGTTCTTTAAGCAACGCGATTATTTTTCCGTCTTGGCTCCACGCCGTTTTCACTTTCTCATTTGCCCTTGTTTCATTGAGCAATGTTTGATTCTTAGATGTCAGATCTTCTACAATTCCCCCTTGGGGAAATCTCGACGGATTCTTTCAATTCTGTCTCCTGAAGTAATTCTCATGTTTGAAGCAACATTGCGCACTTTTGAATGTATTGCAACTCAAGTATAACAGACATGCTGCATGTATTGACTAGGTCTGTTGTGTGTAATATCAAATCAATTTCAAGCTGTCGTCTTTCCTGTTTATTGAAGCTCAACCAGTGTACACTTGATAGGCTTGGCGTCAAAATGGCAATTATTAGTCACGTGACTTTCACGGCGCCTGTCTTCACTGTCTTCATTTGACCTGCCTATCGTGTCAGGCCGGGTGTCAGGGACAAGGAACAACGGCACAAAAGAAAGATGCCTAGACAGTCTCCACATCAAGACGTCGAAATACCGACCAGATTATGATGTTGGGTGCATTCACTAATCGCTTCCTGTTTGGGTGAATGAAACGTCTTCTTTTCGTCACTTTTCGTCTGCACCAAGGTCATTGATGTCGTCTGGTAGAAGAAGGAGCCCTACTGGTGTAAGAATGAAACCAAGCAAACAGGCGACCACTGGTGATTGTTGAGTACCCTAGGGGGGTTGAAGACACTGTCTTGATGCTCTGGTTGTAGGTCTGTGCCATCTGATGGAACGAACTGAAGCCTAAACAAAAAGATGTTGTATTGCCCTTTAGGTGCCAAAATATGGGTCGGTCGGTCGGTCGGATCTAAAAAAAAAATTTTTTTTTTTTTTTGTACTCCCTCCTTTGGCTGATATTTCTCCTTATGAATGCTTTAAAACATTGTTTGTCCTAAAAAATGGTTTAAAAATAAATCTTTGATAAAGACCGACCCTAGATTTCAAGATTTTGGGGTCGGTCGCAAAGGGCAATACAACGTCTTTTTTTTAAAGGCTTAATTGTATTCCATTTCATTGCCAAAGAAATCCAGTAGGTTCAACCTTCGCTTGTGTTATGTTCCGTCAAATAATTTACATTTATTTTTTAAATTTAGTTGAATTTGTTACATTTAATTGAATGCTTCATCGCAGAAGAATGAGATTATCCAAAAGATATTGAAAGACGTACATTAGTATGTCACTTGTTATTAAACCATCATTGTGAAGCGCCCTCTTTCATTTTAGGACTTATTCATTTAAACAGTCAAGCCAGTTAGCTTTCACGATATACTCCGTTTCGTTGACGATCCGCCATGCATCAAGTCTTTCGTCTTCTTTGTGCATGGCTGATCGTCAACAAAACGGAATTAAGTCTTTTGTCAACTCTGTTTGTTGCTACTGCAGGCAGCCAGTGCAAATGAACTCGTTTAATCATATTATGGAAATGCAAGCATTACTTTAAACAAACAGAAATTTGTTATTCCTTGCTCATTTTTCATAACTGAGGTGTCATATGAAAGGGCAGAACTTGAACTTTCTAGAAATGTGATTTTCCCTTTGAAATTCAGATACCGCCCGCCAAATCACTTTTTGGTTTCCTCTCTTCAAATTGTTTGTAATCGCTCATTCGTGATTGTATGCATCATGTGAGTTGCACCAAATGAAAGAAGAGGATCTAAGCTTTACAAATGTGTGTCATTTATTAATTATAATTGTGATTAAATTATGATAGCACATCGATAGTTCTCAGTTTCGTTTTTTCTGGGACGCACTGTATATGTACAGTGTATGCTTTATGTAGAGCACAAATACTAACCTGAAAAACTCCTATGGGTACGCTAATATGCATGATCTTTGTCAACTGATAGAGAAAAATTAAATATTTTTTTAACACTGCAGTTTCACTGTTGTTGAAGATTCTTCGACTTTTAGAATGTTTGTGATATATTTGAAGACAAAAATTATGTCAATGGTATCATTAACAGCGACTTAACAGTTACTTATTAAACAACTGCTTCATTTTTCTAAGGGCATGTCTTTGCAAATGTGAGGATTCAATGGAATAAACAAAGTCCATGCATGTTAGACACAAAATTACATCACAAAACTCAATCACGCAATGGCTGGGTTGGGGGGGGGGGGGGGGGGGGGGGGGGGGCAACCGGTCCGTACATTAAGTAAACTACCCCCAAACTTGCCCAGACTAATTGTATTTTTGTTCGCTCTTTTGAATCAGAGATACAAGTATACCCGAAAAGTGATGTTTATAACATCCCCTTTATTGTTTAAACCTTGTTTTGTAAGACATTTTTACGGAATATACCCTTTTATGAATTACTTGATCCGCCTCTGCACCACAGATCAAAATAGTATACTAACCACAGCTACACAAATATATTACAATAACTTTTTATGTAAATGATTATAAAGGAAAGAAAGAGAAGGAGAAAGTGAAAGAGAGAGAGAGAGAGAGAGAGAGAATGACAGAGAACATGCAATCAAGAGAGGCAATATTAGCCTTTTAACACGTGAGCAACATCATGCTCATGATGATCTGAGCGACTTTTCCTCAACACATTTTCCATTTCATGTGATCATGTAGCCTAGTCAGATTACTTTCGGCGTTTCAGTGCATTTTTCTTTGTTATCAGCACATCGCCAATTTCCTGCTAGCTCTAATTTTTCATTTCGAGCCAATTTTTCACGTATGATTTCATGCCAAAGCTAATATTTGTGAACGTTTCATCACCGGTACACTCTAAACCGACAGTCTTGACTCGAATCATCAGACTTTAGATGGCGCTCAAGAAAGAAAATGAGTACGCAAACAAAGTCAGGAAGTAAAATGGAAAGATGCCAGGAGTTTACATTTGACGCGCGGTATGATCTTTAAAATGCGATTGGACTATTTTTACTGAAAAGATTAAAGGTATAGACCAGTTTTGTAGACGCCCCCCTCTAAAGAATGAAACGGAAGCTCTTATTACCAATCATGTTAAAAAAATATGTTTTGACTAATACGTGATGATACAAATTTTGCCCGGAAACCGCCTTCTAATTGATATATTTGGTAAATCATTATATCTATCCGGACCGGATAGATATCGCGCACGTGTCGCGTAGTCCCATTTACATCTTTCTGTGTACAGTGCTTGTAACTTAACCAAGACTGGGCCAAATTTCTTATCATTTTGATGATTCCAGAACATTGCAGTACACACCAAAACTTATATGCTAGATGATCAACCTTTTCTGATCGATTCCAACACGTTTCTTTCACAATGCAATCGCATGACCAGAAGTGATCTTTACCTTTATTATCATGATTCAAAGGGCTGAATCGTGCAAAAGTATATACATTTCAAACTGCTCGAAATTCTCATGCGATATTGGAACTTAACATCTTATTTCTTTGTTGTCTCTTTTCAGCTACCATGATGAACTGATAGTGCTGAAGATAGTCTAACGGTGGATATACTAATTGGACTTGTTTGCCGCAGACGCTGCTCATTATCAGGCAGTACCAATGTTATCCCGAGCTCTCCGTTGTCTACTTCTGGTAGCATTCTGCCTTGGAATAGTCCAAGGTTTGTATACACATTTTTTAGGGGAAAAAAATACTGTTCAAAATTTGTAATCTTATACAAAAAATAAATCTTACTGGTCGTTTGTATAGTTGTAATTCCTTTGAGCAAGGAACTGGTGATTGTTATGCCTCTGTGGTTTACATAACATGACAATCAAGATTTATTTAATCTTAAAAAGTTAAAGATATGTCTTTGAAAAAAGTCAACCCTAAGCAATCCTGCTCCGACTCCGAAATACTTTTCAGCCTCATTTCATATCATCGATTAAACACCCCCCTTTGGAATCAAGTTAAACCAACCTATCGGTGAAGAAAGTTTGCTCTATCAAAGAATTGTCGAAAGAGATATCCCATATTTAATCTTCGTTTGACAACAGTCAAACACGTACGACCTGTTGACCGAGTTATACCGAGGCGAGGTGTACATCAGTTCTCCTTTGAATATTATTCATCAATGCACGTCCATAGATGATTCCCGATGAAGACATACGAAGATGTTATCTCGTTTTATTGGATTTGCTGTCAGTACGACTTTAATCCAGCTGTAATGAGTATTCCTCCGGGCTATTTTTCTCCTGAATAAATCTCGTTTCCTGTTTTAAATGAATGACCTACATCACGACTCATTTCCAGGCTAACATGATCGATTGAGCCGGGCTCAGAGGGCCAGATGTACAGATTAAGAACAAAAATAAAAATGCCTGGAACTTATTTCTCTATTTCAATGCGTCGCCATCTTCCTGCTTCAATTTGGCATGTTCTTAAAACCTCTCTTTCTCTCACACCTTCTTTCTCTCATTATCCTGCGTTTCTGGCTTTCAATCGAATTAATTAGGTTGCAAATTTTTCGATATAATCGTGTATGATAAAAATGTTTATGGTTATTCGATTATGTTATGAATATGATCTAATCAATTAAATATTGTTAAGTATCAGACGTGGAGATTTGCAATATCTTCTTTACGATTTTGTTTTAAAGGCCGCAATGACGGCGGCTTATTCACATTTCAACTCCCACTCTCACCCCCCCCCCCTCTCTCCCACTCTCTCTCCCCTCTCTCTCTCTTTCTCTCTCCCTCTCCCTCTCTCTCTCTCACTCTCTCTCTCTCTCTCTCTCTCTCTCTCTCTCTCTCTCACACTCTCTCTGTCTATCCCTCTCTTTCTATCCTTTGTATAGGTCTTAAGTGTGATCTTTTTTGTTAAAAACATACAAGTACAGACTACATTCGAGAAAGTATGTATATAGGAGATACTAGGAGTCGTTGTATCGATACACATTAAAACGCAGACCCTTCAATTTTGCCATGATCGTGGTTACATGGACTCTCAAACGGGGTGATGTTTTTTTTTACTAGGTATAACGATCCTAGATTAGCAAATTTCGGGCATTAATATTAAATTGGTAATAAAACTTTAGGTTGTCTGAAACTTTTCCTCTTTCACCCCGTCCCATTCTTCCCTCTCTCCATCTCCCATCTCTCTCTCTCCCATCTCTCTCTCTCCCTTTTCGCTCACTTCCACTTTCCCGATTCCCCCTCCCTTTCTCTCTCGTTCTCTCTCCCTCTCTCTCTCTCTCTATCTCTCTACCTCCCCCATCGTCCTCCGCATGTCTCTTTCTTCTCTCCTCTCGCTTTGCCCCTCTATCTCTGTCGCTATCTGTAAGGCTGCAATCATGTTAGACCAACATTTCGAATATGATTTTGGATGTTAATATGATTTAACTTATCTAATTGTCTTTTACTCATTATGAAAATGCAAAACATAGATCTTCAACAAACGTTGGAATTTATTGCAATTAGTACCAAGCCGTGAAATTCATTAAAACAGAGTTGAAGAGACATTGGTCCAGTAAACATGAAAACGGAGGTCGCTCGTTCATCCATTATTACGCTTAATTAACATTCAAAGTGCCCCCTAACTATGGATCGTCAACTTCATGTTCCCCTTTTATTATAATATCTACGGCCTTGAAATGGGAATATGATTTGGGGCATTAAAGGTAATCATTGAGGTCTAGTAAGGGAAATGCACTTCAAGAATGTGGTTACATGTTGCTCTGCATTGTGAAATCTAAAAAGCAGCCAACAAACATTATGGACTTCTTTCACTTCTTTGGAGTAAAACCATCACGTAAACTAAAATGTCAAACGCCGACTGAAACTGCAAACGCTTGTTTTGATCATTTAATGTTATTGAGCAATTAAACGTTGTTCTTAATTGCTGGAATAAATTATAGAGTACCTGAGAAACGTGGTGCTCTGTAAAGGAAAAGAGCTATATTGAAATAACTGTTACTCAGTGACGTAGAACAGTAATCGTAATTGCGACGTCGATAAAACTTTTGTTTTTCACACTTTAGTGTTGATCATTTTAAAATTAAAATGCCGTGAAGATATCGCTAGATACCCTTAAAGGGCCACTCTAACCCAACTAACATAGCCTTTCAAAACATGAATACACCTCTACTTATTAGTATTCCAGCCTCTGATTTTTCAGGAAATCTCTAAATTGACCAAAAAATGATAATAGTCATCCATTTTTTTACAGTTCTCACGCTTGCTGAGCTACGCCCCTCGAAAAAAGGTAATACGGTCACGTGGCTTGATGACGCATTTGACGTCATTGCGAGCATGTCCGATTTGATAATTTCATGATTTCATAATTAGGAATGACGAAATTGCCAGAAAACGTTCTGGGATTATCAAGTGCATATTATTTGTTCGGATAAATGTCTTTTTTTCTCCAATCAATATCATAGCTTGCCATTTTAAAGACATTTAATGCCTAAATCACCCTCCTTTTCACCGGAGAGGCTTTTTTCTGCGCGTTCTGAGTCGTCATTTTAAAAGGAAGATTCCAGAATTATTGATGATCTCTAAGAAAAATCATTGTCATGTTCGGGAAAAAAAATTTATTTCTACATATCATTTTTTTCATTTTTAGCCCGTTTTGGTTAGAGTGGCCCTTTAATAATGGATATTAGTGAAAATGTGGTACTCTTGTCTGTGACTGCCTATCGATATGATTGAAATTCTTCAATTTTTTTGAAATAACCACAATATCACGGCGCGTTGTTACATCGAGGCATTTCACGGCGTATGGAAAGCGAAATGTCATCGCGATTTGCTGTCCATACAATGTCAGACATCTTATAGTGATTACGAATATGGCGTAAGATATCACACCATTCGTATCGTAAAGCGTCCTTAAAGCCTGTATGTACTAGTTTGACCAGGAGTAATTAGACCACCCTGCAAGGTTACCAACAGGTGGTTATTCCATCAACTCAGCTCTCAATTAACATAAGAAAAAGAGGATCATGGGGACCAGCGGTCACCGCTTAGGCATTGTATTTTATATAAAGGGAGCAAGTAGCTACAGTGTGGCTTTAATACCTGGGTTCAAAGTCGGACTTGAAAGACCGTATGAACACACTCTAGTACTTCACTGTCCTATACTCGACTTATTGGACCTCTTCAAGAAGTAGGACACATTCAAGAATGCATTCTTCGATCTGAGTAAAATATACCCGAAACTGAAGAATGGTAGATAGGTAACATGATGAATTGAGAGTGACTGACAGGACCTCTATTAACCCATATAAATGAATGGTTAGGACCTGTAGAAGGATGTCACCCGGTATGTCCAGGTTCTCTCATTTCATAATCAGATATTCCGCTCGTCAAAATGAAGGAATTATATTTGTAGGGACTTGGGATGTCGACAGTCATTTGGAGTATCCAATATCTCATTTTAGGAAAGTTATAGATTATTATCCTCAAGCTGTCTTTTCTCTTCCGCTATGATAAATAAGAGAAAAATCTAAACAGATGTTACTTAATCATCAATACCAATGTAATTTGAGTGAGGAAATAAAGCACGGCATCTCTGATTATGTGACACCACTTTTGTATAAGGTTCTAGAAAATTATCCCATCTTGTATGATAATGAAACAAGATGTAAGCAGCGAAGTCGATGCCAAGTTATTTTCTGTGTGTTAGTGCAGTGTTTCGATATCGTATTCATGAATAGATGCATTCTCACTCAGTTTCCATCTCATCACCTTTCCGGATGTTTTCATGTTGCCATGGTTACAGCCAGCAATGCATCCCCATGACCCGAGAGAGTTAGACTCTGGCTGCTGTCTTCCCGGTTTGCTACAATGAAGAAATCATTCAAGCTGGCAAACTGCGCAGTGGTTTTGCATTCGTAGTTTCGCTTCTTTTTCATCTCGTAAAATGGAAGTTTAATCATCGTCATGTGAATGAATGCCAACTTAGATGGGAAGAAAATTTCGATCATTTCAGTCAGATATTTAAATTATATCTGATATATAAATCATTGCCTACGGGAACCAAGCCTATGGGACTGAGAGGAGTCAGTAGCCTACGGCTTAAAGTGATTGGGTATCTTTGTCTCAGATTTTGAAAATAAAATACTGGATTTAGCTCATCTTGCAATGATAATCATAAACCTTTAGGTCAGTCAGGAACCACATGACTTTTACAAGCCGAACGCCTGTGTGATTATCAAGATATTTATGATTAGAAATCGAAATTTCAAAAACCGTTTTCCTAACGGGTTTTATAACACTACAGTCTATGGGGGATGAGTATGGTAAAACCGGCCACTCAAAGATTTTTACTTTTTTTAAGTGCAATTTGTTTAGGGCTTCGATATCACAAATAGTTATAACACGTAGGGCCATGCATCACAGAAAAAAATGTTAAACGATGCCTTATGATTCCATGAGAACACATTCAAAGATAGGTACAAGTACATGTGTTAGGTTTTGTTGTTGTCAATGGCAGTAACATGCTTTCCCTCGTATTTTTGCAGTGGAACTTTGCTCGATTGACGATGCGGAATTGGAGAAAGCATTCCCGCCGAGCCATCATTTGGGAACGGCCTTTCTCAATCCTAGCTAAATTGGAGTCGTGATATAAAAGAGATTCCTTTTCAAATAATTCACCGTGATAGCAGATCAATAGTACCGTCCTGATGAACATTTAGTCGATAATGGCGAGACAAAATTGGAGTTTTATTGAATACAATAAACATAGATATCATTCAGACATTACATCATGTCCACTCACTCATTTCCAATTCCACGAATCCCATTTTCACTCCTTACCTCTAAAATGTAGTAATTCATTTTCATTCTAGTCATTCATTACTTTCGATTCGAAGTTCTACGTCACAGATATCATATACTTATTATATGTTTTATGAGCTTTTTAAATAACAAGAAAACATCTTGATATGGAGTAGGCTATATTGAGATTATGATTTTAAAAGATATAAATGACTACTATTATTTTGCTCTGTGTATTCTTGAGTCCCATGCTTTTATACACTGCATGTATATTCGAAGTATCCGCTTTATTATTTCTGAAAGATACATATAAAGACTAATGAGTAATCTCGAAAATAAGTTATATACATTGATTTATAATGCATAGCTTATATTGATAACCATTCCCGAAAGTCAATTCGGTATATTGATGTCCTATTTGATTGTATTTTGATAAGGATTGCCCAGAAGAAATGTAATTTTTTTTATTTTAAATAATTTTTTCCGGCTCTTTTTATTGCATACTGCTTAGTATTGACGAATGAAAATGTGATATATCAGTGCCATATCTTATTGTATATTGATTGATAGGTCTTCACGAAAGATGTCCTTTATATACACTGATGTCCTATTTGACTGAATAAAATGATGGCCAATTTGATTGTATGTTGATTAAGCAGTCGCAACAGAAGTCAATATATCAAATTAATGTCGTATTTGATTGTATACTGATAAGCATAATTTGATGGCAATTTGATTTCATGTTGATAAGTATTCACGAGAGAAATTAGTTTGATACACTAATGTTCTTTTTGACTGCACATTGATTAACTTAAATTGCTAGTCAATATAAATCACGTTGAATAAGTATTCACACACAGACCAAAACAAAATAATAATCAATTTCAAATATTGATGCGATATTTGATTGCGTATTGGTTAACTTACATTGCTGGTCAATACAAATCACGTTGAATAAGTATTCACACACAGACCAAAACAAAATAATAATCAATTTCAAATATTGATGCAATATTTGATTGCGTATTGTTTGATTACCATTGATATTCAAGAAGTTGATTTGATACATACACGTATTAACAATAGTTCATTCAATCAATTGATATTTTATTTTATTTTAGGTAAATGGGATTGCTATAATGCAGCTGCGGAGGTGAAGTCTTATAAAGGGAACGGATCTACCGCCTGTATACCAGACTTTGGACCATGTTACTCCTGTATGAACTGGAGTGATGTTTCGGATTCTCTTTTCTCTGATTTCTGGCAGATGACCACCGATGATAGTGAGTATGAGAATCTAAATACCCCACGTTTTTTTAATTATTTTATAGTAAATGTATACTGGTTAAGAGTAATATCACGAAATAACACAAATGATTAGAATAATGATATGTTTTTTCGAAAGTCGCTTAACTTTAGTTAAACCCTTCCCAAAAGTTTCTAGTTTGAGTCAACCTTTTCATCCTGTATCAATCGTCAAAATTCTGAAGTTATATGAATATACAAAAACTTGTCTCTGCAAACCTGTTTTGTTTCATTTTCATAGCATAGTCATGATAATTATATTACTTTTATTTGTTACATAATTGCATTGATTTCTGCAGAACTTTAGGATTGGCACGTTGTCTGCAATACATAAGTGTAGTAAGTTAGGTCGGGTCTAATTGTCTTTTTGAGAATACGGACCCATAATTATACAGCACCTTTCCTGTTACAAGCATACGACCACATCGCAGTATATAGGGGCATATACGTATTACCCTTGTCATACACCCCAGTCACATCTGCGAGCCCGACACCGGATCGACAGTAGACCGAAAGAAAACAAGTACATTATCTGGATGGTGTCAATTATCGGTTTGGAGTCGGTTTTGTAATGTGACTGGGTATCGCACTGATTATGGTGCACTTTTTTCAACTTAAATGGGAAGCATTCCAGCCAGTCGCCATTTCGTATAATGCGCGCATAGTTGAATCTTACCCGGCGAGAATCCATTCAATACCGCCAATCGCAGCGATGAGACCAACACCAGACTGACAACAGACCGAATTAAAACAAAATTAGTATCTCGAATGACCAGATTATCGATCGGTTTTTGTGTCGGTTCGGTGATGTGACTAGAGGATAAAAACCGGTTTGCTATTATGTCGACACCGTTTTTACTCAGTGCTATTTTTACATAAAGATTTATACCATATACACTTCACCATAACTGAACTACTTGTTCGTATTACCTTCATCGATGTTGACTTATTCTTTTCAGTCATCTATTTTTACCCCTGGAAGAATTTAGAAGAAAAAAATAAGGAAATTTACCTTCTCGAAAGAAAAATTTCCTTGTCATTTTCCCCTTTTTTTTCTCCGTTCGTCAAATACATACTGAATCAATGCCAGAGCGCTGATTTGTATTGATGAATGTTTTTGGATTCTCTGGTTTTACCCATGAATGCGGAAGATTTGACAACCCTAACTCAATTAGTGGTTTTTATGTGTAGCGGTGGTCGAAAACATTTACATGCGTCCTTCTTTTCTGAGCGCATGCACCAAAACATGTGAAAAATAACGTCTGTAGTCTACGATTCTAACGAATAGCATGGTATGTAAGCTTATGGCAGAAGTTTTGGGAGCTGTCAAGTTTCCAACAAAACTTGTATAAATTTACACTTATTTATAAACCGTCAGAAATGAATTAACAGCAATATCGACTGGAAATCTTCAGTTTGATCTCACAAAATGTGCAATAATCGAATAAATTCTCAGATTGTGTGTCATTTAACCGTTCCTATGCTATAAACAGGTGTTTAAACTTAATCTTGTGAAAATCTAAAACTTCTACATGGTAAAGCAATCGATTTGCAACTCTGGAGTCAATACAAGTAAGTCAAAAAGAACGTTTTCCCAGAAACTCATTCTTAATATACCGTTTATATCATTGTTTTTCAAAATGAACTTACAAAGACAATATGACGTAAATATTATCTACTTATATGTTTGTGGTTTGTAAGCTAAGAATGGGATCGATAGCAGCTGTTTTTGCGGGCTCATGAATTACGTTTATATGCCACCAGATAGATAACACATTAATACGCGGCGAGTGAATAGTTGATGTAAAATATCCATTATTTCATTACCCTGGTCTCTGTCCTGCCACCCGTCTTGCCGAAAGAGGAAATTAGAATAAGCATAATGGATGAATATTGTTTATTATTTTCGACGGGAAGATGACGCACAGAATCCATGATGAGATAAATAAAGTCGGGAATACGCTGTCGACTTCGTTGACGTGATTTTAAAGACATAACATAGATATACATCAATCATCTAATAATGTTTTATCACCCGCGCATTAAAGGTGTTTAGAGGAAGAAATGTGAAGGGGAAAATGTTCATACCGCAACGAATTTTCTACCTGAACGCGAATTTCTGTACATTACGTCCGACTCACAGATTTGTGTAGAGAAACATAGCCGTCTCCATAACAACATCATCGAAAGCCCCTTCTCTATCCCGTCTTTCCTCTTTACAAATGCGGTTTGGTATTTCTTCTTACCTTGGGTTTTTATCCTTCCATCTGTATGCAGACCTACACGAAGTGCCATCATTACTCTCACAAAGAAAATTCATGAAGCGAATTATACGCGTCAGTTTTTAATAATTATGGTAATATCTCAGGAACGAGAATTTCCATTTATTTTGTTTCAGTGACGATGAATTATCAAGAAAGCATTTACCAACATGAGGATGCTCAGTAAAAAAAACCAAGACATTTTTCTCTCACGATTATCCTTCCCTTTAATTCGATTAACGTGGATATTTGAGGCAGGTCCTTTGCTTTTAGCAGATTAAGCTTGCCGTTTCCAATGATTCATGTAAGAGCTATTTGGACAGAATGTCTTCCCCATATATCGAATAGATTAAACTGTAAACTTTCATTATCTCTATACACGTTCATCACATATTCCTTTTTGAGACATACCGTATACAACTAACTAATTCATACTCTTAACCAAGTTATGATTTATTTGGTTAAGTATATGAGAAATTGATTTGTCCCTATTTATTTGTCTTGAGGATATCACATATTAAAGCTTATACTTACAAGTATTTAACAAAGACCCTAATACAACAGTTCACCTTTCATTGATAAAAATGTATCTAAAAATATTAGTGTCTTATTCAGATTAACTTTCTTACCTCAGACTGTTTAAAAAAATGTTATACCATGCCCTGATTTCTTCTCATTTAAATTATTGTAATATTGTTTGGGGTTTCACTTCTAAAAGAAATATTGAACGAATTTAAAAATTACGGATGCGTGGGATTCACCTTATTACACACTCTTTTTCTGTCTCACACTCAACCATCATTTTTTTAAAGCAAATCCTACCTATCCATGATTTATTAACCTTAAAGGGATCGTTTAACAATGTTAAATCTGAGATACACGGCCCGAAGTGTTATCAGTGTCTGTGATATGGTGTAATATTGAAGCCCTAAAAAAAAATTGCGCTTCAAAATGATCAAGAAGTGCCTCAAAAAAGTAAAAAACCTTTGAGTGACCGGTTTTACCATACTCGTTTTCCCCAATAGACTGTAGAGTTATGAAAACCGTCAGATGAACGGTTTTCAAAATTTGTAATTCCAATCATAAATATCTTGATAATCAGACAGGCGATCGGCTTGTAAAAGTCATGGGGCTCCTGACTGACCTAAAGGTTTAAAATTATCATTGCATCATGAGCTAAATCCAGAATTTTGTTTCAGAATCTGAGACAAAGTTACCGGATCCCTTTAAATACTGCAATTTGCATGTTTCAACTGTCTAATAAGTTTCTTCCAAAGATTTATGATGATTATTTTACTTTGCATTGTTCCATTCATACTAGAAATGCCCAAAATGTCCACCCTATCAATAATTCAGAATTCAATTTTTACAACGGACCATTTATTTGGAATAACCTCCCACCTAATCTCAAGAATAGTAAGACCATGAACAGTTCAAACGATTATTTAAACAACACCTCTTGAACACATAAATGATGAATATTTTGTTGACGTTTCCTTTTTTTTTCTTCCTTATCAATTATTTTACATTTTTAATTTTGATGTTTTTGTTATGTTTTTCCTGTTTTATATAATTTTTGATATTTTCTTACAATGTGTTATGCGTATACTTGTTAAGGGGTCATTTTCAATAAGCCAATTATTGTTTTTCATGAACCCGCCACTATTATTCATATGTATATGTTATTGAGTTGTAAACATTTTTCAAAGCGGAAGTACATTAAATTGAATTGAATTGAATAAATAAGAAAAATAACATAAAAAACATCAAATTTACGAGGGGAATAAATAATTTAGTAGTAAAAAACACTTACCTCGATTTGTATTCCCATCAGAGAATGAGGTGTGATACTTTTCAATTCTACACGTACTTACGTTATGCGGGATTGCAGGAAATTGGACTGTATGATTATATTCCACGAATACCTATGGTAATAGGAAGCTATTTTTTAAATGAGCACCGCAGACAATAAACACTTTTTTTTTCAAGTGATTACTTTCTTCATGCCTTTATACTGATGCTGTGCATATACATGTATATACCTGCTTCGACGACCACACCCATACGACATAAACGCAAAACAAACACTCATACACTTAAGGAAAGTAACTCGAAATGTACAATTGTTTCTTGGCCTTTATTACTCCCGTTCTGCAAAACTGTACACGCACATCAAATGAATTACTGTATTTCATGAATATTCATATAATAAGCACAGGATATCTTACATACCTATATTAAATATCTCGATTATATAATTAATCGTTAACATCTGGAACCTTTTCATTGTGCATAATGGAGAAATCCTCTCGTAAAACTGCCTTATTCGTTCCATCATTTTGACCGGCATTATGAACTACAGTCATGCGCGTCAAATAGATAACAGATTTCATTTCCTGGAAGCGTGAAAGTACAGTCTCCCTTCCAATTTTCCCCGAGAGGGAGAAAGAGAGTGAATTCATTCCACTTCGTTATTCTATAAACCTCTGCCGTCACTTGCTGCAAGTAGATTAACCTATAGTCCCTGAGCTGGTAAACTAGGTGTAGGGGTGGTGGTAGGGGGCAGTTATGCCAATATCCATGAATCTCAGGTGTGGTTCTTGGTCAATGTTAACAGCAAACTGTTCACCCCCCCCCCCCCCAACTCAATGTTATTTAGGGTATGCATATTATGCGTGTCCCCAGCACCCCTCCCCTTTAGCATAAGTCCTGTGTGTAAAGTCAATACGGGTAGACCTTTTTATTTTGTTATGAGCCGGAGATTTTGGGAACACGGATGCGGTCCCTCCGTTCTCGGAGTGTGGGGGGGGGGGGGAGGGGGCTGTTCACCAAGAAGGATATAGGATCATCATGTGGCGTAGAGTGGGTCCAGCCATTGAGGGGGTATCGGCACCATGGGGCATCATCTTATGAGGCAGGATACGGTAGGCGGCGTCGAATCACCTTATTTTCAAGTACATTTCTACCCCTTCCCCTCCCCCCCCCCCCCCCTCTCTCTCTCTCTCCTCTCTCTCTCTCTCTCTCTCTCTCTCTCTCACTCTCTCTCTCTCTCTCTCTCTCTAACTTTCTCTCTCTCTCTCTCTCTCTCTCTCTCTCTAACTTTAGATTCCAAACGACATAATTCTAACCAATCATAATGAAAATGCAAGAAAAAAAAACCTTTCTTTCTTTTTAAGTATTGTGCATACCAATGATCTAAATAATTTCAAAAGAAAGTTAACACATTCATGGTTTTATTTAGCTTAATCAATATTACCCCTTGACTTAAAATAACACCAGTTGTTTATCAGAGTGCTTTATATCGAAATAGATTTAAACTTAGCCGTCCAAAGCTCTATGTTCACATATCAGTCTCATATTGCCGAACAAAGGGAGAGAGATTGTAAATGGACATGCGTGGACACGAATTAGGATTGTTCCATCAAAATCCATTTTATTCCATTTAGGTAAGACAAAAATAGGAAAGCTAACATCCGTTTCTCGCGTTATTGCTCGCAATTTCTTTTGGCCCATCAAGGGATTTACAAAAGAGTTTCCAAGCATTCGCAGAGCTTTATAAGGAACATCATAATGGAATAGATATGTTCTGCAGCTTCCGAAATTGACGACCTCTGTTCTATCCTGCGTTTTGCTATTTAAGTGCTACTAGCAATTGCAGAAAAATGACTTTACGAAAGGTCGCGTACATGGATAGCAAATTCATTTTAAATCAAACTCCATGACATAGGTACAAAACTGGAATTATGAAATCACAGAAAAGTAGTTATGTTATCCATGGACTACTCCGATGTTTTAAATCATTTTCTCGTATAAAATGTTTTTATTTCAACTTTCGACGTCCTTTCCCTTTCTCAACAATGCAACATTACTTGCTAATCTGATTTATTTCTTTTTCATGATTCTATCTTCAGTTGCTGCATTGGATCTCGAGGAGAATTTTTGTCGTTTCTTGAGGCCAGACGCAACGACTCCACAATGTGTTATTAACCAAGAAGAACACAATGTGACGTACTTCATCAACTGTAACATCCCGCCTTGTGATGGTAAGATAAGACAAGATTATAAAAATTAGAAGGGACTCTACAAATTTACCTACTTTAACGATGTTTTTTTCAAAGGTTAGATTGAATCGGGTTGTGTCCCCCCTCCCCTTTCTGAGTCGAGGTAATAATGGGCTCGATGCTCACGGCATGTCCGACTTTTAAGGGGAAGATTACAATTTGAATTACTTTGAAGGAATATAAAGAAATAATATAATTGCGGTGTCTATGATTGACTTATTATACCCGAGCGTTCAACCGATAAATTTACTATTCCTTAAATGTTTTGGTAGGATCGGCTAATACTCTTACGCTTTAAAAATTATTTCTGCAGAACTCCCCCTCCCCCTCCTAATAATCTGTATAATGAGCAAAAAAAATCTGCTCATGATATATGATATACTTATCATGCTTTATATTAAGCCCCCCCCCCCATGTTTCAATGTTAGTAACAAAATAATGCTACACCAAATTCTTCCAAATCGGTTCGTCGTTGGATCCTGTAGTGTGCGGTGGGCTCTAAAATTTTCTCAATTGAAATGGAGTGTGAATTCCCTTCTTCCATCCTCAATGGAAGTATTAAATTTCGCTCTAAAATGCCGTGAATGGGGAATGAATATAAAAATCCATAGATGTTGGACTGCTAGTGAGGTATACAAATGTATTGTGTTTCTTTCACGATCACAAAAAGGTGGGAAAGTGGAAAATCACCACGAAACATTAATCAATAAAAAAGAAAATTAAAGTGATGTGGGAGATACTGGAAATACCATACTCTGATAATTCGTAAATCATATTATTTCTGAAGGATGTAACCTAAATATAACTTTTACTGGTCATTGTGGTTGGAAATCAATCTTACCCGCTTCTCTGAGCGACTCAATATCAAAGTGGAAAAGATCGCTCTTCTTTGTAAACAAAACTCGTGTACTAAATGAGGTGTAATAAATAATCTTGGTAGCAATGGTATATACTCTATAATAATATAATAATAAAATAAAGGACAGGCGAACTATGATGGAAGGATAGAATGCAGGAACGATCTGGATGGGAGTGGTCCCCTCTGTTTGTTTTAGTGCTTTTAAGCGTAAATATTGCACTAGGTTTTATGATGAAAGGGTCTTCTCTTTGTTTGTTTCTTTTTTATCCCTGTATCTTTCTTTCGATCGTCCTCCTTTTTCGTTGCCATTATAGGGGCAAGTGCCCTTCCACTTCTCTATTAAACCTCGGAAGTGGGAGGGGCTAGGTCACTATCTGGCAGATAAAAGAATATTTGAATGCTTACAGCTGGGTTAGCGTCATACTTTAATACCACAAACATAACTTCCAAAAGTATATACCTATTACGATTTGTTTTATTATTATCATTGAGAATCCTATTCCACTTTTTATTCAAGTTGGCTTGGGAATACGACATCTTGAACAACATGCACGTTGTATGGTTGGTATTGGAATGACTGTAGATACCCGTTATAAAATGATTAACTTTGACAATTTTACCATTCAAGTTCTTTTGTTAATAACTCATTCCCTGTAGCTCATGCTGGCTGCATGGTCGGTAATGGGAGTGAGTATCGAGACATGGCTATGTTCACAGAGACTGGTCATCGATGTCTACCGTGGCAGGATATGAATGAACAACCAGTCAACCCATCCACTCACCCGAACGATGGTAAGAACGCATGCAGCGCGTTCAATAACATATATTTCAGGTGATAGCATTTCTGTTTTTGTAACGATTTTTAAAACATGCCCGTCCTCGTATTCATGATATTGAATAGTTCAGTTCTTAAACATGCTTCATCCATACAAGTGAATTCTAAGAAAAACATGGGTTTTTATTCTTCTCCTTTGCATTATTAATTTTGAAATGAAAAACGTACTACTGTATATTGTGGATAATGTAACCACTCTGACTTTCAGAAATTCCGGTACCGTAGCTTTTTCGTAATCAATGCATTACTTTTAATGATATGTAGATGTAGCATGATATAATTAGTTTTACGAAACCTTCAGAACTTGTTTAGCTCTAGGACAGCCTCGATGTTTTTGGTTCATACGCTTTCCTTAGACGTGTACTGGCAATATGTAGCGGGTATACTGCCCCATTACGCGGGATAGAAAACCTTTTAGGTATGTTTTAGAACTGAATCCTATAATAGTAATATGAATCATGAAGATAAGCAAAAATATGATATTACCTCAGTAACTTGTTTTTTTCTTGGTATATGCCGTATTGTATACGACATTCCACTCAACCAATCAGGTTTTCTCTTCGTTCACTGCTCATTCTGTCTCATAATGACTATTGATAACTACACTATTATTTAGAAAGTGAAATGCACAAGTAAAATCAAAAGTCAATCTCATTTCAATTTAGTTTCTGCTTTATCGAATTTCCCGAGGCACCTGTACTTGACATGAATGTATGTTGGCATCTGCACGCTTTTATCATAATCTTCAAAAACAAGCTCATAGGATAGTGAGGATGATGGGAACGGGGTACATTTAATTTGATGCCCCCGAATTCCGAATATTGAAGTCTGTTTTAGAAGTCATAAGTAAATTAGACATGTCAGATAGTATGTCAAGAAGAGCCTTCAGCGATTCATTTATTAAAGATCGATTGTATAAAAATTATCTTACTACAGCCATGAGCACATACCTGGTCAAATATTTTATTCATAATTTGAGGCTTTATTAAGATGCTTTTATTCTATCCTTCTCATTTGTCAGGACTTTCTCAGAACTTTTGTCGAAACCCTGACTCTCAGGAGAGGCCATGGTGTTACTTCTATGATGAGAGCTCGATATCATGGGACTACTGTCCTATACCACAATGTAAGTATAGGCTTGACAGAAATTCATGATTATTTTAGAAAAACAATTCTAATATGTTTTATGAGAGTTATGTAGGAATCCATATATTTTTAGGATTTCACGCGCCATCCACTCAAAATCTGTATTTATTTTTGTTTAAACGCTCATTATAATGGAGAACAAATGGAAATAGATACTCTTTCTCTCTCTCTCTCTCTCTCTCTCTCTCTCTCTCTCTCTGTGAATCTACAGGTCAAGATAATTCTTTAGCTAACTTCACTCGTACTATGAGTACGACCATTAATTACCGACTGTGGCCATACAACGAGTACAAAGGAAGTGATATCGTCACCGTGGAGAAGTGCGCCCGCCTGTGTCTCGAGGTAAACATGTTGTGTGTATTGATGTCTTGTTTCAGTGCTTCATTGGAAAGGAAACGTCAAAGAGTATAACATCAATAATATATAATGAATATGCTGTGTCATATCTTTCTAACAGTACTTTGGAATTTTATTTTAAAGAGAAGGTTGAGTTCTGGGAAGAGGTGAAAAATAATTTGTGAGCATTACTCATTCTTATTATGCAAGTGTGGAAGAACATCAGTTAAGACATGTTCCCTGAAAAGCATGGCTCTTCGAATGCTTTCATATTCTAAATATGCATGTAAAATCGTAAAAAATTGGGGGCCGGCTTTTTACTCCACGTGTTCGTGTAGTCCCATATACATCTTTCTGTGCAAGTGTTTGTAACTTTACCAAGACTTGGCAAAATTTCTTATCATTTTGATGATTCCAGAACCTTGCAATACACACATGCTAGATGATCAACCTTTTCTGGTCGGTTCCACACCGTTACTTTCACAATGCAATCGCATGACCAGAACTCAACTTCATCTTTAACTGTTCTGTATAAACGATATGCTTTTTGATGTAAATTGTTCATGTTTATTCAGGGCCCGTGGAAAACCACTACTTATTGGTGAATGGGCTACCCTGACAAAAGATTATAAATAAATAAATAAATGAATATATATATATCATATAATATAAAGAATAAAATAATAAGAATTACAACAACAAAAAAGAAAGAAAGAGATCATCAACTGATGCCTGCGGATCACCATAAGAAATCAAGTTTCCATTATATTTAGGTACGAATATTCTGACGGAACAAACTTCTTCTCGACGGTTAATAAATGACTCTCAATATAATGCTCATTAATATGCTACCAGAAGTACGAGAACGAATACCACCCAGTAGGGGTGACGATTTAGGAGGACGTGAGATTTTGGGTTTAATGCGACAAAGTGTAACAAGATTGTATTACCCTATCAACATGTAACAAGATTGTGCTACCCCTCCCCCCCTCACCCCCTCCGTGAAATTGGGGGTATAATGTGACAAAATATAACAAGATTGTACTACCTGTCGCTATTTCCATATTTATAGGAGACGTCTTTCAAATGCCGTTCGTTTATATTCAACGAGTTCTTGAAATACATCAGCATTGTAGTGACGGACGCGCATGATGCGAGCTCATTATGTATATGGACCAATGTGACGGTCTATCATTTGGATAACTATAAAGAACCCATTGTGGATCAACAGTTTGATCTCTTCACGAGGACGGAAGCAAGTAAGTTCACACGATTAATGCTAATAGTAAATTATGATAATAAATAAAGTGATTAGTAGTAGTAGTGGTAGTAGTAGTAGTAGTAGTAGTAGTAGTAGTAGTAGTAGTAGTAGTAGTATTAGGAGGAGGAGTAGTAGATGTGGTAGTAATCATAATAATAATAGTAATTATAATAATGAATGGAATACTATGATCTTAATAGGGTGGATTACGAATAAAAAGAAGAAAGACGAAGAAAAAGAAGAAAAAGAAGAAGAAGAAGGAAAATAAAAACTATAAATGACAGCTAATAATATCAACAGCAATGAAACGACACCCGCGAATGAATATGATTATTTTCCTTAGTCATCGTTTCATTAACCATTAGGGGTTTTCCCGTCTAGCTTCTCAAGTAGTATACAAATATACACTGTTTCAGAGATTCTGGTTAAAACTATGCGCAAGAAGTGACTCCTATATAGTACTATTTGCTGAGGGGCGCAGCCCCGTAGCAAATGGTATTTGGGAGTCACCGAGACCCATAGTTTTAACCAGTACCTCGAATAGAAGGCATGGTATATTTGTTTTATATCCTGCATCAAAAATGTATTTAATTTTTTTTTTGTAATCCTATTTTTGGGGAAAAATATAAATTTAGAATATAATAAAATGTCAATTTTTATCAAAAAAGATTAAAAATATTTTGTTTTCATTAAATTAAGATTTAAAAAAAAATCAATTCAAATTTCAACTCCCAAATAGTACCCACAAATAGTACTCTCATATAGTGCTTTTTCAAAGCAACCTTAAAATAGATGGAATATTTCTGATCACATGACGAGCTCTAAACCAATCAAAAGCCAATACATGTTTGATGCATGATATAATAAGAGATATTTGAGGTTTAAATAGGTGTTGGCTTGCGCTTATTATAATGATTTTAATGATATTTCGTGTAATATTAAAGAGGGTTGGCTGGTGTGTGATTTGGAGTTGACTGTGGTCTCACATATCAAGTTTAACATGTTCAATCGTACACGCGTCAATGGTGCCTTCTTGTTGTATCTTAGGAATGTGTATTATCTCTCGCCATATGCATGTAAAATAAAAATAAATAACACGAAACGTATTTACGTAACTACAATGACTAACACATCTCATATCTATCAATTATTTTAACAATGCTTTCAGTATGTGATGCTTTCGAGCCAACCTCGTTCCCAGGTAAGATGCCATGTAGTTTTCTTTCCCTCGTGTGCCTTATGAAGTTTATCAAGATGTGCGATGTCTTTTAAACGTTTCATTTCATTTGGCGTCAACATGACATTGTCTCATTTTGCTATCTCAGTTCCTTTCTGTTGTTTCACTTAGACTGTCGTTTCAAATTCTCTTTTTTTTTTTAAGAACAAGCGCTTATGAATTTAGATTCAAATTCATGTTTTTGCACGAAATTTTGTTTATAAAAATGAGTATCGTAATCACATTTTATATGATTGATCATAATAAGATTTATCAATAAAGTCCTGAAAATATATAAACTTTATCAATCGAGAATACATCATATTGTCTCAGTCATTTCATGAAAATAAATAAGAAACATTATGCCAACTGCATGAGCTACATTGCATTAACGGCGACAAGACGTCCAATATATTTAACATTGATTTTGCAAGTATTCATTTCTCTACGAAACAGTATGTTGTTGCTTTCTTTATTTGTACGCAAATGATTTATCAACTTATTTTAATATTTGTCTTTTTTGTAAGGGAAGTAAATTTAGATTAATATTGAAACTGACATTTTACTTTGTCTAACTTGCTGAGTATTAAAGTAAGAACGTCCATCCTAAAAATGTAGTTGTTTTCAGAAACCAAACATGATTTGTCAATACAGTTTAACGCCCTTTGAGCAACACTTTTTGTTGCTCAATCAATAAGATCATAAATTATCTATTGTGTAGATGCTTCGTATAACTTGATGATAATTGGTGTAGGGCATAGACTTTTTTCACTCAAATTTTTACTTTCCCTGAATTCACTTTGCGTGTAATCACAACAAATATTAGTATCTTCTTTCTGCAAATACAAATTTTGCACTGTCCTACTCTGTCAATATTTCAAAAAGAGAGATAAAGTGACGTTCAAATCGATTAACAGTACGTCGATAATTCTGTGTGTCTTTTCTGCATTAAGTAAACATGCCTGTGAATGATCACTTTTAAACATGTAAAACATCTCAGAAATGACAGGAAGAATGGAAACAAATACATGTATGATCGAATAACAGTTTCTTTAAATGTGATTTTTGTGATCAAATGTGATTAAATCTCTTTAAAAAAGTATTAGATATTTATAGAATGTTAATGAAATTATCAAATGAAAACCAAATTATGATTATCACTGATTATTGAATTTTGTTCATTTCATTTCATCACGATCTTTGATAACTCTGTCTAGACCTGTGTTCGTTGCCTCTGGGCATGGCCTTCGGTGAGATCAGCGATGCTCAGATACGAGCCTCATCCTACCTTGATGACGATCATATGCCTCACTTTGCTCGCATCGGGAATCATTCATCATGGATGCCCGCCCTCAATGATCAGCAGCCGTTCATCGACGTCATCTTCCCTTCCAGGATGATCTTCACAGGTCTCATCGTCCAGGGCGAAGGCGTCGACGACGGCGCGTTCGTCGAGAACTTCTACGTACTATATCGGAATGATGACAGCGTGCAAAGCGCGTGGTGGTTCATTATGGATTTTAGCCTTGGTCTTGAAATCACTGATGTAGTAAGTATTCGAAAGGTGTATGCAAGGGGCCTGCTCGAACACCCCCCCCCTCCCCGGGAATTAAAAAATGATAATACCAATGTTAAGACAACCGTCTTATGCCATTCTAGCAGCGAGGTGGCAATTTGTCATCTGTTTATCTGATCGGTTAGGTTTTCATGACAAAATGGTGCGGTCACTTTATTTGAGTGACCAATATTGTTTCAGAACTGGAAATTCGATATCCGTTTAAGGAACGTCTGTTCGCGATATAGTATCATTTGTTATTATACTCTGTACCTCAACATTTCGGTAAAATTTGATAACAAGTAACCACCATATTTCATTTCACGCTAAAATTATATTGGAAATGTTTATTCAATAATTCAGAGGCTATTTCATTTTTTGCCACAAGTGCGCCTTCAGCATTTGACGCCTAAAAATTCTCATTTCTTTCCTTCTTTCTCACCCCCACTCACTCTCTCCACCACTCTGTCTCTATCTTTGTCTGTCTGTATGTCTCTGTCTCTCCCCCTCTCCCACTCCCTGTCTCTCTCTTTCTTTCTTTGTGTCTTTCTTTCCCACTCACTCTCCCTATCCCTCTGTCCCTCTTCCATACATACACTAGCTATTTCGAGCGAATGGAGAGCCTCACTGTGAGCATCCGGTGTACTTCGATCCACCGATCCGTGCCGCTCAGCTCCGCGTCATGCCTTATGAGAAACATAAAAACATCTCACTCAGACTCGAGGTCCTTGGATGTCGAGACGATGGTAAGCTGAAATCAGAATTATTCATGTTTTATTCACAGACATGAATGTGATTTCCATGTTTTATATCATATTGATCCAAATCCAAGATATCCCTTTTTATGTTTCATGTTTCATCAAAGTATGGGCTATATCACATAAAGCAATTTAAAATGGGGCATTAAGTTATGAAGAAAATAAATTCCATGCATTTCATTTAGAACTAATCTATTATAGATTTGTACAAGAAAACGTTTTATTATCAACTTATCATGATAGGCATACTGCAGGGAATACATGATTGTTTTCTAACCGTATTAGTATTATATTTGTTTTATTTCCGAGACCCATAACGTCACGACTTATGTGATGAGGTAATGGCTTTCGATATTGCAAGCATATATTCACAGTGGTAAGCTGGAAGGAGGGGGGGGGGGGGGGGGAGATTCCTTGACACCATTAATACAGTTTGCGGCACAGATAATCGGTTGTTCCTTTTACTCACATTGTTTTTCCGAATTTTAAACAAAATATTTTGATTACGATTATTTATCAGTTTGTATTGTTAGGTCATAATGATAAAGCGCAAAAAGGTTTTTGCGATGTCAGCCACTGTTTATTGGTACATAATATGTCACTTTATTGATATTGGCCTCTTTTCGTTGGAATTGGTCGACATATATCAGTTATATATGGGCCTATATTTATATCAATATTTATATATTTATCCATTTCATCACATTTTCTTGTGTTCTTAAGATTGTGATTTTACACTCGGCATGCAAAATGGGCAAATACACGACAGTCAAATCGAAGCGTCATCGAGTTTGAATGACGCCCTCAACGCCCCAGCCATGTCCAGACTACGTCCATACGGTCAGCAGAGAGACGGTAGTGGATGGATGCCTACGTCTGTCCATACGCCTGGTGGTCGCATCTCCGACTATGACGCGTCTTCTCTACCAGAGGTCAAAGAATGGATTCAGGTTAGTTCCATCAAGGAGTTTTAAGAGATGGAGTCATTTCTAGCTCATTCCCTTTGTACCATCTTTGATGCCGCCAGGAGAAAATTTGTCAGGTATGTGCTGAACTGGATCTTTCTTGCAGATACGGGTAGACATAAGATTCCTGCCTAGCTGCAAACTAACGGGCCACTTTCAAAGGGAAATATGCTTTTGTAATGACAATTACTTTTCGCTACCACTCGTCTGATAATACGAGCAGTACACAGTGCTTACTTTTACAGGAGGCAAACGAATGGAAATGGAGCAAAATTTCCTAAAATATTAACAAAAATTACTCGACTGGGCATATGTGTACAAGAACAAATTTCCTTTTTATTTTCGTGAGCCGGAAGTAATCGGAAAAGTGTCAAATTGCAGGTTTTAGGATTGTAAAATGTTACTATTTTCACAAATTAAAACTGCTTTTATACAATGTATGCACATTTCTTGACACAATATTTATTAGGTTTTTGTATTCATATTTTATCATCTGTTCGATTTTTCTCTTGTTATTCAAAATAAAAAAAGAAATATTAACTATATTTCTTTGTGAAAAAAAAATCACTACTCAAGCTTTCCAATGATATTAACGGCTTCGAACCTCGGACATCAAAGGTAACAGAACACCTGTAGATTCTATTGTGCAACCTTAGAGAACGGCAGCTGCTTGGAATAATTTGTTGCCAGTTGGGACTCCAGCTCTTAAAACTCCTTGGTAGGACAAACATAATGTTTCTCTTACCAAGCAACACATAATATATGCAATTTGAATTCTGACTATTGAGATACATTTATTCGTAACAGGTGAATGAAATAATTCGTATCGAGGCCCTTTGCTAAGGATATGCATACATTTGGTTATAATACGAAAATGGCCCATTGTTGAAGAGGTGTGCATAAAATTTGAATAAATGTGATCTATTCAATTTGATGTTTCCTCATGTCAAAGATAAATTTGGATCTCGAATCTTAATGTGGTGTTATCTCCTGATTTCTCTCCATGCGCTAGGTTGACTTGAAAAGGAAATATTTGATCAAGGAAGTCCTGACCCAGGGTTGCGGAAAGCGATGGGTTACAGCTTACAGCCTGCGCTACTCAGAACATGCTGAGGGGGAGGGACATCAGCTCAGACCATACATGGTTGGTAATGAAACTAAGGTAAGAAGCACTCCTACAAGGCATGAAGTATAATATTCGGGTCTAAGTACCATCAGGAGAAAGGCCACGTTAGGCTACAACCAAAAATCACTAATAGTAGACTATTTATCAAATGGAATTAGACTAACTGGATACCAGATGAATTTGCGTAGGACAATGCATACTGCAACATTATTATAACATTATAATACATAATGTTTACTCAGAGTAAAAGTTTATTACAATATTAAAGACGTTCGTTATAGAGATTTCAAGTAGCATGAATTTACCTATGTTTGGAAAAAATACAGATGACTGAAATTGATGTGTATATAGATTAGGGCGGTAGACAGTTAGATAGATAGACAGGTAAAAAGATAGATAGGTAGATAGCAAGATACATAAGTCGATAGATAGACAAACATACAAAAAGAAAGACAGACATATAGATGGAAGGATAGATAGATAGGTAGATATGTATTCTAGCTAGATAGATAGATAAAATCAATGGTGTATTGATAAAGCATAACTTTCCTATTCATTCTTAATTTCCAGATCTTTTTAGCAAACAATGATAACAACACGGTGGTTCGTAATAGCTTGGAGAAGCCCACAGTGGCCCAAGTCATTCAACTTGTCGTTCTGTATAGCCACATCGGAGTGTGTCTTCGGTTTGAACTTATTGGATGTAAAGACAGACGTAAGTTCAATATTCCATCTTTCATATTGTCATAGTCATACAATGGGTGAGATTTTATTTAAGAGAGATAACTTGAGAGAAATAAAAGCGAAAGTTGTGTTTATATACATGTTTATAGATAATATTAGCTTTGCTCTATCCTTCCGTACAGTGTTCAATGCCTATAATAGGCAGAGCAGAAATATATATTGAATAAGGCAGACTAATGGAACATGTTTGCTACTCCGAGTTTCACGCCTTGCGAGCATTCATCAGGCAACTGGTAGCATTCTTAAAAGTACATGATTACTCTACAACCTGGGTGAAAATACGTTCAAAATAAGACTTAATTAATACAATACAATACAATACAATAAGAATAACTCATGGGTGAAGGGGCTATTGTAATTACTCAGGTAATATATATTCACTTTTCATTAGACTCTGATGAACCTTTAAGCCTTTTGCCATCTTTGAACCTTTATTTGAGATCTTCCAATCGTTCTTGTTTTTCTTTAATAAACGTATGAATTATTATTGAACCTGTTTTCCATTTTTATTCTATATTGAGTCATAAACGCAATCATGGTCATTTTGTTTTCAATTGTGGTGTATGCATACATCACAGAAAGAAAATAAAGAAGATATCGTAATAATAATAATAACAAATTATGTATTTATTTCACACATTTATACAGAATATCTCATTTAGATTAAAGCCATAAGGCTCTGTCTCATTACAAAAACACATATATACAAATTTCACAAAACAAAATTATACAATAACAGTAGGAAGAAAAAGACAACAATTAAATAGATAAAGCATAATAACAAAACACAATGATAACGCAAGTAAGACTAATAATATGAAATAAATTACGATAAAAACTGATCTTTCATGTTGCTCTGCTTTGTAAAAATACAAATAGATATAAAAAATGTTTCCATAATGAATGAATAGAATAATGATACAATATAAGAAGTGAAAATGACTTTGTATTAAAAACAGGAAGTAAAACACCGCTCATTTAATATTCTAAAAGAGCAAGAAAGGTCAGATTTTTTAATACAATGTGCTATAAAATAAGGATTCATGATAAAATTGACAGAGAACCTAAATAAATCTCCCAGATCCAATTCAGTTCATACAAATTTAAGACGAGTTTTAGAAAATTATTAAACATGTTACTTCTCTGATATCATCCGTTTAAATGCATTGAGAGTTAAACAAAATCGGACCATTACTGTTAGCTTTCTTCACACGTTAACGCCATAATTAACGAAAGTGTTAAATACAATTCAGTATTGCACATAATGAGGTTTCAACAGATTCTTATTACTATTTCGAAATGTGCGTTGCATAATATCATCTCGTAGTAAAAAATTATCAGACATAGTTGGAGGAGCTATTAGTAATGCATTTAAAAACAACAACAAGTGGCCTTGTCGAACAATTCATTTATAGAGTTGGCCATTTTAGGCCACCGAAGACCTGTCGCGATGGAATGTGCCAAGACTATCTTGAAATAATATACGCTGCTCTTTTATGAAGTGTATTTAGCACATCGACATTATATTTAAATCGACAAGACCATACAGTGCAGCAATAAAGAGCATGCGGTAATACATATCCCCAGTATACAATTGTTTAAGTTGAAATTGAGTTAAAGATTCACGGAGCCTACGTACAATTATCAGTTTCTGTTTAATTAAGAGGGAAATGTTTACAAAATGTGAGATTTACGGCAATGGTAACACCCAGACATTTATAGGCTGAGACACATTCCAGTCGCTTACCGTTTACATCAACCTTTAAGGTCGCATCATCATACAAATACATGAGATTTATATAGCGCCATTATCCATTCTAATTAAATGCTCAAACCGCTTCAAAATATAAGGGAACACATCACATCATGACGAAGGAATCGTGTACATTTACATAAGAGTGAATGAATGTCTCTCTTCAAAACGCAAAATTGAACAAAGGGGATTTAAGGTTGCTCTTCAAAGACCTTTGAAGAATTGGTTTTCTTTAGCTTTTGTAAAAGTGAATTCCACAGGGCTGGATCGGCATGAGCAAAAGCTCGTTCCCCCAACATTTCTTTGAAAGCGGTATGTGTAGACGACCAGAGTTGGATGATTGGAAGGTACGTGTGGGTTGGTAGAGGTGAACTAAAGACTGGTTGTATTCAGGAGCTGTTCTGTTCATAATTTGACGAACTAAAAGAAGCATTTTGAAGATTATACGTTCCTTTACGGGCAACCAATGGAGATTTTGTAAGATAGGTGTAATGTGACTACGTGTGCTTGACAGAGGAATGGTGCGTGCAGCTGCGTTTTGTAGTTTTTGTAACCGTGCAATTTATGAATTTGGTAAATTATAGAGTAGACTGTTGCCGAAGTGAGTGGACAAGTTGCTCTGTTGCCAAACGAGACAAACATTTCCGTATCAAGCCAATATTGGGCTATTGATAGCGAGCTGATCTGAACATGCTGGTGATTCGTTTAGACATGGACATTTAAGAATCAAGCATGACGCCCTGATTGAGATATGAATTTAATAAAGGAATAGTGTTACCGAAAATAGAAATGGAGTCTATATGTAATTTGTCCAACTGAGATTTTGAGCCGAAAAGAATGAACTCGCATTTACTGTGGTATAATAGCAAAAAATGTGACTTCATGATTTCATCCAGGCGTAATATATCAGCGATGCAATTTTCTAAATCGCGCAAGGTTTGGGAAGCTTGAATTTGATGCGGCGAAAAAGTTTTTTTTAATGTCATCGGCATATAAATGATAGTGAACAAAGTGACATTCGAAAACATTTCTGAGACCAGTTAGATAGATTTAAAATCAGGTGGGCCCACCTACATAGCATTTGGGTACTCCACAGCCTACTGGTGGAGAATGTGAAACCGTTCAAAAGAACAGACTTTGAATGGCATGAAAGATAGGATTCAAACCATTCGAGAGCCTGGTCCTGGATACTCAGAAGTATTGACCAGTATTTTGTGGTCTACGGTGTCGAAGGCTGAGGACAAATCTAAAAGGACCATTAATGGCGGTGACAGATCCGGAGTCCATTTTTCGTAAGATAGAGCTTGAAACATTGTTAAGAAGGGTCTCGACACCATAATAACATCAAAGTAAATGTCCTTTGAAAAGACATTAGTTCAGTCATCCCATGCCTAAAAGATCAAAACATTTGACCGACGATTCCCTAAATAAAAATAACATTATTGGAAAAGTCAAGATATGTCGGTTTGGACTTTTTGGCGATGTGACTGGGGGTTTGGAATGAATGAAATTGTACAAAGTAAATGTATTTCGCAAATGGATTTGTTGTCGTTGCTGTTTTTGTTATTTCTAAATCTTGAACCCCTCACTGTTGTATTAGGATGTGGAAGTCGACTTGGTATGGAATCTCGGTTCATCAATGACTGGCAGATCAACTCCGAGGTTCATGAATGGTTTGGCCCCCATACATCAGGGAGGCTTCATTTCCCTGATGAATGCTGGATACCAAGTAGCTGGGGAGATCATCATTGGATTGAGGTAAGATTAATCATCAAGCATTCTATCCTACTTGCATGACGCCTTTATGGCGGATCCTCAAAGTAAGACTGAGAGACACAGATGATTCGACAATTCCTTAGACAGGGGTTATGTTTGCAGTCTCCTTTCGTTTAGATAATAAATTTGTATAACTTTATGCTTTTGATTTTTGTAAATGGGTCGATTACTACGCTAGTGAGTAAAATTATACATCATCATAATAATCATCATCATCATCATCATCATCTCTCTCTCTCTCTCTCTCTCCCCCTCTCTCTCTTTCCCCCTCTCTCTCTCTCTCTCTCCCTCCCCCTCTCTCTCTCTCTCTCTCTCCCTCCCCCTCTCTCTCTGCAGGTGAATCTGTTAGGGTACCATACCATCACCGGTGTAATCACTCAGGGTGGCTATGACTCGTGGACGAACAACTACCTGTGGGGCGAGTACTATCGGCTACTCTACCGGAGCAAGTACCACAGCGACCCTACCTCGCCCACCTCTGATCTGAACATGCAATGGAGACTCTATACAGACAGATTTGGAGATGGAGTGGTAAATTAACTCTCTTTGTCTTACTTTCTATCAGTAGTGTAGTGGTTTGTACATGGTAATAGTCTGTTTCTCATTAGGAAGTTGTATCAATCGCAACTTTGTACATAAGAGATAGGAGACTGCAAACTTGCGATTTTATTGGAGGACTTACGATTGATTTTGATCGAACTCTTCGTAAGACGTAAGACGGGGCCCTGGTGCACTCGAGGCGTCATGTCGATCATGCTATTCACAGCACTAATCAATTTTTATATCGTATACAAAAATTGATCTGATGATTAAATAGTAGTGAGATGTATGATAGGCAATGACTTCACTTTAGATAAGAATAATTTTCCTCCATTTAAGTTTCTTGATTTTTGTCTCTTCTAACCCGCCAATCTCACCCTCTCCGCAAATCAACCTATCTGTACCTGGCTCACGCCCTCTCTCTCTCTTACATACTCCTGTTATCTTGCTCATACTCTGTGTATCTCTTTCCTTCTCATGTACAGGATTTCCCTATGTACCCCGATCCTCATACCGAGATGCGTCACGATCTTGAGAGGCCTTTCATCACCACAGCTGTGCGTCTAAATCCACGATCTTCCAGAGGACAGTTCTGCATGAGGTTCGAACTCATAGGCTGCAAACTAGTTGGTAAAGCACTTTCCCTTTTATAATTGGTCTGCTAGTTTCACATATCTGACCTGCCTGAAGTGGCTGATACAAATATGTAATAATACGGATTTTAATAAGATAGAATTGAAATTGAAATTGAAATTGAATTGAAATTGAATTGAAATTTAAAAGATCTTAAAATGCCCCACCGACGACTGAATGAATGTACCAAGTTCAGTTGTATTTCACTGAATCTCTATATAATAATAATAATAGGCCGAGGTTGAAAGACTGTTTCACCATGCAGATAGATACTACGTATTTTATCATTTAATCTTCGTCGTGCGACAACTTTGAACGCACATGATTAGGGAGGCTAGTAAATTTGATGAGTACAATCTATTGCACATCAGACCGAAATAGCTTAATTGTCTTCTTGACGACATATCTTAAATGTATTAAGCAATAAACCAATCTTACTTGAATTCTGTTTTCTTTATTCCAATTGAAGGACTATTAGGTTTACAATACAGGATTTAGTTAAAAGCCGAATTACGAAAAAATATAATAGATAATTGTTTTAAGCACTAAAATCAATATCAAATGTATATACAGAGTTATACATTGTCTTGATCTCAACACACCGAATTGTTTTATTTTCAGATTACGGTCAGATCTGTCCCGAGACAGGCGACGAGCATGAAGGATTCTGCATGTATACAGTCAACAATCAAAAAGAAGATTCTTGTGATAAGATCTTCATGGAGGATAGTTATCCTATCTCCATCTCATCTCCAGGAACACAGAACTATCTTGATGACCGCAAAAAAAAGTTAGTAATGTTGAAAACTGTACCGAACTTCCCGAAGATTTGTTTATTCCTTCATCTACAATTTAGTTTTTCACCTACAAATCAAATTTGTCTTTACCTATCCAGACCTCAAAAGTCCTCAATGCTTACTGGAACCGGTGGTTCCTTATCTAACCCCATGATTTAAGAAAATTCAGGAGTTTGAACGGGTAAAACCCAAATGAAAAACGCCCAAAATATAAAGAAGGTGGAAAAACACCACTTATCTTTCAAGCGTCATTGTATTGAATTAGAAAATGTTCTATCTTGTAATATTTTCATGATTTCTTTTATAGATTTGAGCTGCCATACAGATATCAATACGTGATTGGACTGCGCATGCTCCAATCTCAGGGTCAGCACGCTTTTACATGGCGTGACGGTACTCCGATAACGTACGATAATTTCCGATGGACTCCTGATCAGGTGGACAACAACTCGACCGTTGATTGGTGCGTTTCATTTGACATGGATGACGACATGAGGTGGCGCGCTTACAAATGTCGTGATGATGTTATCTCGAGGGCTACTGTTTGTCAAATAGGTGAGGTGATATCATAGAACCGATATCGTTAGTGGGTAGTTGAAGTTTGGACCTGGCTGGAAGACCTCACTTTTTGGAAGGGGTGAATTAAGTTATGGTTTAGCTTTACCACCTCTACTCTGTTGGGTGCCTTTTCTTTACAGAATGTTTTCACATCTTCTTATTGATGACGAAGCTTATTATTAAACCAATCCTTTCCTATTTTATTAGGCTTAATTTCTTTGAATGAGGCATGCCTAATATAAAATTTGTTGCTCAAGACTCCCAGTACCTTTGCACCTGGCTTAAGACAGTTTTACACTAAGAGCAGGTCACATCGTCGCCCCCCCCCCAATATAAAATAAATAAAATAACAATAAAATAACAATACCAACAACCAATGGCCCATTAAAGGGGGAAATATGGAAGGAACTGGGGAAAGGTTATCCAAAACATCGACGTTGGCATGACTGCCTTTAAAATGTATAGGCCTGACAAAGGGTTGATTTCCTTCCCCAGTCGTAAAAAAATAGGGAAAAAATAGGGGAAAAATAAGGAAAAAATAGTCCCGAAAATATATTTTTTTTCTATTTTTTCCCTATTTTTTTTAAAGGAAAAAATAGGGAAAAAATAGTTTTGGAAATAGGAAAAAAATAGGTTTGAAACAATTTTTTCTATTTTTTTCCTATTTTTTTCCTATTTTTCAGACCTAAAAATAGGAAAAAAATAGGGAAAAAATAGTGTAGAAAATGGTGAAGAAAATAGTAAAAAAATAGTGATAACTAGGTGCTAGTGGACAGTGAAAAATAGTGAGGAAATAGGAGAAAAAATAGTGAGGAAATAGGAAAAAAATAGTAAGAAAATAGGGAAAAAATAGTAAGAAAATAGGGGAAAATAGTAAGGAAATAGGAAAAAAATAGTAAGAAAATAGGAAAAAAATAGTAAGAAAATAGGAAAAAAATAGTAAGAAAATAGGGGAAATAGTAAGAAAATAGGAAAAAAATAGTAAGGAAATAGGAAAAAAATAGTAAGAAAATAGGAAAAAAATAGTAAGAAAATAGGGAAAAATAGTAAGAAAATAGGAAAAAAATAGTAAGGAAATAGGAAAAAATAGACAATAAGTGAGGAAATCAGAAAAAAAATAGTCAGGAAATAGGGGGGGGGGGGGGTCACTCATCCTTTACTTTCATGGATTTCTCAAGCACTACCATCTCACACATCCAGTCAACGACTCTGTACATTCAATTAAATCATACAGTGCAAACTTGATATAAAGAGATCAGTTATACCTGAAATGACAAGGTAATTTAACAGCTTTTGGGGGTTAAGATTTCTTGGTTGCACATGACCTCATTGTCAAAAGTTTCCACTGTAGAATAGTCAACCTACTCCTACAGCTCTTTTCTCTGCATCGATGCACCTACTCAGTTTGCCAAATTCACTTCATCCTTTCAGTCCTATCCATTCAGTAGAACATTTAAAATAGTCAATGGGTATATGGAAAATGTTATACAGTCCACTCCTATTATAACGAACATGGATACACCAAGATTTTATTATCAGGCAATTCTCATCAGTCCCAATTTTAAACAAACCAATGTGTTCAGTAACTTGAGTATAACATGATTTCATTTTAACAAGGAAATTGGCTTGGTCCCGAGCACCTCGTTATAATGGCAGTGGACTGTAACAAACAAAAAGAATAAAAGAGAACGTGTCAAATAAAATACATGTACTTTATTTTCGAGAGGTAAACACAATGACATGAGTTTAGTATAGTATGTGTGTTCATGTAAGCAAATAAATAAAAGAACTTAACTGATATTTGCAATCTTTGGTTAAGTACTGTAGTGTACATGTTGTAGTAATAGAGTTGTTCATGGTTTGCTATGATTATACTCTAAAAAAAAAAACAAGACAAATGCGACTGCGTCTCCTATATGCCTCCGCCTTAAAAAAATATCATCCACCTAGAATGTAGCTTTCTATTTTTGTTCAAATAAAGTATTCAGGTGAGTTTCAGGACTATTACTGAGCCGATGTGGATATGCCAGGCAATCACAAGCTCTCTCCCTCACTAGTAACCAAATAAAGCAGTATTCTTGACATGAGAGTGTTGTTTTCTGTCTCTTTTATTACAATTTAATTGCAAAGTGCTCTTAATAATGTAATAACATTTTCAAACCTCAAGAAAATCATGACAAGTAAAAAAAAAATTTCTCGTTATTTACAAAGATAACAAAATAAAATAAATCATAAAACAGATTTTTCAACAATGCATGCATGCTCTATTGTACAGTTGACATGTTACATCATTTTCTCAATCTCAATTGAACTGTCAAAATCTTAATACAATCATCATAATCTAGAAACACTTACTACAAAATCAATGACATGTCATGTCATTGAGATATACATAAACAAGAAAATGACAGACTTACATGCTACTATTTTCAAATAGTTTTACAAAGTATACCATCATTACCATGTATCATAAGTAATGGTCTTATGGTCCTTTATCTTCACAATATGCAGGCACTCATTGTGTACACATTCATGTTGTACTTGCCTATGAATCTCAATGATTAGACATAAGTATTACATAATAAAATGGAAACAAATACTAATGTAAAGGATACAGATGTTGGTCATGCTGTTCACAGGCATCGAATGGTGATTGTACGTTACATGTACATTGTAGCTTGATTAGTTTCAATTGATCTGTAAAGATATAAATGAAATGTGAGTTAGGGGTTAGAATAATCATGCATTGGTACATTTATGAACATGCAATTAATACTTATTACAAGTATTTATGTATTTCATAATGAAAAATTCAAAGGCACAGAACATGTGTGTACAAAAGTATGATAGCAAAAAAGATGCCAGGCTGACGACGAACGGATGGTGAAACAACGGAGTCATCAAAGAGCTGTCAAGGTGCATGAAATGTAAACCACTCAGGTAGGCAATTAATTAGAGTTATTTTATTCTTAGATATATTTGGTGAACATACATAAAATAAAACATAAAACACAGAAAAGAAAATAGTAAAGGAACAATTTGTTGAAGAAAAAAATAAAAAGGAAAGAGAAAAATAATGTAGATCTAGGTAGAACTTGTGCCACCTGCAAATTATTGTTCTAGCATAATGATGAGGTAAACTACTCTAATATTTTGATGTCAGATCTTAACTAACAAACATGAAATAAATAAACCCAAAAAAATTATCAACAATAGATTTAGATTTCTACTTAGTTACTTGCTTGTTACTTGTAGAGATAATCCCGATGGCAGCTATCATACAGCTAAACTGGGATGTCCGTGCAACGTGATGGCATAGTGACAGTGCATGAAGTGCATACCTCGCAGACACACTCTCGGACTTGGAAGACTTGCTCTTCTTCTTAAGTTCTTGCGTGGTGCTTTAGCAGATTGTGTTTTCTGATTCCTAGAAAAATAATTTGAGATACAATTTAGCCTAAAACCACATCAAAACATTATATCGTGCAAGGCAAAATAATTGACAGACGTAGTAATGGTACAAAATCTGAATTTTTTTACGTGGATTTATTGTAATCACGTTTGTTTACATTCACTCATTCACTAACAGACACTACACTGCACTTGGAGATTCACTACACTTCACTAAGAAGTTGTGTAGTCTACAACCTCAACACTAGTACATGGGAATATTGATACGTAAAATAACATTCTATAGGCCTATTATGTCTATGAAGTAGCATTATATTCAACAACAGACACAATAAAAATATATATATCATAATATAATTAAGTTTCAGAAATAAACGTACCTTTTCAGCTGTTTTCTGGGGCCAGTTCCGCTCGTCGATGGTCCGTAATTCGACAACAAACTCGTTTCTCTACGAGTGGGACTAGTAATATTTTGAACACTTGTCGGGCTCATTTTCTTGGGAAGAATCACTAAAATGGGATAAGGAGGCATCGGAGTATGAGGAGTCACTATCTCTTGATGAAATTTCATCGCTAGAATAATTGCTGGAAGACATTTTGGTGTGATTTGGAGACGTTTGATGAACGAAAATCAGCAAAAGTCCGATGCGCACAGCAGTGCCAGTGGGGAAAAAAAATAACGGGTAATTTTCAAATTACGTACTTGCGTACTGTCCTCTACGTTGAAACTTTGCGCACACATAGAACGGGAATATCTCGATCGAATGCTTTTTTTTCTATTAATAAAGGAGATTTTTTTTGGTTGAAATTTCTATGTGTACATTTTCTTTTTACACATGGTTTATGTATGGTTATCTTTGAGTGCACTAGTCACTACTATAGTTTGTAAATAAAATCAAGAATATTAATAAAGGAACAATATTGAAATTTCGTACATTTTCTTTTTACACATTGTTTATTTATGGTCATCTTTGAGCTCACTATTAAATATGTGACCCCACAGCTAAAAACAACCAATAAGTCGCAAAATGAACAACAGAGATAATGGCAGGAGAAGCGGGCTTTTTGAATAGGATGCCAGTCATAAACAATGAAAATATGCAAGTTTAGAAAATAGACAAAAAATAGTTTACAAATTTGTATCATGTCATAAAAAATTTAAGTGCAAAAAATAGGAAGAAAATAGTACTCGCAAATAGGTAAAAAGAAGTCTGAAAAAGATAAAGGTGAAAAAATAGGGAAAAAATTGTCTGAAAAAGATTAAGGTGAAAAAATAGGGAAAAAATAGTCTGAAAAAGATTAAGATGAAAAAATAGGGAAAAAATAGTCCTATTTTTTTTTAGAAAATAGGCAAAAAATAGTCTGGAAAAGATGAAGGTGAAAAAATAGGGAAAAAATAGTTTGGTACTCGAGAATAGGAAAAAATAGAACTATTTTTTTTCTATTTTCTTTAAAAAAAATAGGAATAAAATAGTCCACAAAAGTTGAAGGTAAAAAAAATGGGGGAAAAATAGTTTGTGCTTGAAAATAGGAAAAAAATAGGACTATTTTTTTCCTGTTTTCTTATAGGAAATAGGAAAAAAATAGTCTGAAAAAAAATATAGGTGAAAAAAATAGGGAAAAAATAGTTTGTACTTGAAAATAGGAAAAAAATAGGACTATTTTTTCCCTGTTTTTTTATAGGAAATAGGAAAAAAATAGTCTGAAAAAAAATATAGGTGAAAAAAATAGGGAAAAAATAGTTTGTGCTGGAAAATAGGAAAAAAATAGCCCTATTTTTTTCCTATTTTCTTGAAGGAAATAGGGAAAAAATAGTCTGCATTTCCAGAAAATAGGGAAAAAATAGGAAAAAAATAGGGAAAAAATATATTTTCGCAACACACAAAACTACTAGGGTTATTCCCTAAAGAATAATGTGATTGTAGTTTATTTTCAATTAACAATCAATCTGGATTTACTGACACTAATAAACTGCATCATGATATTTTCTTTTAGACATGGATGAATGTTTGACAAGAGACAACGGTTGTTCACATGAATGTAGGAACGAAGAGGGCAGCTTCCATTGTAATTGTCCTACAGGTTACTATCTCGATGGCCTCAATGGAACTACGTGTTTATGTAAGTGGTTTAAAACTTGGATATAATTTTGTTTACATTTGCATTTAAAATGATTCCTTTAACAATACTATCAGAAACATTCTAAATAATGACCACTATTCTCTATAAACAAAATGGGAATAGCATATATTCTACTGAAAGCAGTAGTATATCAACAGTAGGCTAGATTTTGAGCTGTTTTGAAAAAAGATTTGAAAAATATACTGTACATGCGTTAGCATTTTATCTTACCATTGTAAATCCATTCCGCATTGCAATGATAAGAAAACTTGATATTTGGTATGTGTTTTGTTAAGAATAGACCTGACGCCCAAATTATTTCTTGAACATTTGTGTACAATAATTGCGACAGAAATAATTGATTTTGCAATTTATTTATCGTCTTGTAGATAAAGATATAGATTTAGGCTAATATATAGGCATAAGTTCTTAAACATAAATTGCGAAAACTAACCGTAGGTGTTCATTTTGCTCGATTTTCCAGCTGTGTGCCAGAGCAAATTCAGCTCCTTGTCCAAGGTGAACTTAACACAGAACGGAACAACATGTGAGTTCCATGCAGACTTTGATGAATCACCGTTTGGTAACACGACCTCAGCTCTAGAGTGTAGACCACGTGATTCACTCATGACGTCAGGGAGTGAGTGGTCGGGGCGTGCAGCGGTAAGTAGGTCCTTTTAATAGAGATATATGATCGTCCTTGTCTACTTTTGCTGTGTAAGTAGCGGTACCGTGGTCGCATGGTTTAAACAGTTTGATGAAAAGATGTAGGGTTCAAGCCCTTGCATTGCAATAATGTCCTTTGAGATAATTCCTCCTGCTTTTTTTCTTCACCGATATGAATGTTCAAGAGTGCCACTTGCGCATGGCCTTTTCAGGCAAAACATATACGATTGAGATTTTCTGTGAGGTCTTCATATGCTACTCGGCGATAAGCTTTATATGTAACTTTTTCTAATATTCCATTCGACACTAAATTCACCTTTAGTAGAATAATTTAAGCCTGGCTTGAAAACTGTTGTTTAGATACGTATATAAAATAAAAAGCCTTGGCATTAACATGCTCTGTCTTATATCAACAATTACGTCATCAGAGACAATACCCCAAAGATATTTATATCGTGTGGAAAAAGCATGATAATAATGACTTTTATAATTATTTTCTCTTACTCTACGATTTTAAAGACGTCGACATCAACAAGGAATAAACGTAGTTCAGAGAATCATCGACGTCGTTGGATATCCTGGTCTCCACCGGTAACATCACCCGACCCGACACCTATGGTCGTCGTGGAAGAAGACGGCTCAGCTATCTGCTCTACTGGTAAAACATTTTCATTCTTAAATCCATAAGTACGATTTTTACTTTATGAGAACTTACATGTAGAAGTATAATATTTTTTACAAGCATATATGTCGTTGTTAGCAAAGTTATTGGAATAAATCTTAATTTACCAAAAGTTGAGTTAACTGTTGGATATTGCAAAATATATTTTTGCATCTTTACGTTCATGCGATAATTTTTGGCCTACTTTGAGAAATATCACTTTTTGTAAGTAGGAAGAAACAATGCCATTCAAAGATGTTTTCTTTTCTTTTGAAAAGTCCAATGAAATCTGAACGAGCGGGTCCGGTCTTAACTTTAAATTTTTTAATAGGTTTGTGTCTCCTCTTGTCTCTCTGTTCCTCTATTATACATATCTCTCTTCTTTTTTTTTTCTCTCTCTCTCTCTTTCTATCTTCCTCTCTCTCTCTCTCTCTCTCTCTCCCTCTCTCCCTCTCTCTCCCTCTCTCTCTCTCCCTCTCTCTCCCTCTCTCCCTCTTTCTCTCTTTTTCTCTCAGTAATTGTTCTGTTCATGACTTCTTGATCCCTTACAGAGTTTGCATCACTATCTTGCGAGGAATTATGGGAGTCACGTCAGTCTGACATCGAAACTACATTGACCTTTGGCCTGATCGAGTCCATCAGTTTTCCCCCATGGTACAACACTGGTCAGTGGTGCCAGATGAGGATACATGTACCGGAAGGACAAATTATCAGGTTAGGAATGTGATCTTTGACCTATTGCTTGTCAAGTCGATGTCTCACCATTGAAAAGCAAGTTTAAATTGGGACAGGTAATCGCACTTTTGATTTCTTTTTGATTACCAATGGCCCTTTACTCCCAACTCAATATCATGATAGTATCCTCTTGTTATCATTGTCATGATTGCTCACAGGTATTACACCTCTATATCAAAGTAAGCCTAATTTAAATGCATACATTTCATATTATATTTGTTTAATTTGATTTTGATATTAATTTGTAGGTTTACCTTCCATGAGATGATCCTCAGACGTTCCAGCCAGTCTGCCGCCCTCTGTATGGATAACCTGAACATCACTGACCGCATCCCTAACCGAGGTTATCTGCTGCGTGGGTCGTACTGCGGTCATTTCCACGACTTGAAGGTCAAAACAAGGTCAAATGACGTCACACTACGATTGGAGATGGGTCCTCTGGAATCAGGCATGCCCAAGAAGCTGGGTTTCATTGCAACATATGACACACTGGGTAATATTCATCAGAAAACATTTATCTTTCACTTTCAGAGTGACCGCTTCCATATCTTTCCTTCCCCTTCTGTACCAGCTCTCTCTCTCTTTCTCTCTTTCATTCTCTCTCTCTCTCTCTCTTTCTCTCTCTCTTTCTATCTTTCATTCTCTCTCTCTCCCCCTCTCTCTCTATTTCTCTCCCTCTCTCTCTCTCTTTCTGTTTCTCCTTCTCTCTTTCTCACCCCCTCTCTGCTCCTCTCTAATGTTTTTATATATGTTGTTTGAATTCAAGGCTTATATTCCAATTTGTATCCAGCATACCATAAACACGAAATAGTTTTCAACTGTTATTCGCGATAAGACGAAGATTACATAATGAAAGGTTATTAACTTTAATACCTTCGTTGTATTTGCTTTTATTATTCCATCTTTAGCACTTTCTTGGCATTAAGATAATATTTTGGTGTTCAATTTTTTTTTAATTGGTAGATTGTTCACGCTCCTACGAGGAATGTGACCCGGGATGCGGTATCCAGGAACCCTTCACATCAGCGACAGGAAACTTCTCTCTGGAGAACTTTGGTGATTCTAACGCGGCCCCATTCTCTGTCTGTACCTGGACGATCACACTCCCCGAAGGTCATTTCATCTTCTTCAACTTCACCGAGTTCGATGTCAAGCGCGACGTCGAGTCCGGAGCTTGCGTCGACTCGGTTGAGATCTTTCCTACTGAGCATCGCTGGGATGAAGGACGATCGCGCCATGTGTTCTGTGGTCAGGGCGCCGCCTACGTTATGACCAACGTCTCATCTGTGACAGTGATTTTCCAGACTGGTTTGGACACCGGGTCCAGCGGATTTCAAGTGGTTTACGCATCAAAAGGTACATTGAATGAAATTCTAATGTCGTGAATATCACCTCTTCTTTGTCCTTCTATAAAGTACAATGGCTCGTATAAAAAGGTACTTGCTTCCAGTTTAGGACCATTCACTATGAATATGACAGACAAAGAAAGCGGACAAAATATACAGTTCCTCAGGTAGACAAAGGAACATCCCTTCACTGCTATTATGTAAAAAGGTGAATACGCATGTGACACCTGTTCTACACATTTTTACATAATAGCAGTGAAGGGATGTTCCTTTCTCTACCTGAGGAACTGTATATTTTGTCCGCTCTCTTTGTCAGTCATGTTCATAGTGATTGCCTCATGAATGTATGGCAACCTGTTCATATTCTATTTGCATTTTTATGTATTTTTCATTAATAAAAATTACAAAATGTGATGCATGAGTGGTATTTTGTTCATGACTCGCTACAGTTTCATATTTTTCTTGTATATATATAGATCGTCCTCTTGTGAATTCACTTTTCTTTGCTGTGTTAATATGGACTCTTATTTGATAAATTTTGGCAATATCTATCAATGACTGATGTTATTCCGTTACGTTTTTGTACAGCTGTACCTGGTTGCAATGTTGGAAACTACGGCACCACCAAGAGTGAAATCGCATGCAACCTAGACCACGCAGCCATAGCATCTACTAACTATCCATTACCATACCTTGTGAATGCACGTCCAAGATGGCGGATTACTAGCAGGCATGGGACCTTCATCCAACTTCGCTTCCACGACTTTGATATCGATTCGCCAGGCTCAAGGTATGGAAGGTCACTTTAGATACAACAGTCGCACCACCAAACCTACTCGAAACCGACTCAAAATGGTCAAAATCTTGGTTATTCGTTGTAATGTCGTAATGCTCTTTTTAATCCGGTCTATTGTCAGTCTCGTGACGGTCTCGGCTGTCATTTGTCGGTGTGACTAGGATTATGTTATCATTTAGATATTCATAAACAAACACAAATTGTTCAGGATATCGTCTACTGCAGTTTTAAGAAAATGATTGAAACACCGCATACACCAATTCTACAATAACACCAATGACAATTTAACACCAATTATTCAGTCGATAACAGAACAAATAACCACCAGTATAGAGCAAATGTTCATATTAATTTTTACTGAAAGTGGAATTGAAGAATTGTTCCCGCCTTTAACAAATTGCATATCTTAATCGCTATTGTCAGATGCGAAGGAGATACGCTGAGTATCTACGACGGTGCTACCGACATGACGAAATTGATTGATACATACTGCAACAACCATCCTCCTCCTGAAGTTGTAGAGGCAAGTTTCAACACCATGTTGCTGCAACTCAGATCGGATGGGAGTGGTAGCGGGAGGGGTTTCTATGCCGTCTACACCGGCTTGACATTTCAGGAGACCCTGAAGAACAGTCCGGTATCACCCACCGCAACACCAGGTGAAGGTACGGAAAGAACAAGGCAGACAAGATGAACAGTAGGGATGGTGTTAAAGAAATGGGAAAGAAAAAGAAGAAACAAGGAAGGCTTAGCCCCCCCCCCCCCAAAAAAAAAGAATGGTAAAACGAAACGAAAAAATAGCAGAATGAAGATAGTTATACATACGAAAATACTTCTAAAGTTATTTAGGATGTTCACTGTGCAATGATTAAGTAGAGTTGATTCACATGTGTTAGTAACTCTAGAACACTTATCATTGATTATTTTGTATTGAGGTATAGCTGAAATACTATATATGATGGAAGAATGTTGTGACCATCATGATTATGCAGAAACAACATCGTTGGGAAATGTAATCAAGCACGACAGTACCATATAATTTAGGGGGAAATACTGGCTTTTCCTTTCTTCCTTTATTTTTTGTTCTATTTTCCGTCTAATCTATTATTATTTTCCCCCTTTCTCCCTGTTCATCTTGTTGCACCCCAAGGAGGAGAGCTGGGTCACCCTGAGCCATCCGCTGCGTCATGCCCCGATGGATGGGAGATGTACTCTGGTAGTTGTTACGCGTTCCGTCAGACACAGACTGGAGTAAGATGGACTGATGCACATCGCATGTGTCAGGAGGAAGGAGCGCATCTTGTTAGTATTGGTAACATCGAGGAGATGCAATTCGTACACGTCCTGCTGACATCCAAGTGGTTTGCAGAGGGTCTCAGGACTTTCATAGGTCAGTTTAGCTACATTTTTTTGTATGTCTTCATAAGTTCTTGTGACAGTGGGATATACTGAAATGGGGATATAACAGATAAGATGGTACTTAAATGGAAATTATAAAATATATATAAGTATCGATATATTCAGTTTTCCTGTCTTCAATACAATAAACATTGAGGAGTGATTGCATTCTGGAAAACTACTTATTGGATATGTTCATCTAATATTAAAGGAATACAGATTATTGAGAACGTCCATCTGTGAACCAGCAAAAACTACTTGAGAAGCGATTTGGTTATGTTGAAACGCCTTTGCATATGTGGGGCCTAGTATTTGCTAGTGAATTTTAGCGAATAACTGTCATATAAGTGTCACATGGTAAAGCATTTCTAATCTTTTGGTTATATTTCATTGACAGGTTTGATATATCAACGTGATAAACACATCCACAGATGGGTAGATGACACCCCTCTTAGCTATGCTGATTGGTACATCCCTGACAGGTAAGAATTACGATCTCTCATCGAGGTCCAAATCGTTGAACAACCTTCTAAGAATCATTACCAAGACTCTTCAGTCCTGTCTAACATGCAGTTTAACTGCTGGGAAAATGCTTGTGATCACTTTTTTTACTCTCTTGAAATTATAGCACTTCATCTGCTTCCATGTGGTTAATTGTAGTACTGCTTCATTATTCATTAAAGGAACAGTGACTGGGGCCTGAGACAACCTAACGGTGGAGACCTGGAAGAGTGCGCCCTCATTGACCTGTTCAACCTTCACTCGATGAGTCAGTGGCATGATATACCTTGTGCGTCTAAGAGCGCTATGCAGATGGTGTGTGAAAAACCTGTTCGGACTGCTTCAGGTAATCCTTTATTTCCCTGTCTCCTAACCCCACCAAGCTATAAACCTCCTGTACAATGTATCCATCTTTCGTGGGAACAAGGATGAGGCTCTGACTGTTCTACATGTTTTTTTTTTCTATGGCACATGCTCCGGCCACAATTATCGCTCTCCGGTCAAAGTCGTAAACTAGGGCCTAGCATAATTCCGATCTTCAGCTCAGGACCCAGCACTCCATATAACCCTTACTCTAGTCCAAAGCTGAAACCTTATCAATATCCTAACTCTAGTATTGTATCTTTGACAAAGTAATTCCCTGAGCTAATGCCGCGGGAGAAAGAAATCGGATGGATGTTTATCGACTCATAACGTAATGATGGTGTGGCACACGCCCTGTGATCTGAGACCGGATAAATTATTATATGTATACGAGATTTAAAAAATAGTTATTTCTGTTCAATTCCAGATGTTGCCATGGTGTCCCGAAGACGTCTCGGACCTTACATTTCAAAGGGTAAGACATCAACAAATTAACATTTTTTATTTTTTAAAGTTTTTCATATTAAAAAAAAAAATAATGTCGTATTTGACCTGTACAAATTCTGTCTTGAATTTTTCATTTTGTCAGAGTGTAAATCAAACGCAGATCTGATTGGCTCATCGTGCGTGAGACTCCACCTACTTCAACGCAACAGCCGCACCCCTAACGTGACGTCAATTGAATGTCCTGAAGGCTCCACCTTCTTGAGCAACATCGGCCAATCAAAAGTCAGGCAGCTGATATTCTACGCGGAACACGTGTGGCCCTCGGCGAATGACGTCACTTCTATCTTACTGTCGAGGCTGCAGTCCTCCTTATGTCAGATTTTAGAGAGAAGTGAAACAAACGTCTTCGAGATGAAATGGGCCGATTGTTCCGATGAGCTGGAAGCCTTGATCTGTTCAACTTCACCTATAGGTACGGTATTTGCGAACTCATTGGTTTACAATCTGAACATCTATTTGTTATAGCTTATTAATTCTAGTTTGAACATTACAGGTTGTCATTTATTCGATTTATTCGATTACTTTAATACTGGCTGCATGGCAATTTTCTTAAAAATTAAACTTTTATTTAATACTTTGATTGTATTGTTTTCTATTTTCTGATTATTTTCTCATCAATTTTAATTATGAACAGATGAAATCCTGCCTCTTCAGTCACCGCTCATGTAAAGAAGCAGTGTTCAGTATCTATATCATTAAAGTTATCATTCTTCTTTTTTTTCTTCTTCATATTTAGAACCATCTGATAGTTGCCCTAATCAGCTGTTTCGTTGTGGATCGGGAGAGTGTATTCATAACGTATACGTATGTGACAAGCAACACGATTGCAGTGACGGAAGCGATGAAGATACGCTCTTATGTTTGCCTGGTATGTACAATCTTTCTAAGGCCGTGACGTAGATTTAACATTGACATGAAACCACACATTATATTTTTTGGATAATAAATGTCACTGTCCAGATGGTATGAGAGAGATATAAACATTATATCCGGCATTGTATGGGATGGGAATAAACGAACAATAAAATAATTGATTAAATTCGTAATTATTTTAAAGTCGGAAATATAATTTGAATGAGTTTAAACATTCAATATCCTTTATATGCATACTAATATAACGGGGTATTTAGTTCTATGAACGGGGTTCCTTGAATGATGTAGTGATCTTTAAAAGGAGATGCAGCCATAATCGAAATCGTGATTTTACTCTCTGTATCCTCTGTACCCTCTTATCAATGATATCGTTTTTTCCCATAGTAACCCAAATGACAACCTCGTCCCCGATCACTGTCAATGAAGAGGAGGAGATAACCTCATCACCATGCAGAACGAATTTCTTCCAATGTGGTTCAGGAGAATGCATCCCAGTATCTTTCTTTTGTGATTTCATCAAGCATTGTCAGGACGGGGCTGATGAAGAAAAGTGCAGTGAGTATGGCAATCGTTCGTCATTTTGTTTTGGTGTGTGCCTCAAATGAGATGTTTATTTACATTCACTCGACATCAAAATAAAGTTGTAATAAAAAATATAATTGACGTACAATGTTATCAACAAAAATCACATATTTTCTCAACTGTACAATATTTTGCTACTTTTCATCTAAAGTGCTTTTATTTTAAAGAGCTTTCCTTGAATTGTACGAGTGAGCTGATTTACAAATTCGTCGTCTTTGAGAAGACTTTCCAATACTTGCCGAATGGCTGAAGTGAGTTCAGCATCGGGCTCTACGGAAGTAGATTCTTGTGCCGGAGGGCTTCGTGGCTTGATCACGTGATCTCCCGATGCGTGAATTGGCGTCGGTTTACCAGGTTCCTTTGTACCGCCCGATACATCAGCGGGAGCTGATGGGCTCTCCAGGGCGCCTTTGGTAGTGACAAAGGTTGGATGTGTCCCGTTGTTTGCTGCAGCTTCTCGTCTTGGCTTTCCTGATCTTGTAGGCATTTTACTTGTAGGTCTAATTTCAGCTCCCAGACTGGTTGTATGCCAGATAAACAAGCTGGTGGTCCATGTAGCAATAAGCATTTCTTGATTTCAAGGTAATATTTCCATTTTAGTGTTGGAGAGAGGGAGATCATAACACGTCCGCTCATCACGCATGTCCTTAGGAGATAGATCTCCGGTGGTACTAGGAAGCAATAATCCAAGGTTATCGTTCAGGAATTAGTTCTCCAAGAATTTCATTGTTGCATCTCAGCGAGATGATGTTTTTTGGGTGATCGTGTTTATGATGGCTAATTCATTTAATCATCCTTGAGTTCGTACTATAGACTTATATGGAATCGGCTATGATAAACTAATATTTATCCATTCACTATAATCATTTTTTCTCTCAAGTGTTGTCTTTCTGATTATATTGCAGATTATCCACGGTGTTCAGACGACTCGTTTACCTGTGCTAACGGTCAATGCATACCAAACAGCCAGAGATGTGATCTTCTACCACAATGTATTGACGGCTCAGACGAAGAGACTTGCGGTAAGATATTATTTCCTTTGAAATTCAACTTCATATCGTATTATCATACATCATATATCATATCGTAAACTTAATTCATCCAGCTATGATCTCTTTCAATAAAATTCAAATATTTTATAGGTTTAATGGTACATAATTATACGTACAGTGGCTTTGCTATATAGAGGAAGATAGAAGAACGAGGGGAAAGGGGAGAAGGAAAGGGGAGCGGTAGGAAACTTTCCTTAAAAGTAATACAACGTTTTGGGAAATTTTGAAAATTGGGTGGATTGGGATTCTTTACAATTTTGATATTTGTGGATACCCCTGTGGATATATTATAAGCACTAGAAATTTTAGCCACAAAAACACTTCTGCTTTCGAGAAAAATTTAATATAACAATTTACTAGTGCTCCCGGTAAATTTTGATTTCAAATAGCGCCTACGACCGGACAATGGTAGCTGCGACCGTGAAAATCTCAGAATATGTAGTTGTGATATATAATTTCCAAACAGAAATAGCTAATCGGTCGATTTAGTCAAGTAACATTGTTTTATAGCTTAATTAATTTCTTAACCTTGAAAGGGAGCTATACAACACAAAGAGTTTAATACTTACAAGTTTATAGCTTTAGACTCGATTTCAACGGCGACAACGATCACCGAATATATTGTAGGATCGCATGCTTTTAATATGTTCATTTGAACCAAATTCATGACCCCATGCCAAAAATTTGTATTACCTTTAAAGATAATGCAACCCCTTCACACGCTCATCAATTGGCGTCCTTGATAATTTGAATTACACTTGTCCCCTTCCCCTTCTGACGCCAGAGCACACTATCAATAAATGGACCTACACTAGGCCACTAGTGCTTGTAAAATGGCGACTGGCCGAAACGCTCCTCAGGGAGTGGAGAATGTGCATACATTGTGTGCGGGTTAGCCTAAATCCGATGACCGGATCTGTAAAGCGCTTACACACATCGTTGCATCGATGTATTTGGCGCTATATAAAGGCGGAATATTGTTATTATTAAAAAAATTCTCTCTTAATCATGCAGAATCTTCATCAGTGGGTTTTCAATGCTACGATAGTACTTGGTTTCCTCTACGAATCTTGTGCGATGGAGTCAAAGATTGTCCAGGAAACAGCTGGGAAGACGAGCCTAACTATTGCCGTGAGTATCACGTGATCAGAAAAATTTGACCAATCACAAAGGAAAGCGGTAAATCAACCGTTAATCGAGCAGTTGTTAAAGAAAGTGGGATATTTGTCTTTTACACCAATCTCAGTTTTGTATTGCAGTTTTGTATGCCGTGAGTCATTTAAAGCTAAAGGCCAGTAATGGTAAAAATGCGGTTCAATTGTTTTGGGTGCAAAATATCCATTCAATATTGTTTAAATATTGCCTTCAGAGGTTTAGAAGGCAATACTAAAACCTAAATTCGCAAAAAAGCAGAAATATATGCCCAAATAATCATTATTGAAGTGCATTCGCAATATCTATCCAGGCCGGATCAATATGATAACTTACCAAATATCAATTAGTAGGCGGTTTCCCGGCAAAAAATGTGTATCATCACGTATTGGTCAAAACATATTCTTTCACATGATTGGTAATAAGAGCTTCCATCTCATTTTTTGAGAGGGGGCGTTTCCAAAACTGGTCTATACATTTAAGATATGTAGTTCATACCTTCACAAGTTATTCTAGACATTATATTCATGCCCTCTTTTATTAACATCTGTACTCATTATAGCGTTTGTCTTTCTATCAAACTAGAATTACTCTAATTAACTTTCTGAAATATCACAAATAACAGATAATTAAATGAAATCAATGTTATTAGATTGATTGTGAATATTACGCCAATGTGTAAAAATGTTCCGATATGCTTTTGGTCATTTATCTAGGCTTTAACTTGTCGAGTTTCGAGTGCACAAGTGAGTTCCAGATCCAATGTCACAACGGCGCATGCGCAGATCGGAAGACCACTTGTCTCTACGACTTTGATGAATACGGACTACAGATTGGCTGTCGTGACGTCACTCATCTTAGACACTGCGGTATGATACGTTAGATGAAACAGGTTTATTAATATTCATGCATACATTTGAAATACATAATTATATTTAAGCTGAAAAAACTGACCAAAATCGGAGACGGTGTTTAAATTATATTGTTCAAAACAATGAAATATTGATGCAGCGCTAACTTTTTTCATTTATAAACTTAGTGATATATATAGTTAGATCATACAATAAACTACCAAAGTTTTTGGAGATCAAATTTAAGCTATTAAAATCATCGACGCTTTAAAAATGATGAACTGGAATATAATTAACTCTAAATGAATCAAATTTCTTGAAAATATACTTTCCTTCCACCTTCTGCTGACATACAGAGGATTTCCAGTGCAGCTCATCCACGTTCAAGTGTCCGCATTCTTACTGTATACCACTGAGGCGCCGCTGTGATGGGTCACGTGATTGCCCGATAGGAGAGGACGAGATTGGCTGCGGTAAGTGTGACGTCATAAATATGCAAATCTTTCAATATAGCATAAGTTGGAATGAACAAGGGTTTGTTCGATAATTCACCTTCATCGGCTGAGCGATACTAGAAAGTAAAATATGTTATAGTAAATTTAGTTTGTATTACTTTATGCTCTTAAATGTCGACATCGTTAAATTGCTTTAAATTGCTTTAAATTGTTTAAACTCCCTTGACTTTCTCTTCTTCAGATAACTACACCTGTCCGTCAGGAAGTTACCGTTGTCATGGTGACAGCTTTTGTTTGAACCAGTCTCAAGTCTGTGACGGGATCAAGCAATGTCCAGATGGAGATGATGAGTTCTTCTGCGGTAAGCCTTGTCATCTTGAAGAATGGTTCATTCAATTTGACCAATTTGACATGAGAAACAAACCAGTTGTCAAATGATGGTAAATGTACAGGGAATATAAAACAATTTAAACCGGCTGTATTGACAAAAATCCGGTGTGATCATAACGTCAGTGTACTTAAGATTATTTTGTGTACAACAAACAGAATACCATCAATTTTCAAACTGCAAGTAATCTTTGTTTTGAATCCCACATAAACTTTCTACAGCATTGATTAAGAAAAACAAGAGTCCACTGCTGTCTTGGTCGTGTTTTTTGTTATTAATATTTTAAATTTGTTTACATTCACAAATATTTAAAAGGTTTACAATATCCATATATAATTAAAAGATTATCTAACAACATTTTTTTTCAATTGCAGGAAAACCATGTCCAAGTGGCTGTCAATGTACCGGTCTTGCATACTCCTGTTCGGAGAACACTGAATGGACGTTCGAATCGGCGAGAGCTATTCCAGTAAATACGAGGACTTTGTAAGCATCTATCAATCAAAGTTGCATGAAATCCAATAATCTTATTTTCTGATACAAAGCACGACTGAATGAAAACACAAAATGTATTCTACTGCGAACATTAAAGTTTTGTTCGTGACAGATTTGGGCCTAAAAATTAGTCGGATAGTTTAACCACATCTGAAATGCTTGGAGGCTATCGAGAATTAGCAATTCCTTGAAATTTAGGTCTTTCAGGGTTCGGCTTTTTTCACTATGCTTAATAACATGGAGGACGACTATCTCTGACTATCCTAGCATTTAATAACCTTTATATCGAAATCCATGAAATGTTTACTTTTGATAAGCAATCTTTTTACACAACCTTCGCGTTGATTATATCTGTCTTCAACGAATATATCGCATGGTTTGATGAAATGTCTTCCTGTTTCAAATTAAGTAAGAGTTAGCTACTGCAATGCTGAGCAAAGAGAAATTCAAACAAATATTATTCTAAATAGAGGAATAATACCAACAGAATACAGATATAAAATGGTATTTATGTATATATTCTTTCATTTATTCGTACAGGAATCTAAGCGGTGTAGCTTTGAGTGAGAGGAGAAAAAGAAGATCCATTCCAGACAATCTGACGCTGGACGAGGCTCTTCATATTGATTTTAGGGAGTTCAAACTACTCGCTGAACTGTGAGTAGAATGATTTAATTACAGGAAATGAAAAAAAAACGAACCTACTGATTTCTGCATTTGCATTCGTTCTGATTGTTATAAGACGTTTTAGATTAAATTTATCTTATAGTACCAACTAGTAATAATAGATTTTTATCCTCACCATCTTTTAGAAAAAGTTGTATTCCTGCAACAGTCTTATGAAAGGCGCAATGGACAACAATATTCGTGGTAACTGAGTGTTTATATGCGACTGCATTTATCGTTAAAATTTGCTCATATTTTGTATAGTCAATCAGTTAATATCATTGTAAACGTCGTACTACCCTTTCGGGATTCGTCATCCTCATGATTTTTATTACGAACCTCATAGATACCCACCAACCCCATCTATTGTTTGACCATTATTTTCTGGTCAACTCTGTACAATGTAAACGTGGTTTTCTTTTCTTATTTCAGAGATGTATCGAATAATGAAATTGAAGTGATCAACCCTGGGTCGTTTTCTTCTTTGATAAATCTTTACAAACTGTGAGTATGCATGTTTTAGACGAACCAGGGCCCTGTTTAAAAAAACATAATATCAATAACAAGTTACAATAACTGTTAAAAAGCTACTGATTGGCCGGGAGTAAATTTCTTATAGAATTTTAACATATCATATTAATGATAACAAGTTTTATGAAACATGGCCTTGTTGTAACATTTGAGTCTTCTGACTCTAATGGTTACTTTTAAGTATCTGTTTTAAACTCATTTATCTACCCTATGTGGCGTTTTAATAACGAATCAGAATAGTTTTTAGTAAACATGTATAATTATGTAACAAAATGTTGGAACACTATAGGAGGATGACTCCAGAAACAGACCTGACCATGCTATTACATATTTCGTCTTTCACGTGTTTCTATTACAGGATCCTGGCGAGGAACAGAATCAGATACCTCCATAATCGCACATTTGACGGACTTTCACGACTTATTCATTTGTAAGTACATCGTACCTCTTGAACAATTTTTATTTTGTTACTACTATTAATAAGGATATACTACTTCGCGGTCGAATAGTCTAATAGTGATATAGACTAGAAAATAAGTATTAAAATCCACTGGCTAGATGTTACTAGTCGCATAGACAATTAGTATAACAAAATACTTTTAAACTGTCGCTAAATATTCCGCGCCAAAAATCGCTGAACCTCATAAATGAATTTCAAAATGCAACTGAATATGGAGTGAATAGTACAACATAATTATATAACACTCATATCTTTTTCAGTATTCATTTAAAATGTTCAAATATAATGGAATGTCATTTATGTTGAAAACCACATACGCTTGTATATAGTATATTTGCTAATTATTTTACGATTCCCTTTACTTCCACGCAGAGACCTGAGTGGCAACCCTCTGGCTTTTATTGAACCTGGGACCTTCTTTAATCTGGACACCATACCTATACTGTGAGTTCAATATCAACATCTCGACCCTGTCTTATAAATAGTTGATATTAATAGCAACTAATTTGCTATTGATAGCAATCACAACCATTTACGTAAGACATACATTGTAGGAGACAGCGAACTGGTGATTGATTGGAGGATTGCGATTGATTTGGATCAATCGCAAGTCCTCTTTTTATTAAGACGGGGCCCTGATGTCGCTGATTGATATACTGAATCGTTATTGCTCTATTCCTTCGTACTCATTAACATTGATTTTACTTTCTAAACAAGAAATGCTATGAAAAGAATTATATGATATAAATAATGTCACATTTTTATATATATTCGAATGTTTAAATGATTTGAAATGAATGTGCACATTGTAAATTTAATTTTAAATTTGTCTAGAATGTGCTCTATTTGTTATTGCCTCTTATAGAATATTTTCATCGAGATTTCTAAAAATGATTTGCGATCATGAGCTAATATGTTGTCCTCTAAAATGCACACAACGCAATCGATTAACATGTTTATACATTTCTTCATAACTTTCAGAAATCTCTCGGCTCTTGAAATTGGAACACTTCAACGTCGCTCATTCGAAGGTCTAACAAATTTACGACACATGTAAGTATACATCTCTTTTCAAGGACGTCAGGCTATATACATGTGAACACTTATCAGTCCAGGGGGGTGTTTCATAAAGAGTTCGTAAAGTTACGCATGACTGTACGAACGACTTGTATATGAAGTGCCAGATAGGATGCCCAAAGTTTTTTCTGATATTTCCAATAACCTCAATTAAATTATGGCAAACAAAATATAATTTGCATTAAAAATGGTTGTTATAATAAGAATGTTAATCTACATCTGCACAGTTCAACTTAATAAATAATAATCAATAATGATTGAGCATCCCATTTGGCTTTTCATATACAAGTCGTTCGTAAAGTCATGCGTAACTTTACGAACAGCTTTATGAAACACCCCCCCCCCCCAGATGCAGATATACTTTGCTTGATGTTTCATCTTTCATACCTTACTGAGCACTAAAATATTCTTATCTTACATTTATTTGTTGTTTATGCTATACACGTTAATTTGTAATCAAGCATTAATTGCTTTTATTTAAATCCAACAGATCGCTGCAGAATAACCCTCTCAGTCGAATAGAAACAGGAGCTTTTCTTCTACTTAATACAACAGAGTCAATGTAAGAATTTTCACGAAACTATTCAGATCCATTGATGATTGGATTTCTAGTATAATACATGCACATTTAATAATATTTATGTTTATAGTTAACTTGTCACCTTTGACTAGTTATTGGATGAAAAATTATATTTTTAGTTGATTGTTGGTTCGGTTTGTAGGAGTATACACCATTCATATTCTTTAATAAGAATAAGAGCCTCGAACAGGGATAAAGAGATCCGCAAACAGCTCTAGGTGAATGGATGATTCGATGAATTTGCTTTGAGCATTTCAGAGAGCCGAATTCATATAACTATTTATTTATTACATATGAATACTTGCGTTACGTCACATGCTACGAAACGCATCAAAAATATGAGCATAGTTCAAAACACGAGAACATTATTATGTATATAATAAAATGATTTACAACCCGAAGCCGAAGTAAGATGAAAACCTATCATATTTGTTTAATGAAAAGGGATAGCATGATATTGATGTTGTTTATAGTATGTTTGGTTTTTAAAGAACAGAGTAGTTCTTCAAGTTAACTTAGTCAATACCAAAACCGACATTGGTGCTTGTGTATTATTAAAACGGAAAATTCTGATAGCATGTTCTCATTCATGTCTATATAACTCATTTGATTTTACAGTGACATCAGAGGATGTGAGGTCGATTCATTTCATCGGGATGTCTTCCAGGGTCTTGGAGGATTGAAAACACTGTAAGTTATGGTTTAATCATTGTACTGTAATTTAGAATCACAACAATGTTAGTGCACCGTGTAGATGTGGACAATTAATTATACAAATCAGTTAGATATAAAGACAATCTTCGGGAGTCTCTATCTTCAATAAATGAAAACAAGACAGATGTGTAAAATACTAGTTGGAAATAAGTTCGACATAGGTTCAAAGCATGTTACTCATAGCTTAAAAATAAGCGTTGGGTTCGCTAGACATTAACTCAACGTACGTCGACTTATGAGTAACATTACTTACAAGTATTAAACGTGTGTCAATGTAGATTATGCGTATGCAGGACGTTTGAGTCATACGCTGGCATACGTCGACAATGTTGTACGCACAACATTTTTCGACGACCTCGCCGTACTACGACGTATACCAGCGTGCTTCAGCTTGCTATTAACTTACCCATAACTTATTCCACGTACATGTACGCCAGCATATTCGCCAACTTTTTTTCATACGTCGGCATACGCTAGCTAAATCGACAAGGTGTGACAGGGTCATAACACCAGGAGCTATATAGTTGTCACAGTTACTGTGTCAGAATTTAGTTGGTATCGTCACATCCAAAGGTTGATGAGTAATTATCCTACATAGGTGATGTTGTAGGGGAATATTAAGGACGTTTAGATTTACACGACGAGAACGTGGACATCCTTTTAAGGTAATGTGACGTCCTTTTAAGGCACGGCCGGGCACGGCCCAGTACCTTAACACCTACGGAGGACATACTGTGTATGATCGAATCTCTTCGCTTAACACAGTGTCACACGCGGCAGTCCACGCTCTCGTCGTGTAAATCTAAAGTCCCTAATGTCCATGTTGTTCAGTTGTAGTTTTTCGGGTGACGATTACTCTCTATAACTCGTGTAAGGATTCCTTACCTTATGGACAAGCTTGAAGATTCAATTAATACTATTTTCAACCTTTTTCTTTTATTTTACATCGTCATCCCAGATACACAGACGAGTATGTCTTCTGTTGTTTAGTCTCATCCAGCACGAGCTGCGTAGCTCCGGTCGATCAGTTCTCCAACTGCCAAGACTTGATGAGAAACAAGTTCCTTCGAGTGGCCATCTGGTTACTTGGACTCAGCGCCTTGGTCGGTAACGCTTTCGTCATGACTTGGCGGTGGAGGACGAGGCATAAGGAACCGACGAAGAGAGTTCAGACATTCCTCATCCTTAACCTCGCCTTCAGCGACCTTCTCATGGGGTTGTATATGATCATCATCGGCAGCGCTGATATGTATTACAGAGAGGTGCGTTCTTATTTACTTTCTGAACGCTAATGGCTCAATCAATATTCCATAACCATTACAAATGTGTTTGATCCATTGTGGAACATTGATCAAGTGAGAGGCGAATTAGAAAGGAAAAGTCGTGACACCTTCCCTCTTGAATTGCTAGAGTATAAATTTGTCTAGAATATTGGAAATGTTGATGAAATAATTCGTCGAAGCAATAAGTTACAGTACAAAAAAGTCATACTCTTTGCATGAGTTTTTCTTTCTCGACAGCTTGACCCACTAAGTAGGAAATATGAAGTGACGTTGCATTCTGTAACTTTCTTAAACTGATTGTAATTCGTTAGATTCAAATTTTGTAGCGTTTCACTATCCTGGCGGTCGCTGAAATCCTTCTTTTTACAAAGGCCCTGACGGTATCATTTTTATTTTCGAATTTGCAGGAGTACATGATTCACAAAGAGAAGTGGCAATCAAGTTCTATGTGTCAGCTAGCTGGCTTTCTTTCTGTACTCAGCTCAGAAGCCTCCGTCTTCCTCGTTACTCTCATTTCCATGGATCGATTCCTGGGCGTCGTCTTCCCCTTCAGTCGTTTCCGATTCCACACCAAGTCCGTGCGAATCAACGTCCTCATCGCCTGGTTACTCGCCTTCATCCTCAGTCTCCTACCCATCTGCCTCCGCTCAGCCTTCGGGAATCGCTTCTATGGACGGTCCAGCGTGTGTCTTGCACTACCGCTAACCGCCGAAAGGCCTCCAGGTTGGGGATACTCGGTGGCGCTCTTCATAGGCTTCAACTTCATGTCGTTCTTCATCATCTTCTGTTGCTATACGGTGATGTTTGTGGCGATACGTAGAGCCTCGAAGCAGTGTACGAGACAGAGAGAACGCGCAGAGGAAATCAAAATGGCGACCAAGATGGCGGTGATCGTAGGGACTGATTTCTGTTGTTGGATGCCTATCATCATCATGGCCTTGCTCTCGTTAAGCGGTGCTGTAGATATACCTCAGGTAGCATGCCAATTGTTTTGTATCTCGATAACATAAATACGCCTTAACGTTATAGGACAAATATGTAATAAATAATCTATATCCCATAGTTTATGTTATGGGCCAAATTTATTCTTTTTACATTTTTCTTTTAAATGTGGTTTGGGTGGAATTTGATTCTCCTGTCTATATCGTGAGGAGATGCGAAAAGATTAATTAATTAATTGTTGCATAAAACTGTAGTACCTACAGTAGGTCCAACCGATGACTCGAAGCCTTCAGATCCTAAGGGGCATGCCAGGGAGAGAATTTTTGTGTAGCAAAGATTCCTATACATGTTATCTCACTCCTGACGCCACTTAGATGGCTTAGTGTCTTGATACATTCAACCAACAAACGAATCGCATTATTACGTATTAATATTTCATACGTTTCCCCGTTTTTTCTTCAGGAAATGTACGCGTGGGTGGCGGTGTTTATCTTGCCCGTGAATTCAGCAGCAAACCCTTACCTCTACACCATCTCAACCCTGGAACGTAACCGGGAGAAGAGTAAGGGAAATCCCCCTACGCACAGCACGTGGAAGAGCGAGTGCACGCGAGAGCTGAGTGTGGGAGATCTTGAGATGGTTCGCTTTGTTCGGCGGGACAGCGGGGCTCCTAAAGGTGCCGTTATGTCTTGCCATAGCTGTCACCCCATATTATTCCCGCGTGTGTGTTTCTGGTATCATGGTTAAGACGCTATTTAATATATAATCTCCAACCGTTGATGATTCTAAAAAGATGCATCGTTTATAAAAAAAAACAAAAAACATCAAGACACTGTATATCAATTGTCATATGTTCGCCCGCGCCCATGATATGCGAATTTAAATCATGCGAAATTATACCATGATTGTATGTTTGTGGCGTGCTGTTGAATGTACATTGTATCATTATTTAGATATGATTGCAAGTTAGTTGTCTGTAGAAGAATGGAATACATATCACACAAAAATATAGAATCATGCTGTAATCACCATATGCACCTGCACCGCTTACAATCCTTACATCGTTGTTGACCCGGATATAAAGGTAAAATCTGGACCTTATTGTCCTATATACACCACGCTCCAGCTTCATAAATAATCTCCATACCTCACATGGTTGGCGGTGTCTGTCTGATCCCTATGTGAAAATTGGACAATCGTGAAGAACTCGACGAACTTCATTCAACGATGCGTTTGCACTTATCCGAAAGGGCGCCCCCTGTCTCGCCGGGTGTCAGCGACCCAAGATCATAGGGGCTCATTAAGCTGCATGACAACCATGTGTACACGTGTGACTGGGCTGAATTGTCTACATTTGATTGTGCATGAATTCTTACGAAATTTGTTAAATAGTGACCGATTGTGCTTGATGGTGAACGATGGTGTTTAACGAAAACAAGGAAAATTCAACCGGGCAAAATAATGTCGTCATTACATTCATATATATCTGGAAGCAAATTTGAAAAGTTTGGTTGAATCCCGCCCACCTCATTCTGGAATTTATCCTATTTATCCATCATTAACAAAAGGTAATAAAAAAAACCTTCTTAATTTAAAGTAATTTATGTAAATAATCTAATCAAAACTGTAAGTGGCATTCATTTATTGTAAAGAGGATATTTAATTCATGGAATGGTTGTTTGACTTTGAACAAATATACATATTATGCGTCCTATGTTGGAAAATATGACAGCATGTTAGACAAAATGTGAATGCAATATTATATAAGAATGTACGCAATTGAGTATCATTTTTCTGTTTTGATTTTGATTATTTGTAATTGAAATATCACTGCACAGTAGTAAATAACGTGATAGCACACAAAAATAAATAGAAAGGATAGTTTTGATGGACCGCTGCCGAACAACGTCTTCAGAATCTTGTAGGGTTACTTGCATCAATCTTGTGCATGGAATGAAAGTAAATGTGTATCAAACTGCGATATGTATACAGGTACTTATAATATCTAGAAGATGAAGACAAAATATTAACAGTTTAGTTAGATATGGATTATGTAATATATGCATCCTCCAGTGCCTTGTCCCTAGCCTCGGATAGGATTCCAAATCATTGATCTCTTAGAGCATATACAGTACTTACTAGCAATAACATGGCCTACACTATTACGTTCAAGTTTAAAAAAAATGGCAATATTCATTTTGGTTTAAAGTGTGGCAAGAGGGAACCTTGACGTGGAAGAATTAACAACTTTTATTTGTCCATAACGAAAGTTATTTTCTTTTTCAATTTTTTAATCAGAGTTCGTCAAAGTCAGATAGTATAATTTTTGTTAGAGCTCAATGACCGGGTTTTTTAAGAAGATAATCTATTTCGATCAAATACTTTTTTCTCTCTTTTAGCTGCAGGCAGCGATCTCGCTAGTCCATTCGTCAGGTCGATAAACCTCGACTTGTCGGAAAATCGTGTCATGCCTGTAGTCAGCAGTCGATGTCGGACCTTCACATTAGCGCACTATCTCGCTACACCCAGTCTTTATCTATCCGAAGTCGATGTGATGGTGATCGAACGCGACATCGGGCGGGCTCTCGAGTTCCTTCATCGGAATGGATACGTACACGGTCGGGTTACGGAGGATTACATTCTGGTTGATAAGGTATGATGGCAATGATAATGATGATGATATGATGATGATGATTCTAATGATCATTGTGATGATTATGATGATGCTTATTATTATCTTGATGATGATGACGATGGTGATGGTAATAGCTATAATAATAGGGGTGCTTGTGTTGGTGATTATTATATTAATGCGGATGACGGTGTCGATGTTAATGAGTTTTGTGTTGAGGATAGGAAAGACCAATAAGCCTAGTAGACTAATTTATTCGTCTCCCGCCCTCGATTATTCTTCCTCTCCTCCCTCTTTTCCTTCTTCTTTTCTATTTCTCTCTCTCGCTCTCTCTTTCTCTCCCTCTTTCTCCCTCTCTCTCTCACTCTCTCTCTCTCTCTATATATATATCACCCTTATCTCTCCTCTCCTCATATCTACCCCCCCTTTCTCCTCTCCTCTCCTCATATCTCGCCCTCTTTCTACCTCTCTATGTCATCATTTTCTTATCTGATCTGATCTCATGTCTCAAGTTCTTTCGTTCTGTCCGCTCCTCTCCCTTCTCCTCTAACGCTTACTTCTTTCTTTATCTCTCGACGCCCTATCTCTCTCTCTCTCCCTCTCACTCTCTCTCTCTCTCTCTCTCTCCTCTCCCTCTCTCCTCTCTCTCTCTCTCACTCTCTCTCTCCCTCTCTCTCCTCTCTCTCCCTCTCACCCCCTCTCTCTCTCCCTCTCTCTCTCTCCTTCTCTCTCCTTCTCTCTCTCCCCCTCTCCCTCCCCCTCTCTCTCCCCCTCTCTCTCCCCCCTCTCTCTCTCTCTCGCGCTTTCTCTTTCTCCCCCTCTCCCTCTCTCTCTCTTGTCTTTATCTCTGTATATCACTTCTCTTTCTATCGCTTTACTATCTTCCTCCACTCCCTTCATCATTCACATTCTGTGAGAGATTCGGTGAGAGATGAAAATATATGGAATAAAAACCACCAAGGGATAATCTCGACTCATTTGACTATTACATCATTTAGAATTCCTTGATCATGCGACTAGTTTATTATCATGCTAACAGTGGTCCACTATATTACAACTATATTTCAATATTTGTGAAGCGCCCAATTATTATAATGAGTATAATGCAAATCATTCTTTAGAAATCGTAATAATCTGCAACGACTCAAGAATCAAAGTACGTTGCTCTATTGAAGTAAAAAAAAAGTAAAGAAAATGAACAATTATAAACGTTATCAGAATATTAGATGAATATCACGGCGATGACGTATGAACTATATTTACTAGATTACAGGGTATTCGCATTTGACTTTGAAAGTCTCGTATTGTTTGAAAGAAGGATGACAAATGAAAATTACTGAAGCGGAGAGAAAATAAAAGAGGGACAAAGGGAGAAAGAGCAGGAGAGAGAGAGAGAGACTACAGACTACACACACAGTATATCAGAACGTATTTATGAATCCTCACCGCCATGCACACCTCAGCCTCGGGGTACAGTCAAGATTTATCTTTCTATTCATTTTCCTATTTTCCACGATGATTGTTGTCATTAGAATCTCGGTTCAAAGTCCGTATCCTGACTATACATCATTAATGCACTATGGCCTCGATCAGTATTATATACATGGTCTGTGCTACGTGTTCAATCTGAGTTTCTAGCTTGTAGAGTGAACTTCCTCATATCGCATTATGCTGATTGACTATATTAACCCATGGGCTACCGTATGACCAGGTTTCAAGGGCTGTACACATGCTATAACTGCATACAGTATCAGATGGTTTTTGAAGAAAAAAAATCATAATCAATATTTTCTGGTACTTTTTCATGAAAATATAACAACATCTTAGACTTTAATATCTCAACACCCACTATGAAAACGTGTCTATGTGGATGTTAAAGCTTGAAAACAGGTATCTAATTGATTACAGGTGAATCTACTAAAGCACATTGACTGTTTATACAAAATTGACTAGATAGAGCTACAATCTAATGTTTTGTAAAGAAAATATAAAACACAGAGCAGCGGTCAAATAAGCCTGTATCCTGATTATATTTGTATTGTGCTTTTATGATTGGCCTAATGAATATTAATAATAATATTATTAATAACGTGATTAACATTTTCAATGCAGAATTATCGAGGACTATTTGAACAACACCTTAAATCCCTTTGCGAGGGCCATTTGGTGGTTTGTATAATAATTACATACTTATCGTTGGATTAAAGGTATATACATCGTACACAGAAAACGACACGATACCACACTCATCACTAGCAACATTATGAACAAAACAAAACCAAGGCAACAATAACAATCAACTTTGTAATTCAGCAATCAGATTCAAGCTAAGTTGTCTACGTTCGCGTTTGTAAAAGGAAACACATTTCGTTGAAACACAAATTGTGTGGTGTAAGGTGTTTTGCTTCAAACCAGCCAAAATGTCGTTTCTCAAACAATTTTCGAATATATTACGGACAATATAGTTCCACATACTAGTTTTCAATTCATTCGATTGCACCTTTGAGACCTATTATATTATACCAATAGTGTGCCATGTTCTTTAGTTTGTTGAAAGAGTGTCTGCATGTAAAGGACTTTGAACGAGTAGATCTATTTGTCTACGAACTAATGTAACATGATATCATGGTATAGTTCACATTACTATACTAGGGATGTAAGTGCGCTGCTGTTTCTTGAACTTACTTTATCATAAAAGGGATTAACTAATTCGCTACGACGTTTCATCGTGAAACTGTGATAACCTTCGCGCACAGCGTGCTTTAGCAACTCTCCGGTAAGAATAAGGCGGATGGCGCTCTGAATCTCACGCCAGGTGATGGTTGACTTCGTGTTGTACTTGGCGAGGCGGGAAGATTCGCTGGCAATTCGCTCGAAGATGTCCTTGACGAAGCTGTTCATGATGACCATGGCCCGACTGGAGATGCCGGTATTCGGATGAACCTGCTTGAGGACTTTGTAGATGTAGATTGCATAACTCTCCTTCCTTTTCTTGTTCCTCTTCTTGCCACCGCTGGGCCGAGGGGCCTTGGCTGCTTTCTTGGAGCCTTTCTTAGCCCTTTGAGCTGTTGGAGCCATGATGAAATAACTTTTCTGGTCTGTAAAGATTGAAGCGAACGAGTACGTCAAGCCAATATTCTTTCGATACATGTTGTACGTAGCTTGACTTCTTAAACAACAACAAATCTGGAAACAAACCTCTACAACTCTTCTTAATTTGTTAATAGACTAAGAGACAGCGCATTGTTTCCTCTGGAAAGGCGCTACAATTGTGTATGCATCCAACAAAAATACCATATTTTGTATCGCAGTTGTTAATTGCGATGCCTTCTGTCATTGCATGTAGAGGATCAAACCTCATGCTTCATCTAACATTTCATTTATAACCTCCTCCAAATTAACAATCAAAACAATACCGATTCTAAAAACTCTCAAGATAAATTTTAGAAGCTGTTCCTACTCTGGTCCGAAGGTGACGAACATTGTAAAAGTTGTAAAACAGCAACTTCAGACTTTTGACACGGGAATGGTCGCTGAGCAGAATGATATGACTAAAAACCAATTACCACAGACTTTATGCGCACAGAGCTACCAAGACATGAATCCTCCATATATATATATATATGTATAAGATCACGAAGCGGATCCTAATCATGATTGGTCAAGAGCGTAAACGTGACCAGGCATTTATTTTGCCGTTATTTTACTCTTGACTGGTCATTAGTAAATACTTATGATCGGTCATTAGTAAAATCATGTTATAAGTATCATTATATAAAACTAATAAAACATCTCATAAAACGAATAATACACATAATTTTGTTCGGGCATTAGTAAAATTACCCAAACTCGGTACCTTCGAAACAGTCCAAATACCCTCGGCTATCGCCTTGGACGTGTCAGACTGTTCCAAAGGTACCTTGTGTTAGTAATTCTTACTAATACCCTCATTAGTGTGTAGTATTTGTATAATGTTCCAAATAATCTTCAAGATGTATTACAGAAAATCACGACATATAATTATGACAAACCTATACTTGGCTAGCACAAGCGATATTGTGTGAATATTCTCTGAGTGAGTTGCAGAGAAAGTGAATGTTCCAAGTGAGATGCAGGAGGTTGGAATGAAGATAGAAGAAATTTGCTCCCAGTTCGGAAGTGTAAAGATGACGCTCTCAAATAGACGTGTTGACTCGATGAGAAAGCTTAGGAAAAGATTTGGTTTTAGAGCATGCAGTCAGTAAAGTACCACGAATTGAAACTTTTGAAAAAAAGAAAGGTCAGCCAACCACAATAAAAGTTAAAATAACACATACAAGGAACGATAGAGGATGTTATGAGAATTCATCAGGAAATTATATGAATGTGATAACAAAGATTTCGAGGTTCAACGTGCCTATAATGAACATGATACAACAAGTTCCATTGCATGTGGATACTGGCTGACAGTTTCTTGGCACCTTACCAGGGGTTGCTTGTCATTTCGATTTGTCACATAATTAAATATCAAGACAATCGACGTTTACTCGTTTGTAAAGGACTCTCTTTTGTTATCGACACCCGAATTTACCTGAACGTAGCATTCTAAATTTAGACAAATTGCTTTTTTAATTAAAAACAATCGTCACTAACCTCTTCATAAAGTCATTCCCAGTAGATATAAGAATAACAGGTTGTTTTTTTGTAACAATGGGCCACTTCCGTTTTTTTTTAGATGTAGCTGGAATTCATTTTTTCTGACTTCAAATCAATTTTGAAGTCGTCATAGCTACTATGGTAACCGGTAAATGTTACCCCACCATTGCATTACTCATATATGGATGTTTTTTATTTTTCTCATTGATGCTGCAAATCTGTTTTAAAAATTACAAAGGGGGGCCGTTTTTAAAAACTGAGCCAATGAAAAGGTTTCATTCATCTGTGAAATTCCATCGAGACAACAAGAGGTCGGGGAGGTCTATTGCGTCATAATTGTCGAGAAGGGGCTTCCCCTGATGAAGATAGCATTTTGTCTCCTTCTATTTACCGTAACTATTAAATGTTTAACATTTTGATCAAAACAAAACTCCCGGCACTGTCTATATTAGTTGTGATTGATTTAAATCCATCGCAACTTGAAACCAGTCGCAAGTCTGTAATACAGGGAAAGTTTGTAAGTTTTCGATTGATAGCGGACTAGCGGTCAATTTGGATCAATCGTAACCCTTGTATAAAAGCTGGCCTTTGTATCAAAATGAATGAAATGTGAATGTAGCAGTTCGATTCAAACAAATTCTCTTCATATTATCCAAAGTGAAGGATATAAATGTAGTTGAATTGATGTAATTTCACATCAAAATCATGTCTTAAAATATTGAGGAGTTCTTGCACGTATTACAATGGCAAACCATAGTGCCTTTTTACCAATTTATTTAAACACTTGTCATTCATTGCATTCGATATTAAAGCCCCACTGCACTACTTATAGCTACTTGCGCCCTCTATATAGCAAACAATGACTAATCGGTGACCATTGGTCCCCATGGTACCCTTTTCCTTATGTTAATTGAGAGCTCATTTGATGAGATAACCACCTATCAGTAACCATGCCGGGAGGTATAATCCCTCCTGGCCAAACAAGTGCAGTGGGGCTTTAAAAAGATCGTTTGAAATGTATAACACAGTTACATACGACTGCAGATATATTTGACTGATTAGACAATTGTATAATCTCATAATAAAAGGACTTTGACAACCATTGTAACCATTGGACACAGTTGACATTCATTTTATCCCATGTAAAATGGAAATTTATTAGATCTTATCATATAGTTTTTTTTCTTTTTCAAGTGGGTAACAAAAATAACATGTTGTATACATATCCATGTACATGGGTTACAAAGAAAATAGAAAATATCTATAGTTGAACCATACAAATTAAGTTAATCATATATCATGTCATATCAAACCTGTGAATTAGCTATAACTTAATAATATGTAGAGATTTGTGGCTGGAATTGAAATTCACAGAGTTCCAATAACGTATAAGTGATTCAAATAAAGGATATTTTTTAATCTTAAAAAGTAACTAAAAAATGTTGTTAAAGGGAGAACCAAAAGTTAGCACGAGTGCTAGTCGGGATTGGTTCTCCGAATATCTAAAACTGTCATATTAACATTTATTTTTTCCTAATATCATATTAGTTAAAGATACATTTAATATAAATCATGTGATTCATTCATCTCAAATCGAGTTTAAGTTGGAAATTAATGACATCGTATTATGTGTTACAGATTATTGAACACATTTGAGAATTCATTTCATCTGATACTCAAAATGTGTTTCTGACCATTCGAACGGTACCCCCAAATTATGTTACATTGTAATTTCCGTTATAAGTATTGTTATGAGATTTACCCATATACCATAATTTATACAACACGCAAGCAGGTAAATTATCAACACAAAAGATTTGATATGAATCACCAGTTGTCATTTTCTAAGCATCAATTCTATTATGAAGTAATGTAGGAATACACACTTGTATAATTATTTATAATATGTCCATGTATCTTTCAAATGATTGATTCCATATTTGTAATATTCCTAAAAACAAATTATTCATGTACACCATGTGAATGGAGTTTTCTAATAAATACAATCAAATACAAAACCTTTGGCAACTTTGTGTACCCTGCTAAAGGAGACATGTCTTCTTGAATAACTCACAGGGAGGTAATTTTAGCTCAGCCATTGAGGAAAGAATTAATTATCTATTTCAAAGGGAAATGTTACATGAGGAATGATTGTGCCATAAATGCCAGGAAAGGGGTTTCCCCGAATGACTCCAAACTCGTGGACAATAGGCCTGTTTTTATCAGGTTTGCCAAATAGCCGCTATTTCCGATCCAGAAAATTAGCCAGGTCACGAAATAGCGGGCTACTTGGCAAGTAAAGAGAGCTTGTGTCAATTTGCAAAATAGCCCGCTATTTGTGGTCCGTCTTCACCTGCCCAAAGACTCGCACTACGCGCGAACACTGAGCAAATTTTTCGAGCTCTAGTTCCGAGTTGATGAGGACGCGATTTTTAACTTCGGGCTAATTCCCCGAATACAAAAGGGCTATTTGGCAAACTCGAGCTCATGAAAACCGGCCTAATTAGGCGTTCTTTAAGCATTAATTCTTTGTTAAGTATTGAATCAGTAAAATAGAAATATAGTTGACGGAACCTTTGCGACTTCTCTTTCAATTTACATTTCAACGTAACAGACATGAATTTCAACCATCAATCTTCTAATCACCATTGACTAATTCAGTTCATGAGGTCATGATAGATTTCTGACTTCTTGAAACGCATGTTTTGTTATGATAACATAGTACACAAACTTCCTTCTTCTAACATTCCATGTATACGGGCATGCCATAGATTGATTACACTTGGAATGATGACAAAAATAACATTTAGCAATTTTCAGATACAGTCGCAATTATGATTGTGCAATGTACATAAAACTTAAGTGGTGTATCCAGAATCCAGACATTGATGGGGGTTAAGGATCCTCCGCGAAGGGGACAGGGGTACATGTAGGTATAGGGGTGTAAAGATATCGTCGCCTGCTTGCGAAAGGACGATATTTTTGGAATATACAATTTATATGATTCATGAGCTTATCTTTATACAGATCATAGTGAATTCGTTATTATGCAATGCTCTGACATTGGTTCTTTCAAATCTAGAATAAAATTGATATATTTACCACTAGTCCAATACATTTGGATCACTCTGAATATCAGATTGAATTGGGTTAATCAAAAGTGTTTCACTGGTGTTTTCTGGCCTAGGACATAATGGATGACTGTCCCACCTTATATACTAATTACAATGCAATGCGCTCAGAAACGTATTATTAAGCGATAAGAACAAATTAGACTAGTATTTATCATTATGTAACCGAGTTATTTGGCAACTGTGATACAGATCTACATCATAATACATGGAAGACTCGTCACTAAAAAACAAAGAATAAAGTGATCTATAAATCACCGCATCGATAATTGAAAGCGCCATTAATACATGCTTGAATTCAGTGATTAAACAATCATTGATAAGCATTAATTGTCCGATTATACTTAATATAAATCTACACATACCCCCAATACCAAGAACCTAATAGTGTTTTGTTTAAAATTCTCACTCGTGGAATGGAATAGAGTTTGTTAAAAGCCATGATTTCCCTTCACATTGTACAAGACAAGAGAGCATAATATAGAAACGAGTACAAAATATAATAATATTATTCAAAATTATTTGTCACGGTTGTCAGCTCCAGGCTGCCATTTGTACCGTTTGACGAAAAGTCGAATATTTACAAGACGCGGCTTAAATTTTCCTCACAAATCAGAAAAGAACATCTTTATCACTTTAGCTACTTGTATGAGAGGCTGTGACTATTTTTCGGAGATGGTTAACGCCTTTTCTTTTCCCATATACGAGAAGATGTTCCCCATCACAGGTCACCATCTTATCTGGTCTCAGGATGCTGAACCCCTCTCCTGCAATCAACCCATTAGCTAACCGAGGAGCAGCGAATTCAATGACCTTCTCTGGTTTGGCATGACCTGACTTAAGGTCACTCAGTTCCTCCACCATGCACTGTCCACTGGAAGCACCACAGGTCAGGTTGAAGAGAGAATTGGACGCCAGGTCAGTAGCGAGAATACTCATGCACTTTTCTTCAGATTCCTCCAGGAACACCTTTGTCTTGACCTTGCCGTCCTTGTCTAGGATGCATACCTGCTCTCCGTACATAGCAGAGTGAACAGCGATCCCCGAGTGTAGAGCATGGATGCCGTGGATAGGTATCATCTCTTCGATCTCAATAGTCTTAAGCCACTGAGTCCCAGATGGGTTGAAGACATGGATGTTACTCCCTCCGTACTGAGCAATCAGGATCTTACCGCTGCCATCTACCGCGACACACATCACTTCGGCTCCGCTCAAGAACTTCTCTGGAAAACTCAGATTCCGAAGGTGTCTCCAGGATTTATCATAGAGCGCCACCCGACCACTCCTGCTTCCGCAGACGATCACCGCCCCGTCGAGGGACGCGCAGTTGAATAACGGTGTTTTTTCTTCAATCACCATCCTCGTCGTCTTGTCTTCGATGTTGGTGACGTAAATGGAAGATGTCTTGACATCCTCTACCACTACTTCAGAGCCGTTGATGGAGCCCTTCAGAGCTGGCAGACCCACCATCGGCGCCACCTCAACCTTCTCTTCCAAGACCCACCTGTCTGAAGCTCCGCTTATTCGACCAACTTTCGGCCCTTCAAGTTCCATGAATGAGATCCCCAAAGCTGTCTCATGAAGTAGCTTTGCCAGCCCCTCGACTCCGCAAGATGGGGATTTACTCTTCGAGCTGCCGTCTCCACCATTCTTGTGATGTCCTGATCGTTTCTTGGTAAGCTGAGCGTGAAGCTTCGGTGACCTTGATAAACCTTTCGTTTTCAGTTTGTTAGCACTTTTCATGATATCATCTCCCAATGAATGAATATGTTCCACAAGTTCAAATCTCTTTTCAACGATCTTTTGACGCCTTTTCTCGATATCGTTATGATTCTGTCTCAGTCTCTCGTCCCGTCTCTTGTACAATCGTCGAATATCTCGTTCAGTTTCCTGGTTGATGAGCGCTGCCATTTTGTATCGGTCGTCCTCAGCCTTACTGAGCTCTCTCTCGGTAGCAGCAATAACTTCCAACTCTACATCTTTCATATGCTGGTCGATATCAAGACTGCTCTCTATTGAATCACCTCGACTTAAATCTCTCTTCTCGTCGTCCTTCTGAGCAGCCTCACCTAACGACTCTGCTCCACGAACCTCGCTCTCTGCCATACTTTCAGTCTCGTTTTCGCCTAAATATCGACTATCTTTACCGCACCCGGAATAGGAATTCTGCAAAGTGCCTACATTTGATAGTGCACAGTGTGAGCTCTTTCCTTCCGCCGTCCCAAAGCTTAGTATCCAACTTCCTCTTTTCATGGTTCAATAGCTCGCTATGATCTGCACTCGTGAACTGTTCGATGAATAATAATACCGCAGTGTCAATACCGTCTGCACGCCTGAAAATTGAAAGAAGTGCAAATATTTTGTCAGGCCTCGATATAATGAAATATGACATTGGTGTGTGACCCCATGAATCGAAAGATGTTAGCATTGCGTTTAATGGTGACACGTCGTATGTGGAAGAACATTTTGTCTGATTATCAGTAATGGTAATTGATTAATTTGTCTTTCTTCCTCATTTATCAAATTGCTCGTTAAAGTACTAATTATATATCATATACTGAATTTCCTTCTACTTTCTACAACATGCATCAAGTTGTAGCTGGTAAAATGAACGGTCAATTTTGCAAGAAGCCAATCCAGCACTACTGCTTGTTCTACTTTATAAACCACTACTATTACTTCAAAATACTTCTGCTACTTTACTACAACAACTACTACTACATTTTGTAACTGCATGCATATGAATTTTTCGACCCCTGTTTGTGCGTTCACTGGGAGGCAGTGCACTGGGATCGTTAAATCGGATTAGCCCATAGGCCCCAAACCCTGTACTTTTGTGTAGCTGTGCGTCCGACCATGAAAGGACTGGGTTCAAATGAAAAGAAAATTCACATTCGTAACTAACATACTGCTATAATCAATACGTACATATATATATAAGAAAAGAAAGAAGCATTGAATCAATGAGAATGATGGTTGAGAACATAAATTTCCAATACCCACTGCAATAAACAGAGGAATCCACGCGTAACCCCCTTTGATAAAAATGGTACGGCCCAATAGTCAAATGGGCAATCGGGGGGCGGATCCAGGATTTTCCAAAAGGGGGCGTGAAATGTACGGAATTGCGAGGGCGAAGCCTTTCCGGCGTGGGGTCCGGGAAAATGTTGAACCTTAAGATGCTCTATGGTACATTCTAAGGCATTTCTGAATGCGTAAACTGGACGTTTATGTGAATACTTCATAGCTTTTTCCTGCATTCTCCAAGAAATCGATCATGACAAGTTCAGCAATGGCGAAGTTGGAATACTACATTTGTATTTTCCAAAAGGGGAGGGGACCGTGAAATGTACCAAGTAGCAAAATGGTGAAGGTAAGTTGTGGCGCCTACGTTGTAAGCGTGCCCGATCGCCCTGCGAACCCTGAGTAAATTTCTCGAGTTTGAGTTTCGAGCTGATGAAGACTCGATTTGTTACTTCGGGCTAATTTCCCGATTCACAAACGATTAGTTATCCGAAATGCCCATATTTCTTAGGTGCATCGTTGCATGCATGGGCATCTTTCACGTCGTCTGGTAAAAAAAAACCTACAACCCCCTCACCCCCGTTCTTCCACAAGTCCTGTTTTCACCTCCTATCCCTTCTATACGCTAGTTATCATTTGCTCGTTCAAGGCACCTCTTCACCATGTTGGTTGCAATTACTTAATAATGAGAGGTTGTTATTTTTCTTCTGTCTCGTTGCCCCATTCGATGTTAGTTTTTAAAAGTTGTATCGTGCTATAACTCTTGCTTTTTGTCAATAGAGATGACCTAGATAATAAGTAGCAGATATACTCAATAATTACGAACGAAACGATAATACTTGCCTTATAACGTGTTAATCGCCTCTTGATAGATTGTCTTAAAGCTCAACGTGCAATCTGTGCGTCTCTTGCTTGTGAACACGAAGATGTCTTGTCGAGGAAGTGAAGAATGGTCTTGCCAGATATATAAGATAATCAGACAAGTGAAAATATTGAACATTTGTTGTCATGGTAAACCCAGCCGACGTCAAGGGTCGGTGTATGTTATTTCCTTAAATGGAGTGTGATATTTCTCTTCTCACTATTCCATTTTTATCTCTCTCTCTCTCTCTTCCTCTTTCATTTTCTCTCGTCATGCTCTCTCATCATACATATTTTCTTGCCTGAAGGATCATGTTCCATCTCCTTTCTCGTTCCCTATCTACAATGTTTTCCTTGTATACTCTCGCGGTCGCCATCTGTTTATGCGATGAAATAGAGAATGTTTTAGGATCCGTGCCAACAAATCCACACAACACGTACTCTAGAGTATTGCCTTGTCTCAAGTCATCGAGATGTATATTAATGTTCCTCGTGGTTCCATAAAAGGCCTGATCGTATCCAACTCATAGACTTTGTCAGGCTCCCCATAGCAATAACATGAAATCGATCATCGTGGATTATGTCTTCTCGTATACGTTAACATTAATAATTGTCAAAAAGAGATGATTCTATTATGGTGGGGAATGATTATGATTGTGATTATGATTGTGATAACGATGATGACGACGGGATGATGATAATGATGATATAATGATGGTGAATGTGATGATACTAGGGATGTTGATAAGGAGGAAGATGATGATGACGATGGTGATGTTGAAAACGGGATGAGGAGGATTGCTAATTTTAGGAATCAGAATAATTGCATTATAAGGACTTGGGTTACAAATCTAGTTTCCATTATAGCAAATTTGTGTCAGTACTCAGTAGGACCTGTTTTTCACATACATGCATCGGTATCACAAATTATCGTTTTAAATATTTCCTCATCATGCTGGCATTTGTCTTCATGAATTGATATCGTTGGTGCGATTATGTCCTTTCAATAGTTAAAACATGGACAAACTTTCCTTAACCCAAACATTTTCAATCCATTTTAATATTTGGGCAGATTTACCGCTCATATTGGCACTTAGAGAGTTATGTTAATTATTTTAACAATATCTGTAATATTTCATGTTCTGTTCACATATTGTAGGACATTCGAAACAACAGGACAGGTGCCTTTCTCATCATGCGAGGGGAGGAGTTGGAACCCGTTGAAAATGGCTTCCTCGATTCCGAGAATGAGGATGGGTTGGACAACCTGAGCAAGGCAGCCAGGGTAGAAGGAGATGATGACGATGATGAAGACGATGATGATGAGGAAGAGGAATGTCTACCACTTTTACAAAGAGACTATCAGCAGTTAAGAACTTTGATTCTGCGACTCAAATCAGCTATCTATCCGTGACGGTGACGGTAACATTAACCGTGGCAAATGAAGATTATGATATCATGCCTTCGTGCTAATGACTGAATTTCTGAAGGGAGATCAAAAACATGTTTCAGCTTTGCAAATCACCTGATTGATAGTCTTTTCCTGATGGACGTGACGCATAATTGTGACAACTGTTAAACAGATCATACTGACATGCATTGTATAGGCAAATAAATCTTTCTTGGTGAATAAAATATTAAAGTAAGGCGATCGTATTTAACTCTTGTTCTCTTCATTGGAATGAATGTCAGGTGACGTGGATCTATTACGCAAAAGGAGAAAAGACATGGTGTTATTGTGCCTAAACGACGTGTTGCTAAAGAAACAAGGAACTTGGAAATGTTATTTCCTCCTAGTGATCTTTCAATGTCAATTTCAACTTTAGTTAGAGAGGAGGAAACCAGGCATTCCAACAGAAACATGTACTTGACAGGAACGTGATATGGAGCTCATTACGGACCGATAATAATTAATAACAGCAAACTCATGTGGTCAGGGTTTTAATTATTTGTTCTTTCTTTATTAAATGACATCATGTTTAAAGTCAATGAACTGAATAGAATGAAAGCAAGAATAAGAGGTTTGGAACTCCTATCCCGGCCCTGCCGCTCGCTCGCTCGCAGTGGTATTGCAAGATACCATTTATTGTTTTGTCGTGTGAAAGGTATCGTTTCTTAATTTATGTATTTTTATTCATACTATCAAGTAAATAGTTAAATTTCCTTTCAACTCATGCATCTCAAAGAAAACATCATCATCACCAGTATCACCTTTCTAACAAGATTGGGAGGGGTTTGAAGTAACAAAAACTATGTTTCTATTTTATCAAAGGATCCTGTTTTCCTCCATGCCCTACCTCCACTAGTGACGCTCAGTAAGCCTACCAACTTTGCCCTGAGGAAAGAAAGCCAGTTGATACAAGCTAGATGTTATAATCATTATTATCCAAATAAGGAAATAACTGTACAACACATCAATGCAAGTAGATAGTATCAAATATAATGTACACCGTAGGATTGTGAAACCATTGTACATCTATGGAGGGCATCCCGATTGGTTCTCATATATGCCACCCCCTTGCCATTGTGTTTGTGATACTTTGTTTACACTCTCCTTTCAATGCCCAAATAAGGTAGAGAAAATGAAAGTTATTGTTTATGATTGCAGTACTCATAATTTGTACATACACGTTTCATGAAATGTTATACTAATGTTTGTTCAATTCATACGTGACCAATTAAGGCTTATTCCATGCCATTTGCGAATGGGATCAGGAACTCTTATGAGGCTTATATAGAAATTATTTCTTTCCACGGACCGAGTTAGAGTGGAACAAAACGGTGCGTTTGGAATAGGGGAGGGGGCTGTCGCCAAAATTTGCTGGCAGCTATCATGTTCTTTTTCTAATATTCTCCACAGAAAAGGATTGTTATGAAATTATTAATGCCAATAAGATTGTTTGCAAAAAAGTTGGTACTCAAATTTAAACTACTCAAACTTAAACGCTCCTGAATTTGCAAAACCTGTTGTAGATTTCATTGTTGTTGTCTAATAATTAATTACCGTTTACTATCTCGAATGTGATTCACAAATGTGATGTCTTGTAGCGCTCTTCATAATACCACCAAGTACGTGCAAATGTACTATCAACTTCATGTGCAATACAATTAACATTTTTATTTCAAGTTTTCTCAAAAGTGTATTTGAGTTAAGAAGGTAAACATTCCTTTTATGTTTTGTGTACAGAGGGCAATATATTTTCAAATGAAATTCTTTTGAGGTGCAATTAGATGTATTTATGTTTTTTCTCCACCCGTGTATACCCTTGCTTGATATTTTGTATAACCCATCGTTTATGTTTTAGTTGTTTGTGTTTATTTTGTTGTTGTAGCGAATAACAAGTCTCATACTAGCTTGAGTTATACATGTAACTATGTACCAGGGGTACAATTTATTACATTGGAGTACAGTACTTGTCCAATGTACTGCAGCTAGGAGAAGAAAAGTTATATGCCAGAGTTAAGGATATAGACAAATATAGCATATTTTCGACTTGAGGAAAAGGGCCTTTTAAAACATTTATAAAAGCTTGAGAATATATACGATGTGTATGTGTATACCCTGATTTGCATGTATTAGACTCGAAGCTCCCAGTAAAATATTTCGGTGAATGTAAATGGCGGGAGGCATAACACGCTAAAAGCAATCCTTTATTTCCCTCATTACAAACAGAAGGAAACAAATGTGCCAAAATATATATTTTTCATGTATGCAATATTTGCTATGCCTTCAACCTTGCTGCATAACCGATCAAATAAGTCTGAACATTACTCAGCCAAAATTGTGTTTTATTTTGTTAAAAGATTGTTACGGACCATAAGTCAGAAGGCTGTACAGTTTGATTTGCTCATTTCATGACTTGTATACCCATTACCTACTCAACGATGGGGAATGTGACAATTCAGTTGACAATGTGATTATTGTTTCTATTTTGTTTTGTTAATTTGTTATTTTTTGCTCCATTGATGTAAAATGACCATTCCTATTTGATGTCAATGTGTATACATGTAGTTTTGCATACCCATGAAATTATCTGTTTGGATCCAGAAGGGCGTTCACTCATGCTTTATTACAGAGTGAACGCCCTTCTGGCTATAAACAGATGAAATATATATTTCTGCTTAAGATGAAGAAAGGTGTATATCATCTGTTCGGATCCAGAGGGACGTTAACTCTGTGTTAAAGTCACATAGAAGTCAGCTCTCATGGGGAATTCGACACCGTTCGGGTGTTTACCCAAATAACAGGTGTTGTCAATCACCAGGGTTAGCCTCGAGTTTTATGACCATTATACCTTATGTAATGCTTTGCTTTTCCTTCGCCCGAATAATCTCCGAGCATGCTCCGAGAGACTAGGGGGTAATTCTTGACGGGCCAACGGGTTTGCTGTGTGCAGATTTGTACTCCCATTAATGGTATTTTCACCAAGTCTGGTGTCAGCGAATTATAGTCTTCTGCACATGGAAACTGACTACCCACTCCCTTTAAAGTATATGAGTTGCTGCCCTTCTGGCTCCAAACAGATAATATGAGAATAAGAATAATTGATGCATTGTTCATAAAAAGTAACAGGAGGGGGAAAAGACAAAGAAGATGAGCACAGTGCCATTGAATATTCAAAATTTATATAATAAGAACAATTTCAGTCAGCAATCAGTTTACAGTGATATCAAACAAACTTTCCAACAAATTTACAGGTTTTGTAAACAATAGTCATGTCAATCGTGTATGGTCCGTGTCACAGCTCAAAAAAGATTGAAAAGGTGGTTATCTAAAACAAGCAAAATTGAATAACAGTTTAAAGAACTACCTTCTAAAATATATCAGTAAGAACAAATTAATGGCTACCTGCAGAAGGTCATAATAACTACTTATTGTTAACAGTTAGACTTCTATCAGGAAGCTGACAAAATATCAATTTGACTACAAGATGAAATACATTCCTTGAGGTCCTAAGATGCTTACCGATAAAACACATGTGTGGTCAATTCTCCCTTTTGACGATAAAAGTACTATCACGCGGTCAGCTGAAGAAGGGCTTTAATTAAACTTAATTGTTGAACATAAACATTGTCTCTGGCAGTGAGCCAGAGAGTGATTATGCATGCCAAGTGTACAGACTGTTATAACAGATATATATGCATGACGATCGTAGCAGCAAGTATTGTATACATTTTTACTGATAATAATAAAGAATTATTTCTATAATCTTATTGAATGAAGTAACATTCAAAAGATAGAAACTGAGTCTATGTATCCATGTTGTCTTACTTGTTTATAAATTTGTTCGACAGTAAGTCCAAGTTATTTTGTCTCATAAGTTACGGACATCTAAGATTTTAGTATATCTGGGCCCCATTTCACAAAACTTGTCATCGACGACAAATGACAGTTTGGTTATAAGCTAGTGAATTCCTTGCTTCTGATTGGTTATCAGAAGATTTGTCACTGATTTTTGTCATATTTCATTGAAAAAAGGCTTTGTGAAACAGGTCCCAGATCAATGTATAAGACTAAATATGACAAGAAATGACACATTGATGTCAATATATGTTCAGAACTTGGTATGATATGGGAAATCATATAACCAAAGAAACAGTCCTTGGACTTGCCCTATGTTATTTCACATATGAAAAAAGGTGGAGGGGGAGGAGAATGATTAAATACAATGCCAGAAGAGGAGTTGGTTGTAAAGTATGGTCCCTGACGATATGTGACTGAAATTTTCAAGAGGGACGCAGCCCTGAAGAAAAATGGGTCTTCTTCATGTCACCAATAATGAAAATTCAGTTCACAATTAAGTCCATTCTATTCACAAGAAGGTACAAATAACCCGGTGGTGATTAGATATTATAATTACAGTACTCATACAGTTCTTATTTTGAAAATGTTACATACCATCATCACCTCCTATATAATCAAAATTGCTTTCATCACATTTCAGACTGATAGTTTTCAGCAAACATTTCCAAAAGTAAATAATGAAGCTAGTAGTGCAATATCTATATCTAATCTATTTTTAAGTTCATCTTTGAAATACAATACATTGAAAGACAAAATTTAAAAAAAAGTTTTAAAAAAGTCAGAGTTACATGTAGCAAGGCTCTTGTGAGTTCATGGAAGGAAATGATGGTTGGCTTCCGGCCAGAGAACATCTAATTAAAATAGTCCAAGGCAGATCAATTTAAATTGTCTAGATTTATCACAATACTTGCCAACATATTTTATTTTGATAAACCATAATGTCTGATGAGTGCCAAGACTGTTATGTCATATCGTTTTGCATAGAGTACAATAACCTTTGGCTCTCAATATTGTAACACTAAAACAACAAATCACGACTTGACCCAAGCCAAAATAGGCTTGGAAATATCCAATGCCTATTAAATTAAGGACTACATAATTCAGACCTTGATTGAATATGTTACAGTGAATGAAAAGCTCTGCACTTTTTGCGGGACAGATGACCGGATGGACGGATGACCAGAGGGACGGATGACTTATGGAATGAAGGGCTGGCTGGACGGATGATGGGGCTGGTAGAGGGACTTGAACCTGAAGTCTAGAGCGGTGTGTGTCATGACTCTCCCTTCCTCTGGAATGTGAATCTCATTGTTGAGCACTTGAAACCGTCAACTGGACTTGTTGCCTAGAGAAATGGAGAATCAGATCCAAATGCAATAAACTGATCAATAAGACAGTGTGAGTCAAATTTTTGTTTACGTCATCTATGTATAGTAAATTATTATACATCTTATGAAAGAGTGTTTTATCCCAAATCATTTGGTATCATTTATGTGGGTATATGTTCAGCCTTGGATGAACAGGAGGCATTGTTTGCGAGAGTGCAAAAATCGACTTGTGCCAAAGTTGCTTTTGTGATGTTTGAATAAAACAATTGGGATTTGGGACTTGGGTATTAATTCGGTCTTTGCAGATCCAAATAACATCCCTAAAAAAAATTAATCATGCCACACATGTCAAATATCAAATATAAACAAACATTTGTGCGCGCGTGTGTATGTGTGTGACTTTGTTTCTGCAAAAAGCATATGCAATGCATTTTATTTTATACATTCAATTTATTCTCTCACTCCGCTAATCCCAACATAATACATACTGTAAGCATCACTTTGGCGCAAGTCGATTTTTGCACTCTCGCAAACAATGCCTCCTGTTCATCCAAGCGTAAACACATACCACAGAAAAATGATACCAAAAGATTTGGGATAAAACACTCTTTCATGAGATGCATAATAATTTACCGTTCATAGATGATTTTTTTTTTTAAATTAGCAATTTTCTAGGTGTAAACTTTTTTTGACTCACACGGTAGTTCAACCCTGATCTATGAGAATTCTCTGTGTCCCTTATTCACTTTCAAGGTCAATTTGTGTCTGGCTACAAGAATTCAAGAATAATAGGATATCTGGAGTGACAGTAAGGAAAGTTACCAAGATATTAACTATCTTTCATCAAAACGACTAGCAAATATCTCATCAATTTTTTTGATAAATTAAAATCCATCACTTTAAGGGTGGAGAGATGATATTTATCTATGGAAGAAGAAATGAAGCCCTGGTTATTGCTTGTGTATGGAGCATTTAAAAATCTGAGCAATGTTTCTTTCATACCACAAAATCATTTCATATCTGATTTTCTAGAAAATGTAAAATGTAATATGTAATATTGTGCACATCCATCCAAAAGAGAGATGTTCGAGGCATCACAAAATGTTACCCTGGCTTTAGCCCTGATTCCCTAAGACATTGAAAGCTTTCAAGAAACAGCTTTGTACTAGATACCCATTTACTACACCAGTGTGGAGAGTGGCCAATTGAGATTAACGTCTTGCCAAATGAAAGCAGTTTGATTACCTGACAACCAGCATTCTTGGCCATAGCTGCGACCTTATTAACAAACTCCTGACATTGGTCTTTGTTAAGCTCTAGCATGTATCTAGCCGTCTCACAGATGACTGTGGCTTGGTCTGAAAACACTGCTGACATCTCAGGGGTTAGGTGATGAACCATGCTGAAAGAGGGCAAAGGATCATATTGAAAAATACAATATAATAATAATAAAAATAATAATTTGGATTTATATAGCGCCTAATATGGTATATCGTCTCTAAGCACTTTACAAATATTATTACCTTGGTCATCGAACTCATTCACACACAATGTGCACCATCTCCACTCCCTGGGGAGTAATCCTACCACATGGTCACTGTAAGGGCATAGTCAATTACTATCACAAATGCTTTTGTCATCCTACCAGGTCACCGTTTCTTTCTCGGGTATTGAGTGGTAAATGTAGATTAATGCCTTGCCAAAGGACATTAGTGCCATGTCAGGGATCAACACATGACCTTTGAATTTCAAGTCAATTGCTTAAACCACCGACTACCACACTTCTACAAATAAATATCAACAAAGAAATATTGACCAGTCAGGTGCTTAATAAAGCTAATACAGCACACATTACACATTCAATTTCATTAATATCGGAAAAAATAAATCAAAAGAAACAAAGCTGATTGAATTCATTGAACAGGGCTCAATAAATCCCAACTGATATGTCATTAACCCATTCATTCTATGCACCTCAGTTTACAAATAGTTGTAATAAATGAACTTCAAATAACGAAATTTCAAATTGAGAAATATAGGATAATATATTTTTTTGATTTCATTATACAGTGGGTCCCAGAAAAAACGAAACCGAGAAGTATAAATGTTTTATCATAACTTAATCACAGTTATAATTAATAAATGACACATATTTGTAAGGCTTAGATCCCCCTCTTTCATTTGATGCAACTCATATGATGCACATTTCCTGATCAGTGATTAAAAAACAATTTGAAGAGAGAAACCCCAAAAGTCATTTGGCGGGCGTTATCTAAATTTCAAAGAGAAAATTACGTTTCTAGAAATGTCATTATTCTGCCTTTTCATATGACACCTCAATCAGGAAAAATGAGCCAAGAATAACAAAGTTCTGTTTAAAGTAATGCTTGCATTTCCATAATTTGATTAAACAATTTTTTTTTCACTGCAAACAGAGTTGACGAAAGACTTAACTCCGTTTTGTTGACGGTTAGCCATGCATCAAGTTTTTTGTCTTCTTAAATCATCCCATGGGATGATAAAAGGCCATATTCCAATCAATAATTTGAACTATAAATGGGAAACAGATTTCTTCCAAGAAGCCTAGCCTTACCTGTTTGAGAAGTAGACGACATCAAAAGCTTTCTTGTACTTGCTCTTCTTCTGAAGATCTGGTGCTGAACCGATAGGTAGATAGTGGATTTCAACATTCTCCATGGGCATCAGGTCAGCTAAGAAAAAACAAAATAATAACAATGTGAGCGAATTATGATAATTTTTTTTTTTTAAGTGTTCTGCTTCTGGGATTACTTATAAAAAAACACTTTATGTGATGATTCTATAGTTAAACTTGAATTAATATGTAATCCAATGCAGTAGACAGACATTGAAAATAATGGGGCTTCTCAAAGTCCACACCACGATCTGGCCAATCCGGACCACCCATAACAGTGTCTCCAATTGCCTTATTTTAAGGTAAATACAGAATTTGTAAAGTGTTAAGGAATTTTAAAGAATTTTTTAAAATGTTATACAGAATTTAAGAAATCCTGAAAAATTCAAGAACTTCCTGCAAAGACTCTCCACCTGCACACCATCCATAAAGATATGCATGGTTTCCAAGACAACCTTTTGTTGCTTAAAATTGTCCTTGGAATAGTGTGAGTTTTATATAGTTTAAGCTTCTAACAACCACTCCTATGGAATTGTTATTGTTTACACAATTTTTTGCTGTCTGCTGCCTCAAGATCACTGGAGCAAAGAAAGATAACAATGTATAGCAAGAGTCCCTATTCAGTGAAGGAATAATCCTTTTTTTTTATCTCATTGAATGTTCTGCCATTGTTGAAAGAGATGGAATCAATTTAAGGGCTTGTTGTGCCCTTTGAAAGGAGCATTCAATGGGGGGAGTGCAATTCAAATTTCAAGGGATGGATTAGAGTTTTTATCACTCACGACAGCTTTCCAGGGGCCCTAAGACGGACCCCTGGACCCCATTAGTAAAGATAGAAGTAGTTCCTAAGATAAACCGCTGTTGTATAAAATTGTCCTTAGGAGAGAGTGTGAGTTTCTATCACTCAAGACGGTCATCTTGAAGGTTCTGAATTGCTAAAACTCAAGAGCGTTCCGGGGCTCCACCTCCAAACCCCCAGCGAGAGGTCAGAGGTCAGACATTGCTACAAGCATGGAGAGGGGACCCAATTGTAAGGGATTACTCCTATATTGCTAAGTCCCGCAGATAATTAAAGCCATACAAGGATTAGTTTCACTTTTCAAAAGTAAAGTGAAATAGTCAACTACCCAATCAATTATATGGTAATTTGAAATTCTTTGACATCCTGGGAAAATGAAAGTTACATTAGAACATTGTAATTATACCTTTAGTATAATGATGCTATGATTACTCAACCTGCAGCCTACATAATGATATTATACCCTTTTCTAACTGCACTTGATTTTCATCGGATGCATCCGGACGCATCCAATGAAACAGCCAGTATGAAAGTAACAGAGGAGAAAAAGGCCATTAAATAGCCGATGAAAAGAAGAGAAATAGGCGATTAAATTCTCCTGCTCAAGAGCAGGAGAAATTCTCATTCTATTGGTGTGACACCGATGAAACGGCCAGTATGAAAGCGTTCGGGAGAAAAAGGCGATTAAAACAGCGATTAAAATGGTCAAAGGTCGCAGTGTATGCGCGCTTTTTCGTAACCAGCTTTGTTTGTTGACTTATGGTTGAACATGCTGCATGCTAGCTAGATGGAGCGCGGGCCTAATAATTACGCAATAATTCTTCACTTCCGGCATGGGCTCGCCACAGCGAGAGAATTTCACCGGCAGTTAGAAAGCGACGGGGGAAAACTGCGGTTTCACCTTTGTTTACATAAGGAAAATTCAATCTGTAATTTCATCGTTGTGACTCCGATAGAAGCCAGTTTGAAAGCAGTATTAGATTTGTATTTCTCTACAGACTTATTTTTTTAATCCCTAATGACTCGTTTGATGTTACTACTCATACCCCATTGACAACTGGATTCTCGCATTCAAATAGGCTTAATACAGGAGCCACCCAGGTCACGTAGGCAATGAGCTAACAGACAAAATAATACCATACTAACCAGATTCAGCTTCTGCTTCAGCTTTCTCTTCTTCAACTTTCTCCTCCTTCGCACCCTCTTCCCCCTCCTCCTCCTCCTCCTCTTCAGTGATTTCTACCAGTTTACTTTCTTCTTTCTTCTTCTCCTCGGCAGGTTTAGGGTCTGGCATCACATACTTCTCTCTGTGTGTGAATTCATGTAGGAGTGAAAGGATGTTGTACACAGATACCTCCTGACTAGTCTAGATAAAGAACAAAAAAATGTTGATATTGTGAAAACTGAATGAGAATATGCTTTTAATTAAAAGAGGGTGTTCTATCAATTAAAAATGACCTAAATATCTTTATCCTCATATACCTCAGTAACCTGTTGCCTAATAGGATAAAGGCAGAGAAGCTGTTAACAAGTTATGACAGGAGTACTGGTAAAAATAAGTTCACATTCCACAGTAGAAGAAACTATATTTCCACGGTTGACTTCCATACATGTAGCAAACCAGGTACAATTTTATTGAAGCCCATGCTTTATACTGGCATAAATATAACGCATAATCATAAGTTACAGCATTTCAACACCTCCGTAATCAGTTTTTTTCACATAGGAAGAGGTTCTTTCATATATATATATATTTTGTTTAAATTGCCTTTATTATTCATTTGAACACTAATATATATTACCAACCATTTGATTTGATAAAAAAAAGTGATTTGGTACGAAACCATGTTGTGTGAAAAATCCCTTAGGAGTCCCAAAAGGAAGAAAATGTACCCTGATCAAATAAAATCAATTCCAAGTAGTAATGACAACCATCAAATAATCAACCACCAGACAAAACAACGTGATCTATGAGACAATTAGATAAGTTTTTATAGATGAGGGCCACCATCAGACAGCCTTGACCATGTTCACCTAGATGGCTGCTTACCTTAGTGTATATACCATTAGATTTCTTGAAGAAGCTTTCCTCCTCAGATTCAATCCCATAGCTGAGATAGGGACTACATACGATATCACCCCAGTATCCTCTCTCGGCTCTACGCTCACCACCCTAGGAATAAACATGATAGCAAAACACAACCATTACATACTCCTGCAGTCTTTTATCATCTAGAAACAGATATAGGAATCTTGAACTCTTCTAACAGAAATTTTGCAGCATTTCAATTGTCATATAGTCTGGAGCTTCTATAATTATGGTACACTTTATCGCTCAATACCTGGGTCTACTTTGCAAAAATAACAAAATAGCCAACGCAGAAAGATGAGCATAATAAGTACAAAACGTACAACCTACACGATTCTTATTAGTACGTAAATTTGTTATAAGAAGATTTGCTAGTGTTTTCAGGAAATTTGTGGTCATGCTGAAACCCCCCCCCCCCCTAAAAATTCCAGCAATTAGATATCCTTTCTTTATTTCCACAAATGTTGCTGCACCTATTAAGTTAGGATCTTTTACCTATGAACTAGAGTAGATAGCTGGAAGAAATTAAGAGCATCACATTTTACAAATTTAGGTCAGAGACAATATCACTAGATCCATCATAGATATTGAGTCAAGCAAGACAGACTGAATACCCACCTTCCTGATGATAGCACCTGAAACCAATGTCCTATTCTGGATGTTATAGTCTGCCTCACGAAGTCCAAAGGCTATCCCTGTCTGTCTCCAATAGGCATACTCTCTGTTGTTCATCACTCCTTTACCTCTATCAGCTAGCTTCATGCTGTAGTCCCAGTCATACGCTCCCTTGCGGGAGTCATAGCGCACTTCAAGATGTTTGCGTAATCTGTTATCCCTGAAAATGTTCAAATTGAATCAAAATAGAGACAAAAGAAAAAAAACTTCACATTGACGTTAACCACAACAAACTTATCGAAAGCCTTTAAAATCATGAGTAAATTTGAAGTACACAAATGTGATGAACAGATTATTAAAAAACTGACATTTCTTACAAAAACATTTTTCCTGTAATAATTTCCTTTGCATATCTACCTACCTTCCCTCAAGGAAAAATGAGGTATAAAGCGTACTGTGTTTGCTTTTGCTCTGAAGTTTTCCATTAAAAAATAGGGAGAAAGTTCTCATCTTCAGCTTGATCACTATTAATGAGAAATCATTCATCAGAAAGAAGAGTATGTACTGTATGCATGTTAATTTTTGTTGTAAATATATTAATATATCAATACTGTGGCTGTAGCGAGGTTGACAACAAACAAAATGTCTGGACAAAAGTTTCTACAGGAAGCGGCTAACCGGCAAGTTTGACAGTAGACTCACGATTTGAATTTTCAAAGAATTTTTTCTAACATTGGTAAGTTGAAAGGATTGTATTTTACTGCTATTTATAGGTGTCATCAATTGTCACTTTAGTATAGAATTTGAGTGAACTTGGTTGAGTTTTGCACAGTGGTGTTTAAATTTCTGAGAATCAATAGAGGTCGTCTAAACAGTTTTTAATACACAAAAAGTATACTAATGCTGCTATGTGTGGTATTTCTTACTGATGTACATTACATACTAACATCAACATCTCTCAGTATTGGGTTCAAAACACACACACTAATTTCCACTTTATGTTTTGACAATTCATAAAAATACATTAAATATACAACAGAACTAAAACCTCTTTGCCTGCCTTTATGACAATAATATGGCTCAAATCCCCATGATAAGCTGGCAAAAAGGGGATCCTTGATCCTCACAACACAACCAAATTCATGTTGACTTCTGAGTGTGTATAAAGTGTACAGCAATAGATAGTGCTATGCTAGACACATTGCCTGAGGAAGTGCCATTACATGATATGCATGTAGTCATGTCATGCATCAATGATACAATAAACAAATGACTTGAGTGATAAAGCAATTTCAAGTGCACTGTCACAACAAATACTTTAGTGAATAATAAAAAAAGAGCATATTTCACTCACCAAAACTTTGCAATATCGGCAGTCCTGGGATCTGGATTTCTTAAGAATTTCAAGATGGCTTCCATCTGGTCTCTCTCTTTAAACTTGAGTGCTGAGAGATGAACGGCTGGCATTCTTTGAGATAGATAGTCTACATCTGTTACCATCCTGTGCATTGGGAAGAAATAAATATAACCTCAAGATATCTGACTCGCTATTTCTTCAGGAATGTCATAAAATGTGATAGACAAAAGTATGAAAGCCATAGGATGAACTGCAACATGCCAATTACACACAAGTATTAAAGCATCAAGTGAAGTTTATTTATTCATCTTACTGATCTACTGGTTGGTTCAGCACCAGACATTCAGAAGATTAGAAGAGTAAGTTCAAGAAAGCTTTTGATGTAGTGCAGTTCTCAAACAGGTAAGGCGAGGCTTCTTGGAAGAAACATGTTTCCCATTGATTGAAATATGGCCTTTAGTCATCCCATGGGATGGTATAAGCAATCTTGCAGAAGATTACAGTGAGAGACTTGTTATGCATGTATCCAAGTGGGGGAGAATTTGCTCATTATATTATTTTCTCACAGTCTCATATATGTAATGATACAGTAGCAGCACTTTGTAAATTCATCTTATGAATATCATCATCATACATGTTTCCACTTACCTTAGGAGTTCATTGCTCCTTGACACAATGTAATCAGAGACTTGTTGCCTGATGAGAGTGTTACCAAAGATCTCCAGGAAGAACTCAGTCTTCTCCTGAAGTCCCATCTCCCTGGGAGGCTCTAGGAGGAGATGCAGCAGAAGGAGCTGACGGACGTAGAGCTCCAGGTTACCTTCAGTGATGTAGAACTGACGAGAGATAGGTCAATGGGTTATTAAAAGATACTTGTAGAGAATCACAATGGAGAAAAAAAATCTTTGTTTTACAACTTTGACATCACTCATCAAATTCAATGCTGAATTCTTTCTCAGCCATTTTATTAGGTGGTCTGTTGTTAACAGACCACCTATTGATTTCGTCAGAATTTTCTTTCTTTATTATTTCTTTTTATTTATTTCTCCACTTTTTTGTGCAACCGATTTCTCAATATCTATCCACCCAATTTCTCTCAATGTTGACACAGTCATAGGTAATCATCATGAGACGTGACAGGAACATTTTCAAGGTCATCAAATTATTGTGACGTCATCCAGGCGCCATTTTGTGAAATCACATTATCCATCATATCTTCATGATGCGTACTCAAAGTTCATTCATATTCATATCACATATACTTCAGGTTAAGGATCAACAGGTCGTGTCATCAAAGGTCAAATAAAGGTCATGACACGCGCGTCAAAATTTAAAATTGCTCAAAATCACTTAACTATTAAACGAGAGTACGAATCAGGTCATTTTAAGCATTTCAAAATGTTCCATCTGTACGTGTCCCCGCGCGCGTTGTGCGCGCTCACAGCGTGCGGAAAAGGTCAAATTCAAAATGTTTACATGATTTGGATTCCCCTTCAGTCACTCTTCATATTTCATAAGGCCATGAGCGTGCGTCAAAGTTCAAAATCTGCGCGTGCTGCTATGGGCAATATAATGCAAATTTTGATCAAAAACATGCCATTTTAAAAATCGAAATAGCTCTTCAGATAGTCCATCGACCCCCAATTTTTATATCGTGATTGGAGAAAGCATGAGTTGGAGATATGATTTCATACCACCCTGACTCTTACAAAGTGAAACAAAGTCTTCATATTGGCATCTAAACTCCAAAAAATGTATTTTGTTGATGACGTCATTTTTGTCGTTGTTTAATTGAGATTATCTCACTTATCGGTAATCGATTTTCTCCCAGATTTTGATATGTTGTAGCTGAGATAATTTTCTATCAGAAACATGCCATTTATTTTTCATTTGGATGACATCATCATAGTTCAATATTTGATTAAAGGCGACATTGGATAATTTGTCATATTTGCATGTTATGTCTATGGGAGGTCACTTTTTTCAAAACATGAATCTGCATGACAATGTGTTTTGACCAGTATCTCGGTTGTTATTCAACAGTTTTCTCCCAAATTTGAGTATGTTGTAGCTGAGACTATATGCTATCTAAATATTTCCTCATTTTTTTCAATCAGATGTCAGGATTATGCTCATGCTCATCATCATCATTAACATTATCGTTTTTATCATCATATAACATTATCATTATCATCATCATCACCTTTACTATCATGATCATCATCATGGTCATCATGATCATCATTGTAAACATGTCTATATAACTTCTCCCATTCTCAAATCTATCATAAGTGAAGACAGACCACCTAATTCGTCCCCATGACGATTTAAATTTTCTAGTTTAATTTGTTGTTGCACATTTTGGGATCTGACTCCTAATGTTTTATATATCTATTTCCATTCCTTTACACACTGTCTTCACCTACATAACTATTTCTTCATCTCCTTTCTATGTCTGTCTGCTTGCTACCACAGTGGTCTCTTTGTCATTGAATGTTTCTCTAATATCCTCTATCTATCTTTCTCTCTCTTTTCAAGTCTCTATCCATGTAATACGCTCACTCTTCCCATCTCTCCCTCTTACACCCTCTTCATCTCTCTCTCTCTCTCTCTCTCTTTCTCCCACCCCTCTATTCTATTTAATGTTTGCATCCCTGCCAGTAATAATGTGCTTACCTTCAGTTTTCTCTTTCTGTGCCTCCATGCTCTAGCTATTGTTGTCAGGAGATGTCTCATGTCACCACTCCCAATAAGCAGAATTTGAATGACATCATCAGCTGCATCATCCAGGCTTACATCTCTAATTCTTGTTAATACATCTGTCATGAAGAATGAAGTATAAAGGCACACCAGTTAACACTAGTGATCGAAATGTATATCGACCACTAGGAGCTCACAATGTATTATTAGGTAAAGGTAGCCTATTGATCAATTTTTTGCATGTACAAAATAAATAGGTCTAGATCTAGGTGAAATAAAATAAACATTTTTAAATACTTAGGAAGAACTTCTGAGGAAGAACTACTGAGATTTCTATAATCCAAAGTCAAAATTATGTACAAAAACAAAGAAATCCAACTGATATATCGCACCGTCACATTGTTTTTTTCTCAGCAATAGTCTTGGTTCTCTTGGCAATCAAACTCTGTCAATAAAATGTATTTAAACTCGGTCCATATAGCCCACACACAAAATCAGGACTCTTGACGTTTTTACGCTACAGACCAATTATTTTGGTGGTACATTATTCTGGGTCGAGCTGCTTCAGAGATGCATGCGCTCACCTGCGTAGACGTGACCCAGAAATGCACACAATTGAATAGGAAGTGGCTCGACAGGAGGAGGATTAACGATAGATTTTCTTATTTAACGTCATATAGTATGTCATTCGTACTAGGTCTAGACTCTATAATTATAGAGTTTACTAGCTGTGTGTGTGTGTGTGATGGATAAATGATATGCTGATGTCACGCGATGATACGTGCGCTGATTGGACGCTACCAATACATTTTGGTAGAGAAATCCAGTCGGAAACAAAGGTTAACAAAAGAAATCCAAACCAGATTACCAATACGCATTAGCATTGACTCTCTATGCTTAGCTTTGCTGGAGCTCACTCCAGCTGTGTGCCGCTAGCTCAGCGGAGTTCCCGAATGAGATAGGTCTACACTAATTCTAGTATTATTTTAGTAACACCAAATCCCACACGTGGGGCTTAGGTATGAAATCGTTCCATCATCTTACCCTTGTCCTGGAGATCCAAAGCAGAGCTGAAACCCCAAAATGTGATAGAACCCAAGGCATCAACCATCTCTAATGACAGATAATAATTAGAGATAAAACTATACGGATTATAATACTATAATAACAGATTTCATCACTTCATTTTGTGACCTAACAACGGCAAACAATTTTAGAGCAAAATCTGGTCGCGAACACTAGCCACCAATAATGGAGGTTACAGTGTCTCCAAATCGTATAATCGAAAAGGAAAAAGAAAAGTTTGAACATCTTGGCTGACCGTAACGGCAACAGCGATAAGAGATTAGATTTATACGTTTTTAAAACTATCTTATGACATTGTAACTTAGTAATGGCTAGCATCATTTGAAAGGTGAGATCCTTCTCTTTACTCTCATATAGACCTATGTCACATACCGAAATTTCTTATCTGGGTTTTACTGTTTCAGCTTGAATTTAGGACTCAAATCGGCAAATACGTGTAAAATTGGAAAAAAATCTGATTTAGAATTCGATGGCTTCTAAAGCAATTGTAAGACATTTAAACTAAATAATGGCCCACACCGATTTTGGTGAGATCTTACTCTATATTGTCATATATGCGTAATCAATAATTATCCCCTGGAAAACTACCAGCCCCCCCCCCCCAAAAAAAAGACAACCATTCCCCCGAGGGCAATTACCCCCCGGGAAATTAAACCCGTGGACGATTACCCCCCCCCCCCCTGTTTATTAACGGGGAAGTCCAACCTGATAATAATTTGCATTTAACAAAACTTTTTTTTCCACGGGGGGGGGGGGGGTTGAATAAATCTCCGAGGGGGTAATTTCCACGGGGATGATTTCCCGGAGGGCTTAATTTCGGGGGGTAATTGTTCTGCTGGTAATTGGTCGGGGGTGATTGCCCAGGGGGTAATTGTCCAATAATCTCTTATAATAATGTAAAATGCCAAAACTTCTTGTTTGGAGCTTACTGTTTCAGATTGAAGTTAGGGCTCAAACCGGCATATACGGGGTTTATTCGGGCTTTACGAGTAACATTTTGCAAAATGCGTTTTAAAATGTGATGGCTTCTAAATCTATCTTATGCCATTTTAACTAATTAATGACTGACACCATTTTTAAGGTGAGATTTTACTTTTTGCTCCCATATATAATCATATGCCGAAACTTCTTGTCTTGGTTTAACTATTTCAGATTGATGTTAGGGCTCAAACCGGCATATATTGGGTTTATACGGGGTTTATACGGGATTTAGGAGTAAAGTTTGAGAAAATGCGTTTTATGATGTGATGGCTTTCATTTATATCGTTTGGCTAACGACTGACACCATTTTAAAGGTGAGATTTTAGTGCCTAAATATTCCTTATGTTTTATCAACATACCTCAATGGATTCCTCTTTGGCGCCTTTTGAATTACCCCCACCTTTATCTTGCCACTTTTTTTGTTCCATTTCCCCTTTAATTGTAACGGTCGACATTGAATAGACCGTAAACCTTGGCTCGTATATCTGCTCATCTAAAAACTTATATACTATATATTATAGGTAAGTAATATTTATTCAGTTTGTTGTTTGCTTTTGTATTTCTTCCATAAAGCTTTGTCGAGTGATCATCAATCATGACTTCTTTCAATCCCCCTAAAGTCCTTCGCCAAAATGCTTACAAACACATCAATTCGATTAATTTTCTTTGTCCCTATATTAGCTGAATATTTGTTACTACCCCCATTCTTTGATCTGCATGTCCTGAATTCTGTGGCAAGTTTGAAATCACAGTCTGAAATGTGTGCCTTGTTAAATTTCCTAGCGATATACAATGTACTTGACAACAAAATACAGGTAGGGAGGTTTTTGAGAAACTTTCATTCATTCATTTAATTAATTAATTTCCACATTCAAAGATAAAAACAAGAAAATGCAATATATATAAAATTACATGATAAACAAATTACAGAAAAACAAGCAATAGATATAAAAAATATTCAACAATTAAACAATAAAAAAACTTACGAAAAGGAGAAGGTAAGAACTACCTATACACTTGGATATTTGTATTCGGGACGATCACCAAAAGCCAAATGAAGGCTTTATCTGGGGCAATCCTCGTGTAAAATAATATTAGGAATACAATTGAGGAGAGATAGAGAGAGATACTTAACAATAGAAAGAAATTTACATGCATGATCTGGGTGTTTAAGTGATATTGCACAGCAGAAAAGATTTATATTTCTTTTTCAAATTTAACAATGTTGGACAAAACTTCAAATCATTTGGGACAGTATTCCAGCATTTCGTTCCAATAAATGTTGTAGTGCTTCTTAAAAAGTTATATTTAAACAGTGACAAGCGTATATTCCTTTGTGTTATTCTATTATACTGATGAAATGTAAAATTCAGATTAAAAATATGATTAGATATGGACGGAAGTGTGCCTTTAAAATATGAATACATACACAAAATAGCAACTTGCAATTGATTTAGTTGATAACTGAATAGTTAAAATTTTCATTTGACTAACAAGAGGAGCGCTATACAGGAGGGGCCATTGCACATACATTCTGAATGCACATTTTTGAAGTATATACAATCTATTGCTTGTTGTTATTGTACAATTTCTCCATTCTCTGTTGCAATATGAAATTTGATAAAACAAAAGTATTATACAACATTAAAGATACCTTAAGTGGAACAATATGTTTTACACGATTCATTACACCAAAAGCTCTCGATATTTTACATGATATATCATCAATAATATTGTCCCACTTAGAAAATTTGGCTGGTAATCTTTTTGTAGTTCGTAATTACCAATTTTTAAGTGCAGCAAAGAATCATTCAGAAACAAGTTTTTACAGGGTATAAAAATCATATTACAGTTTTGTCCACATTAATTTTCAAACAGTTAAAGCTAAACTAATTTTCAGCATTGTTTAGTTCAGTGTGAATTACATTATTTGGTTCCAATACATAATCAATTGAAGAACAAAATTTATATTTGCAAACATAATGGAAAGAAAACGGTCACTGACATACTGAAAATCATTGACAAATAATTCAAACAACAATGATCCAAGGACTGATCTTTGCGGACCACCAGAGAGTATGTATTCTTCATCTGATGTACACTTTTCAACACTTGTAAATTGGTTGCGATTAAAAACGTAACTTTGGAATCATTTAAAAACATTTCCTCTAATTCCATAGTGTTTGAGTTTGAGTTTGAGTATATTGGTTTCACATTTCACATGCAGATACAATACCGGTAACAAAATATACATAAAAGACATATTGTTTCATGATTAAAACAATGATTATAGTAATTGATAAAATTAATTAGACTACGAAGTTACATATATCATCAAATATGTTTAACAACTATTATCATTGTTTAAAGATATTTGTGACTTACATCCAGTAAATAAGATCGATTGAGTAATCTGTAATTGAAAACAAGTCAGAAAAACCTGCCATCTACTGTTTGCCGTGCAGCGACTCTACCACAGATGGCACTGGGTTTAAATCCCGCTAAATAGTTCCAAAATTTTGTCTGTATTGTTTTCAATTACAGATCAACCAATCGATCTTATTTACTGGATGTGAGCCACAAATATGTTTAAACAATTGAAATTTATCCCAGGAAGCATTACATTTATTTTATTTAAAAAAACTATTATCATGTTAAAGGAAACCCATACAAGAAAAGCACAACACTGTGAAATATGCAGAAACCTATAAAAGAAAAAAGAAGCATAGATTGTAAAGAATAGGTTCCTGGGAGACAGTGACAGAAAATGTTTACTTTTAAGAGACGTACATAATCAAATGTAAGAGGGCGGTAATTTGACAAATAGTTTGTTAACGAGTTCAGTGAAATAAAATACAGAAGGAAAAAATACACTAAAAGGAAGAGGAGTAATGAGCCAATAAATAGCAGAGTATCCACCTATTTCCACCACATGTTTCAAGCACCTGAACGTATAAAAACCGAACACGAGAAGTCATGAATTATTCATTCTTTCCCTGATAATATTAAGTTATGTCACAGAAGCAGAAGCACGCCAACTAACTTATGTAACACAATTCTAAAGCAGAGCCCCCACTTAGCCGAGTTGGAGCCTCGAGTTGTGGCGAGCTGGCGCGAGCTTATGGCAAGCCGTTTTATCACTAAAATCATATTTCTTGATATCAAGAATTCAATTCGTGATATGAAGAATTCGATTTCGTGATATCAAGAAATATGTTTGAATTATAAAACGGCTTGCCATAAGCTCGCGCCAGCTCGCCACAACTCGAGGCTCCAACTCGGCTCCAACTCGGCTAAGTGGGAGCCCTGCTTAAGGTTTATACAATCAACGGCTTTTGAAAGATCTAAATAGATTCCGATTAAACATTTCTTTTGTTCAAATACATCAGCAACATTGTGGGATTTATCTAAATATGTTTCATAGGATTCGTGTAAATAATCTTTCAAACGTCTTTGTGCATACAGACAATAAGGAAATTGGTCTATACTTTGATACATTGTCTTTAGTTCTCTAATTGAACACTGGATCTACTTTTCAGTTTGTCAGCCAGAAAATATTCCAAATACTAATGGAAAATTATAAATACTACACAGTGGTTGTAAAATAAAGCAGATAATATTTTCGTACACCTCAACATTTATGTCATCAAATCCCAGACTCTTATTTTCAAACCACTAACAACTTCTGAAATGTAATATGTAATACAAAACATAGAGTGGATTATTCTTTTTTTCTTCAAAAAACACATAAAATCTGTATGACAAGCTGGCAAGTTTTCTACCAGATATTTCCATGTATTGAATTTTTTTATATCACATTGCCATCATCTGTCATGTTTATTCATATCCCCATTTGCTAAACCTCTCTACCCTGTATTTTCTACCGACCAACTATATCTGAAATGCATTTCCGTTTTCTAACTTCGCTTTCCATCAAGAGTAGGAAGTACCAGTTCCGATGGAGCACTATTACAATTCGGGACTTAGTTTTACTGGATCTTCTTCGGCCTCAGTAGGACGTTGTACTTCAACTAATTCGTGCACTCGCTCTCTAATAATGTTACCTCAATTTTCATTGCAGTACTAGCAGTGAAACTGATTTTGTTTGTTGGCGAGATGTTGGCCAATCAAGTTGAATTGCTACTCTCGTATAGAAAATATTGATAGACAGGAGTTTCAGGTCCGTTGATAGTTTGAAATATGGAAAGGTCAATTTTAGAAGTATTTATTGATGTATGCTTTCATCTACCAAAACGCTTCTTCGCGAAGGTGGTGAACCGCCCAGCAATCTTAGACTCTGTCCGCCAAAGTCCTTTTTGGTTTCCTGCAATGAACAATATTTATGAATAGAAAATTATTAATGTGTGGCTGATGTGAAGTTTGTTTCTTTATTATGTAAAGAACATGGTCATGGAAACACATCACTATTTATGACAATAATAACCAACAAAACTAATGGTTATAGACGTTTTAAAGATATGGTTATTCTAATTGTAATGATCATTACCTTTGGGTCTCCGTTGACACTTTGGAAGAATGCACAGTTAACAACCTTTGTTGAACTGTTCAGAATATTGCTGCGTCGTCGTCCTCTTGATATCACTCTACGTGGAAAGGAAGAAATCGACTCCTCCGGTTCAATGTCCTGCACAACAAAAATGTAAAAACAAAATGGCATGGTAAATATTGTAAACCCCTTCACAGTTTTTTGCAAACATTGACATTTGTTAATTTCGGTGAATTGAATGTGAAGAAAAGTGGTCAGCTATTTCTTTTTAACGGCAATTGTACCTTTTCTAAATTCTTTTTCTTCTGTTGATCTAAATTCGCTACAAAATCATTGGAGGAAGTTCATTGGAGGAAAAAGTAAAATAATCCTTTGGAAGACATATCGTAACTAGGAAGAATTTTTTTACTCACTACACGTTTTCTATCGGTTAGAGATATTATACTCTCGATGTTGTGATCATTGCTTTTTCGCTCACATAACGATTGAGCTTGATCAATGATAACGAATTAAATAAAAACTGCATGCATTGTTCCAAGAAGTAATTCATACAATATTACACCAAAGTAAATACAAATACCTGGAGTAGGGAAGTATTTGGTCGATGTCAGCGTGCTGGATGGTCTCCTGCTTGGTAGGGTACCTTGAATTCCTTGGACGTTTTTACGAGGGGATGACGATGTTGATATCCTCGTCTTCTGTCACTGGAACACCAGCCCGCCTTTCTACTGTTGACAACTAAGATGGTCTCGGCTGCCGTACGGCCACAAGGTGCATGATGAGCTAACAGGAAAATCTGGTGCCCTATATATTATCTTTACGATAGTAGCGTTTAGTATATACTATACGAAACCGCATGCACAGATTTCGCTGAATTTAGCGAACTCCTTGCGCGCGCGCCTTTTTAGACTAATTGCTATTATCGTAAGTAAGTATTTGAATTGGAAATTCGCAAAAAAAAGTTTTTTACGAGTATACCGCGAACTCTCTTAAGAGGTCAGCGTTTTTGTCTTGTAAATCGCACTTTTACGAATTATCATCAAGAACACGTGGAAGGTAAGCAAATCGAAACCGCTCCGGTAGCTAAATTTTGCTTTTTATATTAATTTTTTGACCGATTTCAAAATGCTTTTTATGAATAGAAAGAATAATTCATTAGCGAACTCCGAAGCCACTGTGCAATGTTCGACAGGAGCGGGAAGGGGTGATTTCGGACGCATTTTAGGTTTTGTTTCCGTACCTCTTCACGCAGGAGTATGGGTGCAAATTAATTAAGGCTAGGTGATATCAATATCATATTTTACATTATCACCTAGCCCTCAAGGCTATACCAACCCACACAGGGCTCACTGAACTGTGTCTATAACAGACACAGACAGAACTATCTGCACACAATGGAGGATGGCGGAGGAGTCGCAATCACCAGACGAACGGCAGCTGTGAAATGTCAGGTCATCACAAGCGCGTAGCCAGGATTTCATTTTAGGGGGGGCGGTAGTGAGCACGCAAAGCGTGCGAATCACTTACAGAGCGCGCGTAGCGCGCTCCCTAGGGGGGAGGGTGCAGGGAGGGGGGAGTTTCCCCCCTCCCGCGCGAAGCGCGAAAGCTTTGAGGTTTCATCAAATTATAAGAGAATGAAGACGATTCGTTGGACCATTCTCGACTCTTAATCCTTATCTAAATTCAGTTTCTGTTGACGTTTCATTTGAGAAAGAAGACGATTCGCTGTACCGTCACGGTCCTCGACTCTTAATTTTTGTTTGAATCAAGTTCCCCTGCCTCCGCGCGTAGCGCGGAAGCTCTGAAGTTTTATTAGATTATTAAAGAAAGAAGACGATTCGTTGTACCATTCTCGGCTCTTAATCCTTATCTAAATTCAGTTTCCCCCCTCCCCTCCCGCGGAAGCTTTGACGTTTCATAAGTTATTAGAGAAAGAAGACGATTTGTTACCGTTCTCGACACTTAATCCTTATCTGAATTCAGTTCCCCCCTCCCCTCCCGCGCGAAGCGCGGAAGCTTAGACGTATCATTAAATTATTAGAGAAAGGAGACGATTCGTTGTACCGTTCTCGACCCTTAATCCTTTTCTTCCTACGTCCTCTTCCTTTCTTCTTTTTTTTCTCTCTTTTTTTTTTTTTGGCCGACGTTTTGGGGGGGGCGACCGCCCCCACCGCCCCCCCTGGCTACGCGCCTGGGTCATCACAGACTTATTGAAGAATGAAGAGTTTGTCACATACATCTGGATACGATAGTCAGCAATGCAGTAGAGGAAAAAATGGGAGAATTGCTGAGTAGCTAGGTTAGATGTTATTCAAGGAGATGCAGTAGAGGAAAAAATGGGAGAATTGCTGAGTAGCTAGGTTAGATGTTATTCAAGGTGATGTATTATTTTGATCTGCAGATGAAAATAGAAAGCAAAGATAATGACATGTCTGATTTGAACAGGACAGTAGAAAACCCCAGCAGGGAAGTCTGTAATGCCAACTATAGCATCAATAATCTAGAAGGTATTCACGAACGACGTGTATTCGCATATTCGGTGTTGAGGAGGAGCCGTGTGAAGACACCGATGCAATAGCAGCAGAGATCATCAGCGAGCAGGTTGGTGAAACCATCAGTAGCAACTCCCAGAAAACCTCCCGGACATCGCTCTATCATCGTGAAATTGAATTCCTATAAAAAGAGAAGGCATACTCTAGCAAAAAGAAAAAACCATAAGGATCAGTAATATCGATTGTGGAGGATTCGACAATGAAGAGCCAGGCACTTCTCGCGAAAACCCGCAGCACACCAACAGTATCGTTGGCATGGACTTTAGATGGCAGCTAGGGTCATCGCTCATCTATCTGCCAGTGACGGGAAAATGTGAAGAGGTGGATTAGAAGCGAAGATGACTTATTGAACATTTTCAAAAAATGTCGGTAAACGTCACAGTCGTAGTTTGAGTCAGAGTTCTTGGGATTATACCTGAAAATGAAGCCTTATTCACATATAAGGTGAAGGGAAAGGATGAATGGAAAGAAAAGTAAACAACCACCGGTCAGACAAGAATAGCTTGCATGAATAAAGGCTTATTTAATCTAATTATCTATGTGAATTAGAAAGATCCTAGCCCTTGTGAAAATATGTAGTTGTTTTTCTTTAGTGACCGAAGATTATCGACTATTAGTTGTTTGTGTGTGTGCAATACTCTTAGACAAAAAGACATTGAAATGTGTAAGTAGTACCAGTAAACCTTAAAAAGACCTTACTCGTTTCACCGCACAAAGCTCCTGTATACCCCGCAGCACATGTACATGCATCGGTGTCACAGCTCCCTCCGTTTAGACACGGGTTGCTGCCGGAACAGTCAACTACAGAGAGGAAGAAACAAAATACAATTTAAGAATGATATATTAAACATTAAATTACAAACTACGTAAGCTTCACCCACATTCATATCACTGTTTTTTGTTGTTGGGGGGGGGGGGGGAGCTGTAAGTTAGAATGTTGATTTAGAATATTAAAGAGGTTAAATGCGCGATATTGGCGTAGCATGGCCTAAATCATCGTTATCATTAAAGGTCGGGTGACATCCCGCAAATATAAGTTGATTCATGTTGATGTGCAGGGCTGCATACAACTCATATTTTGTTATTCAAACATCTAAATATATTTCTTCATAGATTTTTAAATATTTTGTAAAATAATGTTCTCAGACCTGCTAAGCTCCACCCTAAAGAAAGCTCCAGATCTCATTCATCTTGTGACATCTGGCAATCAGTAGTGAGCTAACAAAAGACAGCGGTATGCAACTCCCCCCAGCTCAGCACATGCTCACAAAAGAATTGCATTTTTACATTTCGTTTCCTGGTGATGCTACAGCACGTCTGACATAGCAATTCATATGTAGGTATTGTATGGTTTATTGTAAACAAGTGGTCAGCTCTGCTGAATCAACATGTATTTGGATGTCACCCGACCTTTAATGATAACGATGATTGAGCCATGATACGCCAATATCGCGCATTTAACCTCTTTAATGTTTTAAATCAACATTCTAATTAACAATCCTCCCCCCCAACAAAACAAGTGTTATTAATGTGGGTGTCAATTAATTCCTTTAAACCAAAATATTACTTGACGTACACGATAAATCCCGATTTTACAATAGATTTCCATACCTCTACTACACAACTCTCGACTTAATCCCACAATACATGTACATACAGCGGTATCACATGTACCTCCGTTCATACATGGGTAGCCACTAAATCAGTCAACTACTGAGAGAAAAAGTATCTGAAATTAATGAAGAAATATTACATTCCTCGTTTAGATAGAAATCCATGAATGACGATAATTAGCTTAATATACACACTCAATATCATAACATCTAAAAGCTGGGGATTTGATAATCACTGTCGCCCTCGGGTCTGATGTCCAGGTTGACAACTAAATCGGAGCCCCACCCCCTCCCCCCCACCCCCATTCATTGCAGCATCAAAAATGTATACCGTGTATTCAGTCTTTCTTTCTGTGAAAGTGTCTTCCTGCCGTATTACTTGTATTTTTTTAAGTGGGACAACAAGTTTACGACGACCTTATGCTTTTTTAGAACATCATAATCACGACAGGAGATTATGAGAACATTCAGTATCTTTCATTAAGTGACATGAATATCCTATTTTCGAAGACAACATATTATGATTTATCTTACCAGGGGCGGCGATTTCTCTTCATGACCGGGGGGGGGGGTACGAAATCCGAGGGACAAGGGAGCAGTGGCGTAATGAGCAAAGGGGGTAGGGAGAAAAAAAAAACGCACCCCCACTCTTACATGGTACATGCAGGCCCCGCGGAACGTTTTTTGGAGCGGGAGGGGGGGGGGGGGGCTAAAGTATTTTCGATCAGGTAGAGCAAAGCGAGCGAAGCAAGTGGAGTGCAATTGGCGTGGGGCCCAGGGGCCAAAACCCTGTCGGGGCTCAAGGGGCGTAACCCCATGAAGCTCATGGGTTTTAGGCATTTAATAACGGTCAGATGAGCATCTAAGAGCCCGCTTTAGGGCCCTTGGTTACCTTTCAGGGGCGGAGCCCCGGAAGCTCAGGGCTTTAGGCATTTAATAACGGTCAGAAGAGCATTCAGGGGCCCGCCTTAGGGCCCTTGGTGGGTTACTGGGGGCAGAGCCCCTGGAAGCTCAGGGAAAAAAAAGAAGCAATTTCAGCAACATTGTAAATCACTGGTATCGAATAAGAAATAAACCATGTTTGAATTTTATTAGGGGGGAAACTACCACCAGGCACACCCCCCCCGGTCATTACGCCAGTGCGAGGAAGCATCGTGAGCGAGAGGGGTGAAGGTGACGGAAGTGACTCACCCCTTACAGGTTCTTACAACTTTTGTTGTATTAACAAATTACATTCCTTAGCAAAACAATAGTATAACACTTCACTTATCTACATTATTTACTTGTACAGTTTGAAGAATATTATGCGAGGGAGCGTAGCTCCCGAGCGAGAAGATTTTTGCACTTTTATTTGTCTAAACGCTACACTCTTGGGCCGTCAGTATTTGCTATACACTTTTTTTGCCCCTGTATCTTACTCTGTAGTCTGTACCATTTAATGTACACATATAACATATTTTAATACCTCTGTCACACACAGATCCAGTAAATTCCGCAACACATGTACATGCAGCGTTCTCACAGACACCTCCGTTCAGACATGGAGCCCTAAAATAACAGTCATCTACAGAGTGGAGAAAAATAAATGATACCAAACGAAAATTGCACATTCAGATGAACTCATTTGCTTGAATTGAGGTTTTTGATTATTAAAGATACTGTGTCCCTTTTGCAGCCAACATCACATTATGTAGAACATTGAAGGAATTATGAATATGTCATGTATGTCCGATCTGTGAAATTTAAACATTAGCAGTCTCCTAGTATTCAAATTATGGAAGGAAACGAGTTTACCCTCTAGACTTCACCGTCCGACACTATTGAGTGACTGACCGACATCTTTTTTCCTTTGGTAATACCATACATAAAATGAGCTGTAACAGGTACATGAGCATTTGTCTACACCAATAAACCACTACTTGTAATGGCAAAATTAAACTGAACGAATCTTTGTGCAGCACAAAACGTACGACCATTCGGTAAAGGGGTCTGAAAATCATATTATTATCTAGGCGTTGTGGCGTGCGCATGTAATCCAGCCAACAGTGGAAGTTACAAATGTATGTTCTTTGTTATTTGGATTATCGCATAATTTCTGTCGTAAATAGATACATGTATGATTGTACATATTCCAAAACAATGATAACTTTCATTGTAAGGAAGATAACAATTCGGGTAAAAACTTTCAGAGTATTAATGTAAATTAGGACGCTGGTCAAACGTCATAGTCGTACTGAGTCAAAGTTCTTGGATTACCCCTGAAAATGAAGCCTTATTCACACATAAGGTGCAGAGAAAGGATGAATGGAAAGCAAAGTACACAACCACCGGTCAGACATTTCCAAAAATAGTTTGCATTAATGAAGGCTTATTTAATCGAAATATCTGTGTGAATTTGTAATATCCCAGCCAAAAGGTTTTGCTCAATTCCCGCCTTGTGACAATATGATTTTTTTTCTTCTTCAAATGTGCATTAATTCAATACGAATAGAAGAAAATTCTAAGCAGTCAAATAAAAGCTTTAAAGATCTTACACACGTCATCGCACAAAGCTCCTGTATACCCAGTTGCACATGTACATTCATTGTTCTCACAGGTACCTCCGTTCAGACACGGGTTGCTCCCAGAACAGTCGACTACAGAGAGGAGAGAAAATATCCTAAAATTCAAATCCTAACTTGTACCGATCACATGAAACTGCATGAATGACGAGAATAAAATTAAAAAAATAACATTTAGTAAACACATATTCAGATATATTAAACATTTTAAAATTAAATGTAGATAGGCTTCCCTAATATTTACAACACCCTAGTTTCGGGGGGGGGGGGGGGGGTAAAGGTTTAAGAATAGAATGTTGATTTAGAAATGTATAAAGAGGTTAATTACGCGATATTGGTGTATCATGGCTTAAATCATTGTTATCATTAAGTGTCAATTTATTTCCTTTAGCCAAATTATTATACCTGACGTACACAATGAATCCCGATGTTACAATAGATTGTCATACCTCTACAACACGACTTTCCACTAAATCCCACAGCATTATAATCACGTAAGGAGATTGTGAGAACATTCCGTTTCTTTTAGTAAGTGACATTGATATCCTACTTTGGGGGACAACATATAGTATATCTAACACTCTACCATTGAATGTACACATTATAACATGTTTATACCTCGGTCACACACAGATCCGGTAAATCCCACAGCACATGAACATTCATAGGATTCACAGGTACCTCCGTTCAGACATTGGTCACTAGTAGAACAGACAACTACAAAGTGGAGAAGAAAATCATACCAAACAAAACTTGCATATTTAGAAGGACTATTAATTTTGTGAAATAAATGTTTCTGCATAGTCAAGCAGGGTAAAACAAAATTATATTAAGTAACGAAGATTGGGACTTGTATTTTGAAATTTTCAAACTACAGAGGCGTATATAAGGCCTGCTTTATCTCGTTTTTAAGCGGTGGCAGGAGTGATGGGAAAATGATTGGTTATTGAAACATTAAACAAAATATGTGACAAGAGATGACCCTGAACATTTGTAGGTAAGACTAATTGTATCTCATACAAAGGCACTATTATTATTGTAACCACATTTCACATCATATTGAGATGTCATTTGTTAGCGTATCAATAATTTATGCAATATACTAATACATTTATTAATGTAGTTAGTAAATAGGATTATCGCGTATTCTCTATCGTAAATCGATTTTATATATTTCAAAACAATGATATAACTTTCACTTGAAGGAAGAAAGGCTCCGGTGAAGACTTTCAGAGTACTAAAAGTAAGTTTTTGGGGAATATCACTAAAAAGGGTCAGACATTTCCAAGAATAGCTTGCAGGTGTATTTAGCTTATTATCTGTGTGCATTTGTGAGATCACAGACACCGACAATTTGTTTTTATTTGCAATACTCCAACCCAACGAATAGACATGTCAAAAGTGGTCAATGTAATCTTAAACAAAAGCGATAAAATCCTAAAAGATCTTACTGACGTCACCGCACAGAGATCCACCAAATCCTGATGCACATGTACATGCATCGTTCTCACAGACACCTCCGTTCAGACATGGAGCCCTGAAATAACAGTCATCTACAAAGTGGAGAAAAATAATTGATACCAAACGAAAATTGCACATTCAGATGAATTCTTTTGTTTGTATTGAGGTTTTTGATTATTAAAGATACTATGTCCCTTTTTCAGCCAACATCACATTATGTAGAACTTTGCAGAAATTATGAATATGTCAAGTATGTCCGACCTGTGAAATTTAAACATTAGCAGTGTCCTAGTATTCAAATCATGGAAGGAAATCCGTTTTCTAGACTTAACCGTCCGACACTATTGAGTTAATGACCGACATCTTTTTTCCTTTGGTAATACCATTCATAAAATGAGCTGTAACAGGTACATGAGCATATATGTCTACATCAATATAAACCCACTTCTTGTAATGGCAAAATTAAACTGAATGAATCTTTGTGCAGCACAAAACGTACGACCATTCGGTAAAGGGGTCTGAAAATCAGATTATTACTTAAGCGTTGTAGCGTGCGCCTGTAATCCAGGTAACATATATATATACTATATATATATATATATATATATATATATATATATATGTATATATATAATATATACATCTGTAAAGCGCTTTGAGAGGGCCTCCGGTCCTGAAAAGCGCTATATAAGAACTAGCTATTATTATTATTATTAACAGTGGAAGTCACAAACTGATTCAGCCGAGAATGCAGGTTCGAAGCTGAGTCACGTCTTTCGGATGGTGACGTTCAAAGGTCGGTCCCCAGACGTAAATAATCATATCTGATAGATACACGTCTGTAAAAGCCCAACACACACACACATCCACACACACTCACGCACGCACACGCACACACATACACACACACACACACACACACAGTCGTTTCGACAACTAATGGTCCTTACTTTCCCACAAAAAGTAATTTTCAAGCCCTTTCGTTTTGAGGGAAGTTCTAAATAAGTATTGTCTTTCAAATGCCGTTGGAATTTAACATTTTCATGTGTTTGGCCTGCAAATGGGACATTGTACCTTTAAGTATTAATTATATCATATAATACATTAATGTATGTTCTTCGTTAATTGGATTATCGCATATTTTCTATCATAAATGTATATGATTGTACATATTCCTAAACAATGATAACACTGTAAGGAAGATACAAATTAGAGTTAAGACTTTCAGAGTATTAATATAAATTAGGATGCTTGTCAAACGTCACAGCCGTAGTGAGTCTGAGTTCTAATTGGATTACCCCTGAAAAGGAAGCCTTATGCACACATAAGATGAAGGGAAAGGATGAATGGTAAGAAAAGTAAATAACCACCGGTCAGACTAATCTAATACGAATAGAAGAAAATTCTAAGCAGTCAAATAAAAGCTTAAAAGATCTTACACACGTCTCCGCACAAAGCTCCTGTATATCCCGTTGCACATATACATGCATTGTTCTCACAGGTACCTCCGTTCAGACACGGGTTGCTCCCGGAACAGTCGACTACAGATAGGAGAGAAAATATCCTAAAATTTATGACAAATCCTTACTTTTACCGATCACATGGAATAGCATAAATGACGAGAATAAAATATAAAAAATAACATTTAGTAAACACATATTTAGATATATTAAACATTTTAAAATTAAACATAGGTAGGCTTTCCCCAATCCTTACAACACCCTAGTTTCGGGGGGGGGGGGTAAAGGTTTAAGATTAGAATGTTGATTTAGAAATGTATAAAGAAGTTAATTACGCGATATTGGTGTATCATGGCTTAAATCATTGTTATCATTAAGTGTCAATTAATTTCCTTTAGCAAAAATATTATACTTAATGTACACAATGAATCCCGATGTTGCAATAGATTTTTATACCTCTACTACACAAACAAAAAACTTATATTAAGAAAAGAAAATTTGAACTTGTATTTTGAACTTTCTAAACTACAGAGGCGTATATAAGGCCAGCCTCACCTCGTTTTTAAGCTGGGACAGGAGTGATGGGAAAAGGATTGGTTATTGAAACATTAAACAAAATATGTGACAAGAGATGACTTTGAATATTTGTTGGTATCATATAATAAGACTAATTGTATTTCATACAAAGGAACTATTATTAGTGTAACCACATTTCACACCATATTGAGATGATGTCATTTGTTAGCGTATCATTATACATTAATGTGTGTAGTTAGTAAATAGGATTATCGCAATTTTTTTATCGTAAATCGATTTTATATATTCCAAAACAATGATATAACTTTCAATGGAAGGAAGAAAGGCTCCGGTAAAGACTTTCAGAGTACTAATGTAAAGTAAGTTTTGTTGGGATTACCCTTGAAAAAGAAGCCCTATGCAAATATATGATGAAGGGAAGGATGAATGGGAAGAAACAACCACCGGTCAGACATTTCCAGGAATAGTTTGCAGGTGTATTTAACCTTATTGTCTGTGTGCTTTGGTGAGATCACGGACACAGACCATTTGATTTTATTTGCAATACTCCAACACAACGAATAGACATTTCAAAAGTGGTCAATGTAATATAAAACAAATATAATAAAATCCTAAAAGATCTTACTGATAAAGGCGTCACTGCACAGAGATCCACTAAAGCCCGATGCACATGTACATGCAGCGTTCTCACATACACCTTCGTTCAGACATGGGTTGGCACCAGTACAGTCAACTACAAAGAGGAGAGAAAATATCCTAGATTTAATGACGATTCTTTTTTTTTTTTTTTTTTTTTTGTTTGCATTCACTGTACACGTGGAAATGCAAAATGCATGAATGATACAAGTTCAATTTAACAAGGACATTTTGGGCCCTCTTTTGTCGTGATGGGCACCTGTGCCACATATTTATGTCATTTTTGAATAATTAGGTAATATTTCCCTGTTTACAATTAGCATCCCTCCGCACATGTTCTACAAGTAAAATGATAGTAATAATAATAATTTAAGCTTTGATTTCAACAACCGAAATGTGCTGAAATAAAAAAAAAACTAATGACAAAAGTACCCGAGGCAGCAACTTGAAAATTGAGTCTACCGGGACTCAGGGAACGAATTTAAAAGTGACTCGATAAACAATTTTGCTTGTAACAAACTAATCTACCGTGTGCATAATTTATTTCTATGCCGCCCTCGCTAAAGGTCAAGATGATTGGTGAGCGAATGTCCCTCTCAATTCTTAAAATATTGCTCATGTATCGTGGGCACGATAACATGTCTAATTATTCTTATTTGTGGTATTGTTGTTATTGTTGGTGTTGCTGATGTTTGTATGCTATTACATTAATATTTACAGATATCGACGAATTTCGAACTACCCCATGTATCAACTGAGACTGTATAAATAATCCCGGGTGATTTACGTGTCTTTGCAGAGCGGGATGGGCCGGACCACTTTGTCAAACAGGTAATAACGCAAATGAAGAAGAAAAAAAATCAAACTATTGCATGTTCAATTCATTCTTGAGGCATGTGCATGTTTCAACGTCTCTCATCTAGTGGTCTTTTCAAAGACTCGGCAAGAGAAGGCTATAAACATGGGCGGTTCTTATTCCCCTTTGAATTTAACTTTAATAATAGCATAGTAATTGTAGTTTCGTGAAAAGCTCATTTAAGTTCAAGCCTGTACGAAGTTTATTTGAATCGGTGAAAGATGAAACACAAGAACGGCATCGAGAATGAGAAGGGTCTAAAGAAAACTTTAGAATCTGTCTCAGTCGACTGTATGTTCTCGTCAAAGCTGCAAAAACAAATTTGTTAGTCTGACGATTAACAGAACAACTTCCTAGGAGATTCCAAAATGGAGGAGTGTGTCCATAGGCGAATTTTGAAATTACAGTAATTGTCCAGCACAAATGGATTACCGCGGTTCTAAACGGTAGAGTACAATCACGTCAAACTAGCCTAAAACTTCTTGAATAGTTTCTTCAAGTGTATTATTTTCAGGAGAAAACTTGAAAATATGTCCATATCGTGATATACTTTCGAATTTCAGATTATCAGTTACTCGAATAAAGATTTGAAAGAATACAACAATTAAATTAACTCGTTTATTCTACCCGGACATTTATCCCCTGGTCAATTACCCATCTAGGACAAAAGGGGGAAAGGGTAATTTTTTTAAGAAGGTTTCACTAATCATAATTTTTGTTTTATAAGGGAGCAATACATTACATTTCAAAGGGCAGTTAGAGATGAAAATGCCATTTATCAGAAGATAAAATGTTTCTTTATCACATTTAAAAGGGGCACTTAGAGGTGAGGAGGTTTTTTATCAGAAGATAGAGTGGGTACTTGTCTCTTATCTCAATCGATAACAAGAGATACTGATGAGATAAACTAAGGACAACTATAGCAGGGAGAATAACATGTTGGGTGTTCATCAACATGTGGGAGTATAATATTCTTGACCAAATAGTATAGTATTTTCCTGTCTTGAACGGTTTTGAGTATCACTGAATAATGCGATCATATATAACTGGAAGAGAGGTCATCATCTTTTATTCATCATGTACCTGTTTATAGTGTCTTTCATCATGGAATGTTATACCGTGTGAGTAAAAAAAAAAGTTTACACCTAGATAATTGCTTATTATTTTAAAAATCATCTTTGAACAGTAAATTATTATACATCTTATGAAAGAGTGTTTTATCCCAAATCATTTGGTATAATTGCTGTGTGGTATGTATTCACGCTTGGATGAACAGGAGGCATTGTTTGCAAGAGTGCAAAAATCGACTTGCGCCAAAGTTGCTTATGTGATGTTTGAATAAAACAATTGGGATTTGGGTTTTAATTCGGTCTTTGCAGATCCAAATAACATCCCTAACGAAATTAATCATGCCACACATATCAAATATCTAATATCAAATATCAACCAACTTTTGTGCGCGTGTGTGTGACTTTGTTTCTGCAAAAAGCATATGCAATTCATTTCATTTGATACATTCAATTCATTCCGTAATAATGTCATAATGGTGGAATAGTTATTTTTACACAGAAGAGAAAGAAACAGAGAGAGCGAAAGAAAGAGGGGAAGAGAAAGAGAGATATGGATAGAGAGAAACAGACGTAGATGAGGAAGCGACAAAAGAGATATGTAAGGAAGAAATTGTAAATTTCAGGTATAAAGCATAAGATTGTGTTATGGAGCCCGAACTTTGGTGACGAAGCAGAGAACATTTTAATATGATTTTCAATATGGGTTAAAAGGATACTTCTATTACAAAGTACTCTTTATTACACGTGACAACTCCACCCAACCATCAAATGGCAAAAATAGAGGAAATAAAAGAACAAAGAGAAGAGAAGGATTGGGGCGGGGGTGGAGATGGAGGGGGGGGGGGTATAGGGGGATGGGGAAGGGGAGGTGGAAGGAAGGGTGACATACTTTATTGATTTTAATCTTACTTTTCAGAAGATTACCCTTTGACGATTAAACAATAACTTATCTTTTCCCTGCCACTGATACATAACAATCCATGGTTAAAAGAAATATCCCGTCCTATCGGATATTTGCCACAACTGCCGATTCATAAATTAACAATATGGTTTACAGCGACTCTATTAAATAAAATGAAAATGTATCCTTTACTCATATAAAAACAAACAATTTTATGAAAATAGTTTTTGCTTGGTCACTAAATTACGCTGACAAAAAAAAAATCTAACTGTAGATAGAGAATGATTTGTCCCCTGTTACGCTATTATTGTTTTCTACTTACCATACTGGCATCGATTCCCGGTGAATTGTGAGGAGCAAGAACACGTATGAAAGGTGTTTGTAACTTGCACACATGCACCTCCATTCTGACAAGGATCAAGAAGACACGACTTGGCTGGCAGAAATAAAGAAGTGGCAGCGACATGAAAATAACAATTACAATCACGATTAAAATAAGTGAAATACCTGAGAAAATGAAGAAGAAAAGGACTCAGTAATATTCCTATATCTCCTGTCTTTTTAAAGATAATTCATTCATGTCATCAATTAAACACTATTCGTACAATCAGGTAAGAATATCATTGGCAAGATTGGAAGGAAGAACAATTTTCCGAGAGCAATTAGAAAAGATCAAAAAGATGAAATCGGTTTAATATATGTTTAAAATAACTTGAATGACACTATTAAAAATAGCTTACAGTATTTTTAAACTAATGCAACATTTTGCTTATGACAAGAACTCACTCATGATGGCCCATTGTGTCCAATGATGATAATTTTTGTATTAAAAAATCCAAAATGAATGGACATTAAATTAAAAATACATAAAATCAATATGCTTAAGGAGAACTAGAGAGTAGCTTGGAGGAAACCATTTAAGGTTCCTCATTTAGTACAAATATGTATTTTTACAGTCCTATTCATAAGTACTAGCCAAATTGATGCACAATCGTTTGATTACATTTACGTGTGAATGCTCCTCAAAATTAATATTAAAGTCCCTATTCAATGTTTTATTTGGGGGAATTCTAGATAATTTAAAATGGAATGCTGAACGGAAGCACCCACTAGCATCAATTAGAATAGGAACCACGCATGGGAATCATTATACGTGTGATCGGACCAACTGCAGGTCCTGAGATGAAACGCAACAAGATATAATTAAAAGGGAGAATTAGACGGAATACCAAACGCGACAATCAGCTGGTAAAGGCAAATGTCCTGCACTGTACACAAGTTAGAATGGTTGTGTTATAAAACCGGTTATAATTCGACGACAACATTATTTTGCAACACCACATTTGCATTAGAAAACGATATATAAACGACCACATTTGCATTAGCAAAAGTATGCTCTACACTGTCGTGCTTGAATTTGAATGACGCCCGAATTCACATTCATGCGTGACAGCTTTAGCATGTAGTCTTGCTCGAATAACACTTTTCCTTTCATTAACAGCCAGTCGGGTAAGCAGCATGTTTTCCTAACAAAAAGTACACCCAATGATCAAACTCTATGCATTAAGTATGAACACTTACAATTTTGGCACATGGGTCCGTAATATTCTGGGGCACAGGAGCAAGTATAGGAGGGTGTTGAAAGACCTCTGTCAATGGCATGGCAGACACCACTGTTTTCACATGGCCCAGCAAGGCATGGCGATACTAAATGAGGAATTGGAAAAGAGACTCTATGAAAAGTAAGAAAAATTGAGAACTTAACCTATATAATAGAAAGTTTTCGTTGAAAAAGGTGTCAAATCTGCGATAGTGGATTTTATTCACATAAGCATAAAAGTAATACATTTTCAACAAGATGAATAAACAAACATTGTTCAATGCAAAAAAGAAAACGAGTGCGCTTGTTTGCGCTCGTGGCAAAATACAGTTTCCCCGATTGTAACCGGTGTTCGGAATACTCAACTACGATACCAGAGGAGGAGGATTGTGTTTATTTTTCCGGTAGAATTGGCAATATTCGATTATCATTATTATCTAGAAATATTGTCATATTATTGCTATCATATCATTAGTATCCTAGATATATTCATGGATAACGTCCGTTCCATGCATTATGAACTTGATTCCCGTCTGGAAGTTTTGAAAGGTTGCCCCTTCTCACACTGGAAAAAATGGCTATGCCACTACCTCTACAACAAAATGGTTAAGGGCAACGAGAAGATTTTATCAACTCAGCCTTAGCATAATGTACACCATACCAAAAAATGGTGCCTCTTATACAACATCAAAGGTACATGTATACACCTATTCAAGTATTACAAACAAAAATGTTCATACTTCATGGAGCAGAAATATAGGTATAACAGTCATGATTACAAAGATACCAGCTTTATAAGTCCAGCAGTATGGTGCTGAATATTGAAGGAATTGTGCAAAGGTTCATGAAATCACGAGAATTTGCACAAAGATAGGATTTTCAATTATTCTGCATATCAGGAAATCAAAAATTCGGTCCCTTTGGCCCGCTGTGCCCATTTAACTAAGAATGGCCACCACAAGGGTCCCGGTCCCGACACTCTAAGTTTGTTTGTTTGATTATTTCATGTTAGTACGGTGGAATACTTCAGCCAAAGGCTGTTCTTCAGCATGGCCATGTTCGATTCAACTCTAAGTTCAATTTTAATATAAAATGCGTCCTAGAAAAAATGAAACCCAGAATTATCGATGTTTTATCGTAACTTAATCACAATTATAATTACAAAACTAGACCTGCAATCGTGGCACAACGATATGCGTGCAATGACGGGCGAATTGGCACTAACGGTCGTCTATACTAACATAATCATAAACAGTATAACATGGGGTCTAAAATACCCCCTTGAAAAATTATAAAAAACATTTCAAGAAAAATATAGATCGGTTTGGGGGCCAAAAGCGTGAATCTGATTTGCCCCCATAGACAATGCGTGTAATACATGGGCGGAAAACGTACATGATCTGTATTATGACCGGATTTAAATTGTTTTGTTCTCTCCCTCTTTATATCTTTTCATGGGCCGTATTTGGTATTATTGGAAAGAGAATTTCATGGTGGTTATTGTAAACCACTTTATTTTTTGCTATGATAATCCTATCGAAACACGTGATTCAAAAAAGATTTATAGGACAAAATGGCGTCTTAAATGGCCCCCTTGACCAATTTTAAAAATCCGGCCTTGGGGTGCCCTGCGTATTGCAACTCGTAATGTCACTGCCCATTTTCAAGGAAAAATAAGGACGTTTAGGGGGCGAAAAGCAGTCTGAAAAAATGACGTCATAACCGATACGTGTTATAATCGGGCGGAAACTCGGCGGGAATTCGTATAGCGATCCTTGTTCAAATGCGATTTACTCACAATTTTCTGTGATAACGTATAACGTGTTTGGTATCATTCAGAAGGGCACTTCATTGCGGTCAGTTTGACACCATTGTCATCTGTGCGCAATGTACTGCACGCATTAGACGCGCTATTACGTAATGCACAGTAAATTCATAATTTTTGGCGATAACTTTGCGCTGACGTCATTGAAATGTATCAAACTTGGCGGACAGTTGTCACGTATATGGATACATATGTCTGCCAAGTTTCATTGCTGTAGGCATAAGGATCGTAATTTTAGAGCAAGTTGAAGTTATTTCGCAATTTTCTTGAAAACTGCATATTTGGAGGGCAATTTTCTCAAATTTGGTCAATAATAGGGTATATAATTTTGTATATAGCTGGAAAGGGCATATCTTCAAGTATCTTTATCCAAAAAAAGGTACGGGTTTGCCAAGCCATAATGGAGATACGGCCACAGAAAGAAAGCCAATTCCCAGAACTTTAGAGGGCGCTATTTATGTTTTGCATAGCCATTGGAGCATGAAATTTGGCATGGCTAAGTGCAATTGTGGGATAAGGAAACTGTGAGACTTAAATACAAAACGGAATTTATATGAGAAAGGAATGGCATTTTTCAGATTTTTAGGGGTCCATTTTTCAAGAATTTGAGAGATTTTTGACGGAGTAGGTTTCGTAATTGATTTTTGAGTACGAATATGGCATTTTGAAGGTCAGATTATACGTCGCTGATGAACGAACATCTCTTAGACTATCTAAAGGAATTTGTTAGAAGTTTGTAGGATCTAGGATAGTGGAGATAGGAAGGTAAAAAGAAAGGCCTTAAAATGGACCAGAAACGGACAAAATGGCGCCTGGACGGTTATGCATGAGCGATTTCGAGAATCGAAGAATGTAGTGACCTTGATGCGATGTTAGAGACTATGCCTATGAAATTTGAAAGGAAACGGACATGAGGAAAGTGGAGTAATAGAAGGAATAATTGTCCATAATTAGTGATGACAAGCACTACGTGCAAAACGAATGGGATTTCCGGACGATAAGGAAAAGGAGAATATTAATGGGGCAGAATGTGAACGAAAACAAGGCAATGACGAAGGTCGTCATTGCAATTAATTGGGAAGAACGTGAACGAAAACAAGGACACATATTTGTGAGGCTTAACTCCCCTCCTTTCATTTGATGTAACTCATATGATGCATATTTCACGCATGAGTGGATTAAAAGGAATTTGAAGAGAGGGTACCAACAAAAAAAATCATTTTAGGGTGGTATCTGAATTTCAAAGAGAAAATCACATTTCTAGAAAGTTCATTTTCTGCCCTTTCATATGACACCTCAATCAGGAAAAATGAGCCAGGAATAACAAAGTAATGCTTGCATTTCCACAATTTGATTAAATGAATTCGTTTTCACTGGCTGCCTGCCGTAGCAACAAATATAGTTGACAAAAGACTTAACTCCGTTTCGTTGACGAACAGCCATGCGCAAAGAACACGAAAGACTTGATGCACTTGTGGCAATTACTTTATCATTTCGTGTACAAAAAAAGAAGAAGAAAATAAACACCGTTTAACGTAAGACAAGATTACGACCTTTAAAAATTCTAATAGATGCCACAGTAAATACATTATTTAATGGCAACCTGTTCTAAAAAAATCAAAGCATAAGAGAATGCAGTATAATACCGAATTGACATGTAACTCCAAGATATCCGGTAAGGCAAGTGCAGACAAAGCTTTGGTCCTGGTTAGTTGATGTACATACTCCTCCAAACTGGCATGGGTTTCTGGTTACATAACACGGAATCTCTGTAAACGTAGGTATACAAGTTACAACAGGAGATAACAGAGAAACGACAGTTGTCTGACCAACCAATATCAGAAAACTAATGAATAGATGTAAAAAATACACAGAAATTAAATCATTTTTTATACGTTCATTATCGGTCGTTTTAACAATAAAAGATGTTTTAGAGACTGGAGGTAGTATGACGTCCCACTCAAAGATCTCAGCCATTGAGCGATCGATCGACACGAAATTGTGCACACGCCTCATTTTACTTGTTTATTCTGTTTAAATAACCTGAAAAAAAACATCCTGATTGTTATTTCACCATTTAAATAATTAATATGTACATGTTTTCTGTATTATCTACGTTATGCGGTGCCTCAAGTATAACAGTATTCTAACTACTGACAGGGCTACCCCATTGAAATTATACCAAATGAATACATGAATTACAGCCAATTTGGTTTATGAGCACACATATTGGTTGCTATACAATTAGACATATTATTACCAAAGCTATCAACGGGAACTAAGAGAGAATTATATATATAATTAAAATATGATGAAACTGCATCATCTTACATCACACTACCTATCAAAATAGTCATCTTTGTTTGTGTTGATATGAAGAAGGCAGCCCGTAGTAAACATGATTGAAATTTTAGCTCATATCAAAGTGTTAACTCTAGATCGCTGAAACGTGTTTTTTATGTTATAAAAATTCAATGAATTTGCAATTTAGATATAATATAAAACATATTTGCGGACAGATTTCTAGAAAGTTTCAAAAGTCATAAATGATAATAACTTATTCAATATTAAGAAATATGTTTTTGGCGCAGTTCATGATCTTGAAAAAATTCTTAAATGAGGTATCATCTTCGAAATTCTTAATTCTCTCTTAGATGAAACCTCACACATTGTGAAATGAGTTTCTATTATCAATTTATCTTCAAAATCGTTAAACATTAGATATACATAGCGGCCATTTTTAAAAGTGGCCTACATATCTTTCAAGCAGCATATTTTTTTAAGGTAGTCCACCTAAAAATGCTGCAGGGAAGTACCCTGATACCGGAAAACCGTTTACAACATGCTATGTCTAAACAAAATCCAAACAGGGGTTTTCCCTCTGTGTTTTAAAAGGAAAAAGTATTTAGAAGCAACAATACAACGAAAGTAACATTTAATGCAAAATTTCGAAGTAAAGAGATATTAAGCAGAAAGAGGGCACTATCTATATAAACATTATGCATATTTATTTATACACAAAAATCGTAGAGGACATGGACAATTTTGTTCACGCTTCATAAATAAACTAGCCTTGAGGCATCAATAGTGGTATATATCTTAATCATATTATGTAGATAGTTTAATCTACATACTGTATACATATATGCAGGGTTATGATTATTTTGTGTATAATTATAATCATTTGAGAACGACAAAATCGTTTCAACGTTAGTGCAAACCAAAAGTTGATTCTTTGTAATTCAATGATTATTCTCAACGATTGATTTTTTGTCA